GCTCTCCCTCCGAACTTTGACGATAGTTTTTCAAAATACACATACTTACCATCAAGTAGACGATCCATTCCTAAAAATCAAATACTGTAAATACAAAGCTCCAATGATCAGCGATAAAGAGTGTAACAGTACTACGAAATACCATTTTATTTCTAATCCACTCTTTTTTCATGACAAACTGCAACTTGATGTTAACTGTAGTATCTTTAATGTCATCACATCGAAAAAGAGAAAAAAATAACACATCAGACAAGGATGAACTTTCCACCTTAAATGTCCTCATCAACTCGTATATACCGCTAATTAAGTACGTAGAAGAAAAAATATATAACTTCATTGAGAGATAATCTATTTACTATCTGAAATAAACTTTGTATCAAAACGTACAAGCTATTACCGTAGCTAACCGTTTTCTCAAGAGAACCTGTTGATCGATCATCCGAGCCTAGAGAAAGCGCTACAAAAACCATAACCCTTAAATATTCTCTTATGATATTACACGTTTCATGTTCAATTAATTTACTGTATTGAAAATCAATAGTAAATTAATTTATTTTCGGTCAAATTAAATCAAGTTTACATAAATAAAAATTTATTAACTCTCGTTGCAAGGCATGCTCGCTCTGATTAACAATTAGTTATGGCTGGACCATACGTGAACCTCGTGTCTGCTCTGTTCATCACGACGGCTGACGAAGCCCTTCAAATCTGTCATTGACACAATCGTACAAGTGCAACAGCATCATCGGCTGTAATGTCAGCTGTGTACGAGGTCGACAATGTGTCAGAGAATCCTGTAGTCGCCGATATAAAATTTAATACTGTATGTATGTACATCAGTTAATTTTTTCAAGTAGCCGAAGCAAAACAGTACGATTATTATTAAAGTATTTGCTGGAGAATCATATAGTTGTACATATAGCATTCTTAACACAGTTATTTAAAGCCCAAGCACAATTTTAAAATGAAGTAACCTTGTAGTCGACTTTGATTTTGCCGTTCTAATCAAAATTGAAAACGTGTCCTAAGGAAATAGTTGAATTGATATGGCACATTTTCAGTATTTAAATTTTGTTTCCGAGAGATCTCACACTCATTTTCTCTCCAGCTAGTCGCGTTTGTTGCTTTTGTCAACTCGGAGAATTGTTTTTCTTTGCGCGCCGAGGGTTGATTTCCGTCTCTGCAGTAGTCGTTCAGAATATAAACTTTTCCGTCGCCTACTGATATTTTACTTCAACAGTTTAAATATATATTTGGAAAGTTAACTTGTTTACCTACAATTGTTTAAACCCCACCAATGTTAAATTAATAGTTGTATGAATAATCTGATAATAAATGAGTGCATGATTGTATAATCAATTTAGACTATGAGTAAATGAAAGTATTAAGTTGTAGTAAACATCTTGAGGAAATAATAACACTTCCTTGAGAGGTAATTACAGGGTTGGTTCATTCATTTCTCATCTTTACCCTCTATTATATTGATTTTTAATACCCCCGCATCAGCAAACCTGCAGACTGAATGCATTTCCATTCCCCAGTTGGATTTTCACAAAAATATTACTGTACATCAACACTGCCAGATTTATTTTCTAGTATCTTAAATAACATAATAATTATGAGTAGGCCTACGTGTTTTTTTTTTCTTTTTAAAATGTTTTTAGCTTGGTATGAAATAAACAAATTATTCAAATATGATCAAAATATACAGCCCTAAATTTTGAAACTGACCTATTTTTTAATTTAACTGTTACGCATATAACAACGCTTTAATACTGTAAATTATTTGTTCTTTAGCTCTACAAAATGGTTTTGAAAGAATTAGGCCTACTTATTTTATGTTTTAGACTGTCAAAAATAAGAAAACCCTGTTTTCACTCTGTATTCCTTATACGGGAAATTCGCTAAACATGGGCTAAAAGTACGTTACTACGTTGATTTCTCTTTTTTTCTATTCGTATAAAGTAGTAATATTTTTCCTTTCATGTTGCTCTTCTAACGATCTTGGTCCGTCTGAAATGCTAATTTACAATACTGTATTTGATCTCAACTTTCCAGACGTTAAGCTGTCAAAGATACACAAGTTTTTTTCCTTGTTGGTTTAGCAGCGTAACCTCAAATATTATTCGAACGCGGCCAAAGTTCATACGATAACGTCGTGTCAGGGGCTACTGATAAGTCAGTCCTAGTCCTAGTCTTCATGCACTACATGGGATATGTCGTCGGCGTCAACCGGAGTGTTCTTCAAGTGAGTCTTGGCAGGGAATAGGTGTCTTATCACTGATCAGTGTGAAACTTGCATGTTGATGGCGGGAAGCCCCTTCGTCGTTGCAGTCAAATATCTAGTGCAGTGTTCCCTGGTTTCGGCCCTGTTCTACATATATCGCGCTTGCCGCCAGGAAATAACCGACTTTTGCGAGGAAGAGGTGATGCTTCAATTTTATTGTGGTTAAATAAATACTCCACCATTTTTAACGTGTTTATAGTATAGCGACAACCTTTTGACAGGTTTATGATGTGATTGTTATAGGAAATACGCTATCTTATTGAATTGACTTAAAATTTATTCCCCCATTAATGTTTTACCTTAGATAAGTTTGAAAACAACTTTAAAGTAGTTTTCTGACTGATATTTGTATAGTCTCGGCGTTGATGTTTACTGCTTATTTAATACTCAAGTTATTTTAGTTACCACAGTGTTTGTATTAAATACAACTGTTCGCATAACAATGTGTTGAGCTGACGTTATTTACACAGTATTTTACACGAAAAGTGCAGCGCACGTTGAAAAACTACCACTTAAGAAAAGTCAATGAGTTATTTCTTTGGCCAGATTGAACCATCATGTATTCGACATGAACGCGAACCAAACTTATCAAAACTTGTTTGGACTTTAAAAGCGGATATTCATTTTAGTAGTATTAATGTTAACGCTAGAGTTTTAACATGCAGTTATGTTCAATTTGTGAACATTAAATTTACGAATTTAATCAATGGGAGATAAAAATAACGTTTCAACGTTTAACGTCATTGACATCACTGCACAGGTTCGGGTAGTTCCGTACCTGCTCGGATTTCTTCGGTTGTTCACGTGACCTCTGACCTCCTCCCCCGCCCCCCGTTGTTTGTTTTTCTCGCATCTCCAATTTCAATTTTCAATATGTCGGCCGTCTGCCTGTCAACACTGTCAATGCAGTAAATTAAAATAATCAGTGTTCTTTGATAACCTGTGTTTATCTTTCAGCTTGGTAATACATTTTCGTGATGTGGCGTATGTAGGTTAGAAAGCTGTGATTGTTACTCTTTGTTGAAACTTAATGCCAAAAGTATTTGTGTAAATTGGACTAAACTTGGTGAAATAAAATTAGGTAGGCCTAGCCCAATCTGTAGCCTATCAAAAATGCCGTCCGAAGTTATTGAGTGCGCTACACTTATAACCAAATATTTAGTACTCAAAGATGTAAGTTGGTAGATATAAAGTAACTAACTTAGACATAATTCATCCGCATAATTTTCTTTAGGGCCTAACTTAAGTTTAATTTTGCTTTTTACAGTAGCCTAAGTTGAAAAGTTCCTTACGAAACTAATAAGATAACTTAACTAGGCAACTCAGACGGCCGACGGCCTTTAACCTTAATTAACTTTTTTCTTTAAGTTTACCTAAAAACTTAAGGTTATAGCTTAATAGGCCTAATACCAAACACATTTAGACCTAAGGCCTTTACCCAGAAAGATTTTCTTAGGCTAAAATCATAAAGTGGGCAAAACAATTGATTGTTAAGTTAGGCTATCTAAGTACAATGGTGACTTGCTGTAGTTTGAGATAAAGGTTCACAAGTTCATAAAGTGACATTTAAAGCTCAGTTTACTTTTTAAGTACACTTCCATATCTGTTGGCACAAACAACGGAATGAATAATATTGATTATTCGGTTGTTTAATTCGATATAATCGATATATCGATCGATATTTCCATTCGGTTGTTTGTGCCAACAGATATGGAAGTGTAACTTACCCCTTTTAGCGAATTTCCCATATAGGGAATATTAGCGAATTTCCCATATAGGGAATAAGCTATTACCGTAGGTCTCATGGTAAGACCTAGACCCGGGACCGATTTACTTTTTCGTTTTGAGGTCCCCAGAGGCCAAAAACACCATCCGTTCAAATTCATATATATATATATATTTATATATATATATATATATTTATATATGTGTCCGTTAGCGCGATAACTCGAGCAAAATTGATCCGATTTTGATGAAATTTGGTACAAACGTGTAAACCTACATTTTTTCAAACGAGTTCGCGAACCAGCATAATCGGACCATGGGATCAGGGGTTTATGGGGGGTTTTATGGGGTAAAAATGGGTTTTTCTAATTTTTGACCCCAAAAACTTTAAATTTCTAAATTTCTCTCTAGACCATTTTGAAGAGCATAAAAAAACAAATAATTTAGTATATTGAAGTGTTTTTGAATGTTCATTGACTACGGAGAAAATTTAAAAAATTGTAAATTTAAAATTCCCATGTTATTCTTATGGAGAATAAATAAACTGTTCTAGTTTGCTTGTTTATTGATATATTTTAATCAAATTTGGCAATTTGGTTTATTTCATACTAAGCTATCAATGTTTCAATTGAAAAAACACATCTCAACATCTTCCCCGTAGCAGCAAACCTAACTACTCACTAAAATTAATGTTATTTAAATAGGAAATAAATCTGAAAATTTATAGGGAATATTTTAGTAGAAATCAAGCCGGGTAAATGGAAATTCGCTTAGGATGCAGGTTTGCTGCGACGGGGGTATTTAATTCTTGTATTTTACTTGAGTAAAGTGTAAGTGACCTCCGCACGTAAGCTTAGGCCTAGTCAAACCCCCTAACTTACATTTATAAATCCTACAATGTGATGTGTGTAACATAGTAGGCTATTGCTTTACACAAATAAAGACCCATGTTAAACTTGTAATTAACATATTGTGTCTATTGTTGCAGGGCAGTGAAAATGCGACGGCCGGCCGGGTGTCCTCATCGAGGAGTCGCACCTCCGATGAACCTCACATCGGAAAATACAAACTCCTCAAGACCATTGGCAAAGGAAACTTTGCCAAGGTCAAACTGGCCAAACATGTTCCCACGGGTAAAGAGGTGAGTTGATATTTTGATTATTTATAAATTTTAGTTGTGCTTTCCTAGCTACCTGACATATTTGCAGGATTGTGAATAATGCTTTCAGTGTTGTCGAGGCTCTGGGGTTTCCTTGTCAAATTTGGCCGCTAGGAAAACTGCTGTACTTAGACCCACTTGTGGGTTCAGTTGATGGGAAAAATTGCATTTATGCAATCGTATTCAGTAGCCAAATTTTGGCAGCAATGAATTCCCACCTTTACACCCTTTGCCAAACGTATTTCCGCATTTAGAAGGCTACCAGTTGGCATTTAAGATTGCAATTTTGTAATCTAAGTTAGCCTATTTTATTTTTGCTCACACAAATTAAGAAACGGTCATTAATATTGTCTTAAAAGTGTGCCCTCGTATCAGGTCTAAGTGTTTTGTCATGTCCCAATAGGCTAAGCCTACTAATGATTCATGAAAACTGTTCAGCCAAGCTTTATAATCGAACTAGCTGTAACCCGCGGGCTTCACCCCGTTTGACTTCATAAGTAGGTACCTATTGATAAAATTATTGATTGCCGTAACGGTTTGGGTGGCAATTTGAAAGGCTTTTCATGGTTACTTTGAAAAACAACATACTTAATCAGCTGTCAGGGCAGAGCCCTGGTAGGGTATTAAAATAAAGGTTAAGTCCTTTAAATCTGTAAATCTTCAGTGCTATGCAACGATACATCGTTGTGCGTCTTTTTCCTGAAAAGTGCTATGGAACGATATATCGTTGTTTCCGTTTCATCCGAAAAGCGCTAAGCGACGATATATCAGGCCGGCCCGACTTTCGATCATGTTAGTTTAAATGAGCATATCGGTTGACTCGGTTGTAGTTTCGAAACAGCGATGGTTTCTTTTGAATCCTCATACGATCGAGGCCCAATATATCGTTCCATAGCACTTTTGAGGTAAACAATTTTATTTTTACAAATTTGCCGTGCTGTGCTGTTTGGGCCTGCCGCCTAAAATTTATAGCGGTAATATTTGTTCACAATATGTAAGAACTAGGTACCTGATTTCCTGCATAGCCTGTCTGTCAAAATTTTTTTTTCTTTAATTGGCATTCTTTTGGTTAAAAGTTGGCCTAATAACGTCAATTATATTTACATGAGAAAATGCAGAGTTTCTAATAACGTTCAAATAGTGGTGTTGTTCAGATGGTTTTTTGTTTCACTTATCTGTGAATAAAAGCCTAATTTAATACTAAAAATTTTAGTAAAGGTTTCTTGGATGTAGTCATATTCTTTTTAGAGCTAGGATACCGGTACTAATAAAAATAAAACAAATTATTAGTATCCGGAAGCTCTGTTATACAAATAAATGGCAACGGAAAAAAGGGTTAAAAAAAGATCTTCAGTGCTATGCAACGATACATCGTTGTGCGTCTTTTTCCCGAAAAGTGCTATGGAACGATATATCGTTGTTTCCGTTTCATCCGAAAAGCGCTAAGCGACGATATATCAGGCCGGCCCGACTTTCGATCATGTTAGTTTAAATGAGCATATCGGTTGACTCGGTTGTAGTTTCGAAACAGCGATGGTTTCTTTTGAATCCTCATACGATCGAGGCCCAATATATCGTTCCATAGCACTTTTGAGGTAAACAATTTTATTTTTACAAATTCGCCGTGCTGTGCTGTTTGGGCCTGCCGCCTAAAATTTATAGCGGTAATATTTGTTCACAATATGTAAGAACTAGGTACCTGATTTCCTGCATAGCCTGTCTGTCAAAATTTTTTTTTCTTTAATTGGCATTCTTTTGGTTAAAAGTTGGCCTAATAACGTCAATTATATTTACATGAGAAAATGCAGAGTTTCTAATAACGTTCAAATAGTGGTGTTGTTCAGATGGTTTTTTGTTTCACTTATCTGTGAATAAAAGCCTAATTTAATACGGTACTAAAAATTTTAGTAAAGGTTTCTTGGATGTAGTCATATTCTTTTTAGAGCTAGGATACCGGTACTAATAAAAATAAAACAAATTATTAGTATCCGGAAGCTCTGTTATACAAATAAATGGCAACGGAAAAAAGGGTTAAAAAAAGTTTTTAATTAAAAATTGCCATGTTATTCTTACTAGAGGCCTACTATTAATATTTTACCAAAAACATCCCTTATATCCCTTTGTAGCTGCAAACCTAGTTACCTATTCATTAAATCTGATTCAGTTGAATAAGGAATACATCTGAAATTTTTAAGGAAATATTTTAGTGCAAATCCCATGAGGCTAATTGGAATTCATATACTCTGCAGGTTTGCTGCATCGCGGGTATTTACATCGTGTTGAAAGTTTGTTCAAGATCTGGATCCGTTTGGTTACCGGTAACTTGATTCTGAGCAAGTTAACTTTGTAGCGTTAGATGGAGTTGCTTTAACTTGAGTTATGAATGAGTGTCCCGTCACAACTTGTCTTGTCCCATCAATAACTGATTCTACCTTGTTGAGTTTGTGGGAGAGATCATGCTTAACAATCAGACGACTGTCACAACGGGAGACAATGTATGTTCTGGATGTCGATGAAGCTGAGATCTGGGTTTTGTCTGAGCAATCAAGTATCAAATATCATCCATCTTGCGTAACCTCCCAACCGACTGCTTGTTCCAATAAAACACTCCAGAACAAGATTAATCTACTTGTTGACAACCTCTCCAATTCCCGTCGTCAATCCGCATTGACCCGGTTTATTTTGCAAACAGCTGGTCATTTAATATAAAAGAACATTTTTTCCTTGTAGCCTATATGTAGTAATTTTCTGAAGGTAGTTGTAAAATTGTGTGAATTTGCCCACAATCGGAAACCAATGACTTGTGTTAATTTAGTGAACTTGGTATTGGGTTAAGCTTAGTCAAGGTTTGTATGTATCAGCGAAACGTAAATAATCCTGATTAATTGGGACCGGACCCTATTCGGATTATCAAATTATAAAATTACCGTGAAAAAGTGCTATCACACACAATTTGAGCATCAAACGTCTTTAAAGTTGTATATTTTCTAGTATAGGTACAGTAAAGGGTCTAAAATAGAGATGAATTCAAAACATTTTCTATGTTCAATGACTGATAGTATTTAATTTATAGCAAAGTGTGTTCAGTGCCCAATAAAAAATCAGACACTACATATTTAAGCTTTAAAAAAATTTTGATTAGCTTTTTAACAGTGGTAGTGGTTACTTTTGCAGCTGACTGAACAAAACTCTTGCTATGCTAAACAATTTACTTAAAAATTATTGACGTTCTCGTTTTACGTTCTACTGTATTGTGGAGTGTTTCTTTTTATCCTAATTAAAAAGGACCATTAAACGCTCTTTATTTAGGATTGTTTTTCATTTTGAAGGGTGAAGAGTACCGGTAATTAAGACTTTCAGAACACAATCTTTTGTCCCAATACGTTTAGGAAATTGTCTTGATAAATTTAGTTTTCTACTCAAATATAATAGGCCTAGGGAATTTATTGATAGTGTTTATTAGCCTACTTAATATTATGACTGATTTTTATACAGAGTGGTAATAAAGTCCGAAGACAGTTAAATATTAAAAAAAAATAATGTAGATAGAGCTACAATACTTGGTACAAAGTTACAGAGCAATAAACTTTATTTTAACACATATTCAGTGATCCAATAACTCTTCAGGGGGACGGCCCACAAGGAGTCGGTCGAAAATCTTAAATGGAAGCATAGGTCAATATGCACATCAAATGAAAGGTATTTTTTAGTAGAATACAATGCCGCAAACCGCACTTCAAAAGGTTGATCCTGCGCAAAATGGCAGCCGTTCAAAAACTTTTTGAATCTGCCATTTTGTAGCTTTGAACGACTGCCATTTTTTACTCAGGTGTTCTTTTGAGCTTGAATTTACGGCATTTTAATCTACTATTGAAGACCTTCAACTTGATGTGCATATCGACCTATGCTTACGTTAACAATTTCTTCCGATTCCTGAGGAGTAGGCCTAAGCATATGATAGCAATGCAAAGTAAATGAATCTTTGAACAACTGTCATTCTTGGCTCGCTTAAGTCCGTTTGAGTTCAAATTTGCGTCAGTATATTCTGCTAGTAAAGACTTTTAATTTGATGTACATGTCAACCTCAGCTTCTATTTAAGATTTCCTCCTGACTCCTTGCAGGAGTCATTAGTGTGTTCTTAAGTCCCCATGATATGACAGAAAATTTTTATTTCCTAAAAAAAGTAGATTTTTAGGTGTTGTGTTGACATACCAAATCTTATTGATTTATCTGTTGTCGTTTCGAAAATATTTAACTGTCTTCAGACTTTATGACCACCCTGTATAACTGGACTTCTATTTTGTAGGTACTGTATATTGCTCTTTCCTGAAACAATTATAATTTAAATCCTAATTCTAATTTTCTGTTATGCATTTCAGGTAGCAATCAAAATAATAGACAAGACACAATTAAATCCTGGAAGTTTACAAAAGGTAAGTTTCATATACCATTTCATATTTTACTTATTTTATTAAATTTCTTTGCAACATAGTAATTATTTTGTTAAATAAAGTTTGTAAACAATTTGAACGGAGAAAAAAATTGCAGAAACAAGATAAATAGTTTGAGTTGATAGAAAATTAACAGAACATGGACAATTATAAGGAAGTAGACATTCCATGTTTCCACTTAACTACAATATATGAACCGATCATGACAGAATTGCAAAATTATTATTCATTTTTTCGGTCAAAAATATGTGTAGGCTTACAATGAAATTTTACTTCTTGCTGTCCTGAATAAAAATATACTTGATGTTGTGGAAATTTTTACATTAGGCTACTTTATTAGTTAATTGGTATCAAATTGGGTTGCCTAAAACCAGTTAGTTTGTTTTAGAACGTATAAGGCCTATGTTAAAAATGTGAAAGTTTTAAAATTGAACTTTGTTTATAAATTGTAATTTTTTTGTACTAAAACTAACACTCATCTGAAAAATTTGAAAAAGATCCTAGTTGCATCAAAAACAGGAAGTTGTGAGTGGTGACAGTCATTTTGAGAAAATGTTTTCTCAAGTAAGCAGTTCCCACTTCTTAGATGCATTAAAAGGAAGTATGCAAATTTATCCTACTTTCTGGATAGGGCCTAGTCATCATACTTTGACCTCATAAATCAAGTCATAGAAGTTAGCAAAAAAGGTTGCTCTATCTATTTACATAGTTAATCCATTTCGGAAAGCATACAACAATGATTTGCTTTTATACTAACCACAATAGGCTAGAATTTATTCTTATGTCTGTTTTTAATGTTTCAGTTATTTAGAGAAGTTAGGATAATGAAGATGCTAGATCATCCAAACATAGGTAAGTTGATGACAAATAGAATAATTATTGTTAAGGACAGTAGGCCTAATACCTAAGGGATGTAAACATTTCAAGGATTAAAAAAAAAATATTTGACTTTGGGGACAACACAGACACAGACAATCGTGATATAGTGTTTTACTAAAGAAAACGTCTTTATGTCAGTCAACACTAATTGAACAGTTGAGATTTATTTAATTGTTAGCTGTTGGTTCTATACTCTTGGTAACGGGTTAGCCAAACTCTAGTATTTGAACTAGTTGCAATCGTTACCAGAGTTCTGTTGTGGGGAGGTGTAAAAAGTATGAAATGAAAAATAACTTTATTACTAACTTTAATAGCTTAGTTTAGGCCTATGTTTGTTGAATCCCATATACATCAAAAACAAAAATCATGAGTTTAATAGTTTTTATGTTATTGCATGGTGTCTACTCTCCGGGAAATTCGGGAAAACCGGGAAACCTCCGGGAATTTTATCTTACCTTGAAATGTCCTGGAAAACTCCAGGAATCCACCCAAACCTCCGGGAATCCACAGCCCGGTCATCGGAATCGTCGCCTAACCGAAACACTACCGCTTTTGTTGCCACGATCGCGGGAAACGATTATCGGTGTTGCCGAAACCGCAAGATATGCTCACGGGTATTGCCGCGATCGCGAGAGACGATTATCGGTGTCGCCGAAACCACGTGAGATGCACACGGGCGACGATCGCGGGAAACGATTATCGGTGTTGCTAAAACCGCAAGATATGCTCACGAGTATTGCCGCGATCGCGAGAGACGATTATCGGTGTCGCCGAAACCACGTGAGATGCCTACGGGTGTTGCCGCGATCGCGGGAAACGATTATCGGTGTTGCTAAAACCGCAAGATAGGCTCACGGGTATTGCCGCGATCGCGAGAGACGATTATTAGTGTCGCCGAAACCACGTGAGATGCCTACGGGCGTTGCCGCGATGGCGGGAAACGATTATCGGTGTTGCTAAAACCGCAAGATATGCTCACGAGTATTGCCGCAATCGCGAGAGACGATTATCGGTGTCGCCGAAACCACGTGAGATGCCTACGGGTGTTGCCGCGATCGCGGGAAACGATTATCGGTGTTGCTAAAACCGCAAGATATGCTCACGGGTATTGCCGCGATCGCGGGAGACGATTATCGGTGTCGCCGTAACCACGTGAGATGCCTACGGGCGTTGCCGCGATCGCGGGAAACGATTATCGGTGTTGCTAAAATGCAAGATATGCTCACGAGTATTGCCGCGATCGCGAGAGACGATTATCGGTGTCGCCCAAACCGCAAGATATGCTTACGGGTATTGCCGCGATCGCGAGAGACGATTATCGGTGTCGCCGAAACCACGTGAGATGCCTACGGGTGTTGCCGCGATCGCGGGAAACGATTATCGGTGTTGCTAAAATGCAAGATATGCTCACGAGTATTGCCGCGATCGCGAGAGACGATTATCGGTGTCGCCCAAACCGCAAGATATGCTTACGGGTATTGCCGCGATCGCGAGAGACGATTATCGGTGTCGCCGAAACCACGTGAGATGCCTACGGGTGTTGCCGCGATCGCGGGAAACGATTATCGGTGTTGCTAAAACCGCAAGATATGCTCACGGGTATTGCCGCGATCGCGGGAGACGATTATTGGTGTCGCCGTAACCACGTGAGATGCTTACGGGCGTTGCCGCGATCGCGGGAAACGATTATCGGTGTTGCTAAAATGCAAGACATGCTCACGAGTATTGCCGCGATCGCGAGAGACGATTATCGGTGTCGCCCAAACCACGTGAGATACCTACGGGTGTTGCCGCGATCGCGGGAAACGATTATCGGTGTTGCTAAAACCGCAAGATATGCTCACGGGTATTGCCGCGATCGCGGGAGACGATTATCGGTGTCGCCGAAAGTGCGAGATATGCCTACGGGCGTTGCCGCGATGGCGGGATGCTAGTATCGGTGTTGCTAAAACTGCAAGATATGCTCACGAGTATTGCCGCGATCGCGAGAGACGATTATTGGTGTCACCGAAAGTGCGAGATATGCCTACGGGAGTTGCCGCGATCGCGGAAGACGATTATCGGTGTCTCCGAAACCGCAAGATATGCTCACGGGTATTGCCGCGATCGCGAGAGACGATTATCGCTGTTGCCGAAACCACGTGAGATGCCTACGGGTGTTGCCGCGATCGCGGGAAACGATTATCGGTGTTGCCGAAACCGCAAGATATGCTCACGGGTGTTGCTGCGATCACGGGAGACGATTATCGGTGTCGCCGAACCCGCGAGATTTCCCCACGGCTATTGCCGCGATCGAGGTAGACGATTATCGGTGTTGCCGAAACCGCAAAATATGCATACGGGTGTTGCCGTGACCGTTGACGGTGTGACGTTTTGTCGCTGGTGTTGAAGAAACTGCAAGATATGCTCACTGATATTCCCACAATCGCGGGAGATGATAACTGGTGTCGCCTTACCTACCAGTTATACTGTTTTATTATGTTAAAAATATTATTCTTTGGAAATGTTTTGTTTCAAATAATAATAATCATTATTAATAATAATAATAGCCTAATAATAATCATTTTCATTTATTAGCGGGTTGCGATTAGTTAAACGGGTTCCGATAGTAGCTCCTTAAAATTCAGGAATTTGTCTTGAATTCTCCTGGAAAACTCCTTGAATTTTTCAAACCAGGTTTAGTAGACACCATGTATTGTTATTCAGTTTTTATGTGGGATGTCAAAAATGATTAAATTATTAAGTGTTGTAACTTATGTAAAGAAAATCTTATGTAGCAAGAACCCAATTTGTACTTGGCAGGAGAAATTTGTCTTGAAATCACTTTTGGCTTATTTGACGAGGCTAATTCTTGCATAATGGTAGGAAACTGCTAGGAGTGGCTGAAGTGGTCCTTGTGTTGGTCTAAAATTTGAACTAGCTCTTTTTGCAGACTTTGAGAGATTGATGGAGACTTTTGACAGCCCTTGAAATTAAACAGTGAAGTCGAAAAATTTATATCACACATTACAATTTCCATTTACATTTCTTACTTTAAAAAATGCAATGCAAATGATGTTTTGAATAGACAGATTTCCAGGATTACCAGTATTGTGTTGTGTTACAGTCAAGTTATTCCAAGTGATAGAGACAGATAAGACATTGTACCTGGTGATGGAGTATGCTAGTGGAGGAGAGGTGTTTGACTACCTCGTACTACACGGCAGGATGAAGGAGAAAGAGGCTCGGGCCAAGTTTAGACAGGTCAGTGCCGTAAAACACTTCTCAGCCTAAAAGTGTCAGGTTGCTTGGATTTTCCTTCTGAATTCAGCAAATATTGTATCCTGTGTCTAGCTGTGAGTCAATTGACTTTAAAGGGCAGTCAGTATCTCACCTCACATGTAATGACCATTGATCTCTATACTATAAATGCATCACGCACTGTAATGCTCAGAAGTAGGCTCATATCGGTCGGTCCCCACCTAGTGGTGAACCGTCCTGCTACAGCCATACACATAACATAGGGCTACTATGGTTTCATTGATAACAGTTTTCATATGTTTTCACATAACATATTAATACTTCTGCGGTTTCATGCAGATTACAACTGTGTAAATTATATGAAAATCAAGCTACTGTGCTCAAAGATGCAGCGTCTTTTGTGAGTGTGAGCTTGGAAATGCCATAAGATGTAATGTGTAGAGAGCAACAGTTCATAGGTTAAGAGAGCCGAGTGGCCGGACCGAGAAGGCAACCCAGAGCGTGCAATCCAGTTGAAATAGAGATCAATGGTAATATTGTGTTAGAGCGTAAAATTCAAATTTAAACTTTTATAATAATTTATATTCATTTTCAGATAAGCTATTGCCTGGTTGTGGGACATGAGTTTATCTGGAATACGTAGGGTCTTACACCAGATTTCAAGAATGCTTTAAATAGAGAACCGTGAATACTATATTGTGAAAAACTGACGTTTTTTTCTAACCAAATAGATATCGCCTCTAGGAAAACGCCCATGCCAAGAAACACATTTTTTTTTTACTATGCCAGTGGTATTTTTAAGGAGCTATGAAGGAAATGAACAAACCCTTTTTGAGAAAGCGGTCCAAACCCATATGATTTTTTGATGTGCCGGGAATCAAATCCATCCCCCTCGCACTTAATTCTGAGTCACTTACCATAAGGCTAGCAACACAAATTTCCCAATCATGACACACTATCTCAGAACAAGGACTGGAATTATTCCTTTGGTAGACCTTGCATGGAAATAATTTAACTTTAGGGTTTAGGTTATTAATAATAACGAGCTGTTGGCCCGTCCTATGTACGGGAATCGAGTCCATTAAAACTGTATATAGTGTGTCTATTACTAATTCAGGCATAGTTTAATCAGTTCAAAATTGATAGTAAAGAAAAAGCTTCCAAGATGAGTTAAAACACGTAATCATTGTTATTTCCCCAGCCTTTCCTCAAAAAGTCGAATAGTAAACTAATTTTCATAGGCTTTCTTTTGAAGATTAGTGAGCTTCGATTCGTATACAGCAATGGTTATAGAATCTTACTTATTTCCTAAAATCAATGACAAAATCTCAGAGTAAATAAACTAACCTCATAAATCTATAGAATATTTTTTATTCAACCAGCTGTTAGTTATAATAAATTATATTTCACTAAAACATACTAAAAATTTGAAAGACTGCTCAAAAAAATAAATTAGAACATCTATCATTTTACTATGTATATTTAAATAAACTCTCATCCTCTTACCGATTAGTATGTTGTAGCCCTTTAAATTCTGAAAAAAATGGTACAAATCCCATTTCCATAAAAATTACGGTTCAAAAGTTATGGTAAATTATGTTATTTTCTCCATAAAAAACCCCATAAAATAACAAAAAATAGGATTTGAGAAAAAAATCCGGTTTTTATTCAACATAGTATGTTATGGTCCTTACAATTTTGATAGTTTTTTCAATTTTATAGAAATTTTGATTTTTAATGGGGATTTTCCCATAAAACCCCATAAAATAACGGAAAAATTGGATTTTCCCAAAAACGGCCATCACGATTTTGATAAAAATTTAGTATTTTATAGTCCTTTATATTCTGAACAAAATGGTACAAATCCCATTTCTGTAAAAATTACGGTTCAAAAGTTATTGTAAATGATGTTATTTTCCCATAAAAAGCCCATGAAATAACGGAAAAATAGGGTTTTCCCAAAAACGGTCCGAACTATTTTGATAAAAATTTAGTATGTTATAGTCCTTTAAATTCTGATCAAAATTGTACTAATCCCATTTCTGTATATTTACTCTCACCGCTTACACATGATAAAGGTTGTTGACAAACTTATGGGAGAAAGTATGTGTCAGAATGCTGATACCGTTTATTTTACAGATTGTATCTGCTGTTCAGTATTGTCATCAAAAGAAAATCATTCACAGAGACCTTAAGGTGGGTGCTTATTTTTAAACCTTTGAAACATTTAGTTATATTAATTAATTGAAGTGTAGAAATTTTATCCCACCAGAGAAAAGGTTTTAATGTGTTGCTAGTAAATATCATGTAACAAGTTGTGCTTAATGCCAACTTTTTTGTATAGTCACCAATAATTGTGTGTTCAAATTGTAATTAAAACATAAGTAATGGTAAACACATTGACTGGCTTTCAGTCATGTCATTGAGACTGAACTAATCACCCAGATTGATCCCAGTTTTTTAAGTGTTAAATTATCTTAGCAAATTAATGATTCATGCACAAAAAAGCAAGTTACACTTAAATTTTCTATTACTTCCATTACTACTTAAACTTGTTTTGACTAAGTTGGGATGCGATCTCGCATTTCCGACTCCTAATGTATCTGTAAAAACATAAACAGAAACATGATGTATTGATCTATTTTCTTTCTATGTTTATTGGCTATATTCTATGTAAAAACTGACACTTTGCTCAATAAAACAAAAAATGTAATTAATTTGTATGATATTTATTTTTAGGCTGAGAATCTATTACTAGACAGTGAAATGAACATCAAAATTGCTGACTTTGGCTTCAGCAATGAGTTCACTCCTGGAAATAAGTTAGATACCTTCTGTGGGAGTCCGCCTTACGCCGCCCCTGAACTCTTCCAAGGTGCGTTGCCAAACTTGGGCTGGAATCTGTTCTTTCTCAGAGTGTAAACATGTTCAACTGCAAAAAAAAACACAAGTACAATGGTGATAATATTTATAATTTTATGTTAACAAATAAAAGAGCTCTGTTTTGATCATCTCTAAAACATATAAGCTTTTTTTCCGACACTTGATAAAAAAAGGTTTGAACCAACACATGAAAATTAACCACTTTGGGGTAGTTTGGAATTTCATAAATAATATTGTTTTCACATCTCTTTTGATTATAATTTATCTATGCTATAGTATGGTTTGTTTTTTAATTAGTTAGTTTAAGACCCCTTTACCCTTTTAAAAATGTATTAAATCTTTTCTCAAATAAAAACATAAACAAGATTCCCTTGTGAATACTCTGTTGTTCATTTTACTACGTTTTGTACATTGCAGGTAAAAAGTACGATGGGCCTGAAGTGGACGTTTGGTCGCTCGGAGTCATTTTATATACCTTGGTGAGTGGATCGTTACCATTCGATGGCTCGACGTTACGAGAACTAAGGGAACGGGTTCTCAGAGGGAAGTATAGAATCCCCTTCTACATGTCAACCGATTGTGAAAACCTGCTCAAGAAATTCCTCGTGTTAAACCCAGCGAAAAGAGCGTCACTAGAGGTGAGGTCGCATCTCAGATATTTGCTTTTATACTCTAGCGATATTCGTATCACATGGGTCTGCTAACCCATGATTTAATCAGGACGTTACTTCTTACTAAAGCTTTCTAACATTGGTAAGTGGGATTTGACTCACTTCTGAAATCTTTGTATTTTAGTCTTTTTAATTTATTTGTTTTAGTTTCATATCTATCTTGGTTGTTGTTTGAGCCATTATGTAGATTTGCATAGCACTTCATCTTCTGTATGCTTTTGATGTAATCGAGCATTAATCATGTTTATCTGGTTTGAAACGGTGGTCAAATGTCAATTGGATAGTTCTAGATAGTACATCTATGCTTTTAACAATATAAATTATTTAGTTAAATAATGTACCTACTAACAGTAGCTTCTCGGCTGAAGTTGAAGCATTAGTAAGCTATATAACTTGTAAAGCCTATTGTAACCTTAACAGATGCCAGTTAAATACACAAATTCCAATAACCCTGAATAAAAGAGTTTCATTGCTTTTATTTCCTTTGGTCCTAATCATCTACACTAACTTAAGTAACCAAACAGTATTTAGATTTCTTTTTAAACAACAGTTTGATTTGCAAATAATAAAAGAAAGAGGGATAAAAGACATACAAACTATTTAAGTAAATGTTCTAGTAATGAATTAGTCGCAAAGAAAAGTATTAAACATAATAGGCTACACAGTAAATTTATTGAAATTGTTAAGTTTTCCCCTAATGTTAACTTTATATGCCTCAAACATTGCCAAACATGACTAAACTCGAGATAGTAAATCAATTTATTAAAGTTAGGTAACACACAAAAAAACACTTTTTATTGGGGATGTTTTGTAATGATAAACAACAGTTAAAATTAATACTATTCAACCTATTTACATTTCAATTTTCTTGCATGTTGCACTAAGAATATGTCATTCTCTTCCAAATGCACTCATTATGAAATTTTTAGATTCATGTTTTAACTGTACATGATGTCATGAGTGGTAGCACATTATATTATGCTAATGTTTCACTATAGTTGCTTCTTAGTTTGAATGCTTTGACGGGACTCAGGTGTTTGGCGATATTTGTATGAAAGCACAGCTAAAACAATGGCATTGCTCAAAACCTTGATAATGTTTCTTGGTTAAATATGTGGTGAAAAAAAGGCCTGGAGAAGACTGTTAAAATATGGACAGGGGTTTGTAGCCAGAACCTTTTTTGTAACCTTTTTTACTTTTGATTGGGGCTTGCTAAGTAAAAAATATTGATTTCAGTTCTCGGTCCAATATGAGGGCCTGCCAAAATCATTACTTTGGAGAATTTTGATTGAAATTATCACACTCCAATAATCGGTTCCTCAAAAATTGTACATAACATTCTACCGTTGTCGCATTGAAACCAAAACCACCGTAACTTGCAGTTGCAGTGAAATGATGCTATATTAAGTGGAATATATTCCACTGTTGTTCCCCATGGTTGCAGAGACATTATCATTTTCTCTACGATCCAAGTCGGTCGGCTACGATAATGTGAACATCTGTGGTCGCCGTGAAATCATGGATGCCTCCTGCAGTTGTGATGAAATCGTGAGCGTCTCCTGCGATTGCGGAAAAACTGAGAACTAATTACGTCTTCTGCAGTCAAGGCAATACTGTGAAATTCTTCCACAGTTGCAGAGCCACTGTAGTCTCCCGCAATCACCGCTAAATCACGATCCCTAGTGATCATAGCTGTTTGCGATGGTTTTAAGCAATGCCGTTGTCACAAATGAACCAAACGCTTGAGCCGCGGTGGCAGGTGTTTGGTGTATGACATGGCAGACTAAGGCAGGACAAGGAGTAAGAAAAGTCTGTACATTGCAGGGCTCGGCTTACAGCGCCCCACAGAAACCTGGCGAAACTACGCAGGAACCATATGTAAAGTATCAGACCTAAAGTTTTTCTTAAGGTTAAGAACCCGTCACACTTGCTTGCAAAAGGGTTGAAAAGTGTGGGGTTGGAACAACAGTTTGTGTAGACTTAAAAATTGTAAAAAATAAAAAAAACATTCACATTCATAACTCACATTGTCGGATTTCTTATATCAGTTATTTTTCTCTTGCGTGTTATAAAATAAGCTTTTTGCTGTACTATTTGCTGAATGTTTTACCATGGTCGTACTTTCTGACACAATCCCCATAAATTGTGAAGTTTTGGACATTGTGAAGTTTTAATGTTCATAGGATCTCTAAAGGGATTTTAATAAACTCATTATAGTCTCTAAACTTATTACTAAATGGTGTGGTGTAATCTGTATAACAAAAAATAGCTGAAAAATAATAGACATCCCATCGATTAGAACCTGTTGTAACCAGTTTTTTCTCAACAAGAAACATACAGTAAACTCACTTTTTATGCAAAGCCATAATAATAATCTCAAATCAATTGGAAAAATAGTTTGCCATCGGGTAATGTGTCAAGGCGATGACAGTAATGAAAATAGTGTTAAAACAACTGTCCTAGATTTATTTGAACCTAAATAGCTTTTAAATTCCAATCATGGATTACCGAAAAAATAGCTATCCAAAACAGCCTCGCGCCATTTATTGGGTTAATCAGGGATTTACTGTGAATGAACAGTGTTTTACTATTTGAACAGTATCACTTTCTGTAGTGTTCTAATTTTTACTCTAATATTGGTTACAACTTAACTCGAGAATGGAATGTCTACTTGTCGTGATTGGTTATGTGCATGTTAGTTTCTAACTGTTTGCTGTTGAAAAAGTAAACCTTGCCAGACTAGTAGTTTAGTTTAAATTTGTTTTCCGAATTGAATTGTGTAAATACATGATTGAACTCTTGTTTGTGTACAAATTAATCAATATTATACTTTGTAGTTGGTATGAATAAGGTGCTTCTCTTGCTTTATTAGCTTTATCACTCGTTATCAATCTAGTTTATCATGTAACCGTAAAACTTTTTCAGGTCTCAGGAAGTCATAATGGTTAAAATTTGTAATACAAGTTATGGCCTACTATGTCTAATGTTTACATGTTTTTTGAATGATGTTTTATACCGTTTGTGTATAGGCCTATGAAGATAGCCAATGGTAGTTAAGTCCCTGCTTAGTATCCAGTGACATGTTTAAATTTTCCTGGGTCTTTGTATTCAATTGTATGGTGGGATAACAGACTCAACTAAGTTAATTAAGTCCATCCTGTTAAGTCTCACAATATCACAACCAACTTTAAATAGCCTCCCCATTTTGCTGTCATTTATAATTTGTAATAGATTATCGCTTATTCATGTCTCTTCACTATATTTATTTCATCTATGAATTAAATTACAACTAGTTACTATGTCAAGATCTAAATTTCACTGTTCTTCTGCTTACATGTTAACAAAAATCAAGTGTTACAAGTCTTGTAAGTTTGTCATAGTTAAGGTATGCATAAGGCTGGTCTTCATCACTGGTTTGGTTTCAGAACATAATGAAAGACAAGTGGATGAATATGGGTTATGAGGAAGACGAATTAAAACCTTACGTTGAACCTGATTCTGACTTCAAGGATCTTAAAAGGATAGGTGAGTTTGTCTTGTCTTATTATTGTTAGAAACTTGTCACTGATAACATTAGAGCAAAAGTAAATGGAATTTAATTCACATTCACAAACGCAAAAGACAATGATAATTTTATGCATAAGCAACGATAAGTAGATATATTTTCAAACTGAGTTCAGGTCTTTTAACTATACAGTAGAATTTCAATAGTTCCACACTCTAGATCGACACTCAATATTTCGACACTGTGTTAATCGTCACTCCTATATTTCGACACAGTCTGTGGTGACGGCCAAAGAAGGGTTCGTTGAGGTGCGTGACCATCCATCACATAGGTGGGTCGAGTCAGTTCGCTTGAGACTTTAAGGGGGAATTACAATTCACTTTGGTTTTCATTCAAAATCTTAGTGTTTATCGTTAGTGTTACCCATTGGGGAAGGAATTAATGCGCTACCTGCAGGACCCTCGGGCAGCAATTAATTTTACCGAATTTGTAAACTTTTACTCTATGAGTTATAGAAATAAACCTTAGAGGATAAATTAATAATTCTTTTACCAATTTTTTTTTACAATAAAATTGTCTACAAAAAAGTGGTCATTTCATAATCAAAGTGTAAAATAAAAAAATAAAATTATAAAAATCATAAACAATAAAAATTGTTAAACAATTTTAAAATAAACTTGATTTACAAATCCCAAGATCAATCCAGACACCAAATGACACTATTATTGTAAAGTTCAAAAGTTACTTTTTAAGTAATTACGTAGAAAAAAATTTTTGTTTTACCTTAAACGCAGCTGATTATGGGTGAAATCAGATTTCCTTGGCAACACAAACTTGTTTGTTATTCAGAAAAATAAATGAGTAAATAATATGTAAAACAAGAAAGAAGATATTTATAAACATTAAAAGGCCTAAAATGTTAATTGAGTTTTTTTCATAAGAATTCGTACATCTAGGCCTACAATGAATGTTTGATATTGCTTGAGTTATAGACTCAAAGTCGTCTTCAATATTGTCATCATCAATATAATTTTAATTACTTAAAGAATTACATAAAAGTCATGGAGTTCGTCACATCACTGGAACGGAGATCATAACTTATTTTGAACATCTCACTACGCACGCACAGCAAACAAACAACAAAACCATAACATAGGTTAAAAAATTTTGCCATTTGCAAACTCACGATAGCTGTTTCAGTTCAGTCGGAGAGAAACAACATAATTATAACGATAAAAATACATCGCTAAACGGCCGTCTCATATAGTCACCACGAAGCCCTGAATTAGCGAACAGTTAGTATAAGTAAGCAAAGTATTGAGAATCGGAATCGGCCCATCCCTTTTAAAAATGGCAGAAACAAGCAAAAAGTGTTTAGTTACAATGTAAATTAAATTAGACGATCTTGTGTTTTAAATACTCCAGGTGTTTGACTTGACTTGACTTAAAAAAAAATCTATGAGGATAAATGTAGCGAACAGCTTCAGAATGTCAGATGAAGAAATCGAAGAGGTGGACAGATTTACATATCTGGGAAGTGTCTAACTATCAAAGTTCTACTATATTTTTGTTTGTAGTTCTAAAACTATCATTTGGTAAATTAGTTACAATAAAAAGAGTATGGACCTGACTTTGTTAATACTTCAAAGTCACTGTAAGATGAGCCAAGCTCTGTTGTTATTTGTTGATCTCTTTCTGGTCATTTGTTCGCTAAACTGAAAGAACGAGTATTCTTGAGTGTGGTAGATTGCGTGAAAATATAATAATAATATCTATGGTTCTTACCGTCAACGCAATCAGGGGTAATATTCCACTACGGGCGTTTCAGAGATGACTCCATCGTCAGGTGCGTAGTGGTACACTAAACTATAGTCTTGTCACATTTAACACAAACTTTCTTCATTTGCATTGCGTCAGGGGTTGAATAAATAATACTAGTGATGGGTGGATCCAAGAAAATGTCGGTACCGGATCCGGATCTTCGGATCTTCGGATCCGGATCCAGATACACACTGTCATAAGGGCGGGTAAAAAAAAAACGTAATTAACAGAATGCCAATTTAAATCATACTTTTATTATTTTTTATCACGTAGCTTCGGGTAAGATTAAAATACTAACGGGATATTTTTGAGACAAAATTATTGGCCGTTAGCTTATCATCCAGGTACAAAGCTAAAAACTAGAGGTGTGAAGATATCCGAAAAATCGGGTCGGATTCAGTTCGGAAAGATACATGCCATTGCCATATATGTTATTTATTTGTATCAAGAGACAAACACTGAAACATGGCCTTGCCATATAAGTTATTTGCATCAAAAGACAAACACTGAGTCATAACCTTGCCATACAAGTTATTTGCATCAAGAGACAAATACTGAGTCATGGCCTTGCCATATAAGTTATTTGCTTCAAAAGACAAACACTGAGTCATGGCCTTGCCATATAAGTTATTTGCATCAAAAGACAAACACTGAGACATGGCCTTGCCATATAAGTTATTTGCATCCAGAGACAAACGCTGAGACATGGCCTTGCCATATAAGTTATTTGCATCAAGAGGCAAACACTGAGACATGGCCTTGCCATACAAGTTGTTTGCATCAAGAGGCAAACACTGAGACATGGCCTTGCCATACAAGTTGTTTGCATCAAGAGACAAACACTCGGGGAAAAAACGGTCTTGTACATGGATACAGACAGCTTTGTGTTAGTAAAAAAATCTGGAAAAAATCGGGGTTGTACAGTGATACAGACAGATTTGTGTTAGTAATCAAATCGGTGTTGTACAGTGATACAGACAGCTTTGTGTTGGTAAAAACCCGGGGTTGCACAGTGATACAGACAGCTTTTTGTCTTAGTAAAAAATCGGGGTTGTACAGTGATACAGACAGCTTTGTGCTTGTAAAAACATTCGGGGTTGTACAGTGATACAGACAGCTTTTTGTGTTAGTAAAAAATCGGGGTTGTAGAGTGATACAGACAGCTTTGTGCTAGTAAAAACATTCGGGGTTGTACAGTGATACAGACAGCTTTTTGTGTTAGTAAAAAATCGGTGTTGTACACTGACACAGACAGCTTTTGTGTTGGTAAAAAATCGGGGTTGTACAGTGATACAGACAGCTTTTTGTGTTAGTAAAAAATCGGGGTTGTACAGTGATACAGACAGCTTTGTGTTAGTAAAAAAATCGGTGTTGTACAGTGATACAGACAGCTTTGTGCTAGGAAAAAATCGAGAAAAAATTTGAAAAAATCGGATCCATCAAAACCGGATCCAGCCCAAGATCCGGAATTTGTTGGATCCGATCCGGTGCCGGTTCTAGCTCGGATTCGGCGGATCCGGTAGTCCGATATCCGGATCCGACCATCACTAAATAATACACATATAAGCACAGGACGGACACACGAAAACACGAATACACGAAAACATGAATACACAAAAACATTTAGAGCGTGTGCACGGCTTGAAAACTGACGACCGACCAAATATAGTTTAGTGTACCACTACGCACCTGACGACGGTGTCATCTCCGAAACGGCCGTAGTTTAATATTACCCCTGATTGCATTGACGGTATGAACCATAGATATTATTGTTATGAAAGAACGAGTTTTTGGAGATTTATTAGACCAGTAAAATTCATCAGAATTCAGCCACTTGTCTGTGAAGGTAAACGTTTGCATTGGAGGAAAAATACATAAGATATTATTATCCAGCTTTGTTACTCTATATATTTCTGAACCTTTTCTGTTCTTGCAAATTCACGATGTACTTTGTTCATTAGCAAATTTTTTTCTTACATTAAAACTTTTTATTTAATCTGAGTGCCCAGAGTTATTTGTAGTAATTACAGGTTGTCCTGTTGTAGAAGCCCTAGTTGGAATGGGTTACAGTAGAACAGAAATTGAGGACAGCTTAGCGCAAGCTAAGTATGATGATGTCTTTGCAACGTACCTGCTACTCGGACGAAAGTCTACCGATGTAAGTAAACGTGTTAATGTTTTTATTGTTATTTTATTAATTTATTTAAAAAAATAATCTTTGCTCACATGAAATCTTGGTCTGGATCAGATAAGAGTGGTTCAAAGAGTTGGAAAGAACATGGATCCTTTAGATCCTATAGAATGAACCCCATAGAACATGGATCCTTTAGATCCTATAGAATGAATCCCATAGAACATGGATCATTATCCTGGACTATTAACATAGCTCCTATAATACAAAGCCGCGGCGAGACTCAATTGGCAATGTCGCAGCTATACCGAAACAGCTTTTGTACCAATTCATGTTGGAGCTTCTGGGCAATGTTTTATGTTTACACCTTTCATCATTAATACTGTTGGTACCATGGCAATAGGCTGGCTGGAGCAATGTTGCTACACACCAAAGCCGTGGCCTTGTGCTAAGTTATTACTCAACAATAAAACAATTCCAATCACCTAATCAGGGACAAATTTAAGTACTGAGGTACCAACAAATCATAGATCAGATATGATGCAAATATGCTAGGGGAAAGCAATGTTATGGGCAAAGATCGGTTTATTGTTTGACCAGGATCATTGGTCAAAAGAATAGTTCTTTATTTTGAATAGCAACAGGTAAATATGAGAACCCGAAGCCACTTTATAAACAAGTTATTCGCTCATCAGCTCCATCATATATATTATACAGGATGTCCCGGAACTCTCTGCTAAGATTTTAGAGCATTGTTCCTGAGTAAGAAAAACATATCTAAATAATTACCATAAAGGCAATTTATTTACAAATCGATTGACCCCTTATTTTTTAGATTGGACGAATATTAACTGAGATATGGCTTCTTTAGTGATACGTGACCGCTGGAGGTTAGTTGCAGTGCATGTAAAATGTTTGTAAAATCAACGGTTTTTGAGTTATTTAAGAAACAAAATTGTATTTTGTTTTATGAATTTGAAAATTTTGTTGGTAGCGTTGTCTAGTTGTCATAAATGTTTGTGCGAATTTTCAATCTTGTATGTTAAACTATTCTTTAGAAAAAAATTAATTTGTGAAAAAAACAAAATGGCGGCTGTATAAGTAATTAAGGACAATTTAAATATGATATATGATATGTTTCTTACTCAGCAACAATGCCCTAAAATTTTGGTAGAAAGTTCCGGGACACTCTGTATTTCCAATATTTTGGGTAGTTGAAATATGGAATCTTTATGCCTAATGTTTTATGGGTGACGTTACAGCCGGAGAGTGATGGGTCAAGGTCAGGAAGTTCACTGTCACTGAGGGGTATGACACCAGGCACAGGCACGCCAGCCACCACGACCAATGCTCAGTCTCCCAGCCATCGGGGTGTACACCGATCCATCAGTGCTACCAACGCCAAGCCTAGCCGTCGCGCCAGTAGCGGTGGAGAGACCCTGCGTGAGTCGACTACGCCGGCCAACGGGGGTGCGCACTTACCCTTCCCCCTCCCACCTCACACTGGCTGATGCAGAGATGGAATTGTGACGATGGGATCAATTTTTACTTAAGCCAAAAAAATTTACAGTACAATCTTGTTAAGTCAAATCAGACGGGACCACAGGCAATCTAATATAACAATATTTTTAAAGAGTAGAAATCAGTCAAAACTGAAACGTATACTTAAATTCCCTGTTTGGGCACGAGTGAACTCTGGAGATGAAGTCAGCATTTCCCCAAGTCGCTACTGTTTCTTTTAGCACACCGGGGCGTATTACAGCAAGCCTATACGGCTGAGAAATTCCAGATATATACGTAGATTTCCAAAAATAAAGCTACAAACTTACCGGTCAAAGAAAAACAAAATATTAACTTTAAAAAATTTCAGGAAATAAAATTAAATCTTACTCAGAAAATAAGTTTATTACAGTTTTCATTGCAATATGGAAAAGAAATTACAATAATATTCTTAATCAAAATTTTCAAAATATGATTGCAAATTATCACGTTGTTGAGCCTGTGGTCCAATCACTAGGTTTGTACCAATATTTGACAAAATTACCAATTTCAAGCCCCGTGGTCCCGCATTTTTTGTAATGAACCATTTAACACTATTCATTATAGTTTCAAATTCAATAATCCCATGAAAATAAAATTATTTTGAAAATACATTTTTTGACCAAACCGGGCCTACATAACGAGGTTTTACTGTACCAATTTTGGTCAATGTTCAAATTATGAAAGTAATTTTCTTTGTTTTAAACTGAATACACCACCTCAAGATTCCGCTCTGCATACGGCCGCCAACCACAGAATACCACAGTATTTTAAGTTAGCAATGTTCTTTTTTGGAGAGATAACAAAAACTCTATAAAGTTTTAAACAAAACTAGCTTACCCTTTTCTGAAACGGCAATGGTAAACTTCTAAATCTATTCTTCCTTCTGCTGGGCTTTTTACATCTTAAGCACATCTTGTGTTTACTCATTCTTGCTATTTTTAATTTAATTTAAACATAAAATAAATTTGGCTTATTATACTTTCACTTTACTTGAATACAAATTTGTTGCCAAAACATAAATTTAGTAAAAAAAATAAGTACACAACATAAGTAAAAAAAATGAAAACTTCAAATTTTAAAAACATGTTTTTTTTTACTAAAAATGTCTATATAGAAAGGTGTACTAGCTCAGTTTGACTAAAGACACAAACTCTTTCTCGGTGGTTCAAACCGGGCTGTGGTGAAAGGTTCCTGTTCCCTTCCTTTTATGAGCTTAGAATGAATGCTTCAGTAGATTTTGGCTTGATTAACACATACAATTGTCTTAACATTATTAGACTGACACCTTGGTTTTCTTTTCATTAACACTTTTCTTTTAATATTTAAATCTTTGTGAAGTTAAATTATCGTAGTAGTCAATAAATTTTAAAGAGGTAAGATATGAAATTTGTTTTAATACTTAAAGGCTTTTGTCAAAAGTTTTAAATTCTTAATTTTTTTGTGTCAGTCAGCCATTAATGGTATATTAATAATAAATTAAATATACTATACTTATAAAGTATGTGTAATCGGGCTTAAATCTTAATCAGCATTCAATTCTTACTTTTGTTCTATTTACGTCCCCATTTTATTTTGTCTTGTATTGCACCATACCGTTGAACGATCATTTACTCATAATGTTGAATGTCGTTTATTTTAATGTTTACCTAGATATTGTACCTCACTTGTGTTAATGATTTTTTTCTCAGTTGCCTCTTGTCTTGTTGATGTGTAGTCCTCCATTTTGTTACGGTAAAAAGTGTATAATGTTACACCATGTTGTAAAAAATTGCCATTTTCATAGTTGAATTTATTACAAATTTAAATTTACTGAACAAGACATGAACGAGGCATGTAAAACCCTAGCATGTCCATTGATCCTTTAGAGGAAAACTTAAAACTGACCGTAGCGTAGCATGACATTCTATATCCCTTGTAACGCAAATTATCTTGCACAAAAGTTGTATAAAGTTGTATAGGACTAGCGTTAATTTTATAAATATTATTTTTACTTTGCAACAAATTTCATTGGTTACAATCAAACATTTGGTGTTAAATGTTTGTCTGTGTACTCTATGTTATGTGTTTAAAACCGAAATTACTGAAATGGGGAAAGATTGGAATGTTGGAAAATTTGGGATTTGTTATATACTGATTCAAAAAATGTGTGTAAAGTAATAAACTTACAGAACCCGAAGCACTTGAAATTTGTTGGCTATAGTCATGCTTCCCCTAGATGCTTGTTGATATCTGATGTATATTTTTGTCTTGTGCATGTATTTGTTGACCTACTCCCGTCGTCCGTTGGTGTTTATTTTGCACAAGCAGAGCAGATTTTCCCTGCCTCCCCCATATGTTTTTGCACCAATTGTTTACCTTTTTTTGTGTAGTATAATCCTGAAATAATATTGTTTAAACATTTTTTCTTAGTTTATACAAACAGTTCTTCCCTCAAAAGGACGTCATCTTTATGTGATTATATTATTTATTTATTTTACTTATTGTTAAGTGATTCAAGTTAATTTGGAGTTGAAATTTGAGACGAACATTTTTTTCCGATGCAGTGATTTTTACAGAGAAAACAAGCAGTTAAGCTTGCAAAGGAAATTCAAAAGCATGGAATAGTGATGTGTTTTGTGATGATTCAGTGAAAACGGATGCTTGAGTGGTCTCAAGAATCCAAGAAATCTGTGCTATGAAGAAACTACATTCTCTTGACCCCAGTGTATGCTACTGTGCAGTGTGGTGATTTTTTAAATTTTGTGATAGTTACATGCTTATTATTGATTGAAATTACAAGTGAGACTGGTATGAAGTGATAACCAACATGGAATTCTATGATTAGTGTATTGTACTTTCATTCTAGCCTGAATGCCAGGACTTGATTATTTTTTGGTTTCAACAACATGGAAAACTTTCAGTATAACTAATGTATTATTGTCCTCATTTAAAAATAATCATGAAAAACTACAAAATCTAAGGAAAACTAACAGAAATCAATATTGTTTCAATTAATGAATAGTTTGTATTTATTAGCAAGATAGATAGTGAACTATTTTATTGGCCACTTTGGTTTATTTTGTATTTGTGTTAGGTGTTTGAAAGAATATGTTTATTTTATGTGCTGATGTCAGTTAAACCATGTCAGTCTATAATCATGTAAGTACTGTAGAAATACCTACACATATGTTGTTAAGATGCCTTTGTCCATACGGTTGTTTTGTGAATGTTTCCACATCTGAAGTAGGCAATATAAAAAATTAAGTTTTAATTTATTTTAAACTATGACAATCGATTGTAAGGGGGGCACGGCAAATTACTCTTCTTAGCTTATTATTTTTGAATTGTGCGAAACCAATGGAACGGGAGTAGGTTTTGTCAAACCCTTACTTATTTGTTTTATTTTGTTCAGTGCAAAATAGACGGCTGCTTAGCCTACTAGGTGAGTTATATTTATTTTGTTGATTTTTATTGATAATTCATTAATTTTAAACAAAAGTCAACTGAATTGAAAAAATATTAAGCATGACTTATTTTGCATTTACAGATTTTACATTAACTACAATAAAATAGTTTATAGATGTACTAACATTAACATGTGTTAAATCTAATTCTATGAATCAATTTAACCAATTTACTTATGCCAACCTTGGTACTGAAAAAAAATTCAATGTGAAAGTATTTTTTTATTTAAGATTTTCAACAGTCACGAATTCTCTGTTTCATAAAATTTTAAGTACGGTAGTAATTTATAAAATTAAAATTGCAGCAAACTCTTTATCAAGTAGAAGCTGCTTAATCATTTAGGGTGAGGCTTGTTTTAACTCTATTGCAATATTTTCTCACCACATCAATCGATCATTTTGGAATTTGATCTTTTCTAGGTTGAAATTTGCTTGTTTAAACACTCGTTTGGCTTGTTCGGCAGTTATCATCATATATTTTTCCTACAGTTACCTAACAAAGTACATGTTCTCTCACTGATTTGAGAAAGCAAAGTGGCCAATTCGCTCATCAGTGAGACAATGTTAACATTGTCCCACTCTAATTACTTTGTCTCACTCCAGATTTGCAACGTGAAGGCACAAAATAGTGAGCGCGTAACATGCAGACAATGTTGTATGCGGGCGAAATACGTTGGCAGCACTGGTTGTAAATCAGTTAGTCAGCTGATTTATTAATGCTACTTTCACATTAAATGCCATAAGTTCACTTCTGTATGTTATGTTTCTTTACCAATTTATTTGTTTTATGGTAACTGTAGGAAAAATATAATGTGCAACTCGAGTGCAAAGTGCAATTGCCTCACTCTAGAAACCATTCCTTGAGTAAGGATTTCTCTCGAGTAAGGCAATTGCTCACTTTGTTCACTAGTTACACAAATAACTATTGTATTTTGAGGAATTCTTGCATAGTCAGTCATGAATAGCACATTTCATACAGTTATGAATGCAACTAATTCCATATTGTGGTTTAGAATAGAAAGAACTAACACAATTCACAATGTTCACAGTAACTCAACCTATATCGACCTTAGATTTTGCTCAAATGTATACATCGTAGAACTGAATTGAACAGTTAATTTTACTTTCTAAATCTCACCTTATTGCTTAAAATCCTAGATTCATTGTATACATAAAAGTAGGTTAAGTCTTTTTATTTGAGGAATTCAGTCTTTTTCCCCGTTAGGTGATGTGATAACACAGATTTAAGAGTCGAAAGTTGTCCTCGTCTATTTTTTATATTTGTATTGTTTCAAACTCCCAAGAAGTTTTACTCCCAAGATGTCTTCTGTTTGGTGACCTGGTCAAATCACACTTGTCTTGTCTGCTTCACGCTTACCCCCACTCCTCCACTCACTAACCCTGGTGCATGATGGTAAAATTTCACCAATCCGACACTCGCTTCTTTCTAAATTGCTGCGGTTGTACTCAAAAAAATGTATCCAAATCAGTCATATTAGCATGCTTTGTTCATCTTTGGTATTTTAAGATTTCTTTCTCGCACAAACTAATGCGTCTGAAGAGTTTGCTGTGGAATTATTTAATTAGAATTTGATCAATATTTTGGTTGGTTAATTCTTGGTTATATTTTGCAGTGGCACAATTTTTGGTTGTGTCAATAAAAAATGAGAATTGTTATTTTTATTTTTTATCGTGCTACTTATCTATCTAGTCTGATGCCGCTAGGCTTATTAACAGTTGGTACTTTTTTTTATTAAAATTGCTTAATTTTAATTCTTAATATTCTTATCATTAACTTATCCCACTTAAAAATAATTTTCCTTTTTTAGATATACATGATTCAACTTAGGTTGTACTCACTTGTAAATCTGAACCATTTTTTTCTCGTAGCAATTAGCTTTTAAATGGTTCAATCCTTCTGTAGTATAAAACTATTCTAAAAACGTTGAGGATTCAAAAATAAATATATTTTTTTAACCCTTACTGGACAGGTTATATGAACCAGGATGGTCAAAATTTATGAAATGGAAGAAATCTATTTTAATTTCTTTGATGCATTTTTGATATCCTAAATAAACAATCACAAATTACTTTTTCAAACTTGAATATTTGTTTGCAATTGAGGCTGTTACCTGTCTGTGAATACAAACAAAAATTACAAATGTATCCACAACCCATCTTTCACAAATATAACACATGCCAATCACAAATTAAGACTGGTTACACGTTTATTTGACGAGATTTTATTGAAAAAAGGCCTACCTTGTATGGTAAATTTGAATAAGATTTTTGTCCTAGAAGAATATTTTCATAAACAAAATTACGTATTAAGTATTTTAAGAGTGGTATGCCACATAAGAGATCACAATACTTATGCAGAGTACAGGAAAATAGTGCCATAGCAGCGCGAACCGGCTGGTTCCTGTATAATCACCTGCCTGTCTACGGAATTGGTGGAAATATCTGCTTCTTGTCTTCAACATAACAAAATATTTTGTGGATATATCCGTCATGTCCAAGAAGGGTTAAAAACAATGATTTGTAATAGACAATAAACTGAGTATTCTCAATTATTTATATCACAAAACCTTTAATTCATTTCACTCTACAACCCTATGAGGTAAAGAATTTTTTTTTTGTGGATATAAATCTAATCAAGTTCCACCTCTAAAATGGTTTCAAATTTTTATCACCAAAAATAATTTTTGTACAACTACCATAATTCAACAATTTCCTTACCATGACATAGGTTATTGTACTAAGTTTGCTGACTATTATGTGTGTAAAGGCGGAGTACCAGCGGGCGGCACTGCCAACACGACCAACCACAATCACAGTAGCGGCGGCGGCAACAGCACCACCGCGACTGCCAGCAACTTCAAGCGGCAAAACACCGTGGACTCGGCTACCATCAAGGAGAATACTGCAAGAATCAACTCTCGGGCTCCGGCCAAGACTGCCAACCTACCTGTGCTTGACACAAGTAAGCCACTGTAGTTATAGAACACATTATTGAAGGTGTCCTTTGGATCAGTTACTGAAAGTCTAAATCCCGGAAGGTCTAATTAGACCTTCGGCACACATTTTGCAGTTAGTACTTGTTGCTGAGGGTCTAAACGGGCAGTATGCCGATGTTCTTAATCCTGGAAGGCCTAAAAGTACAGCCAATGCAGAAAACTCACCCACTGATACTGTTTTAGACCTTGCGAGATTTAGACCTTGGGCTAGCAACCTATATTTTGTAAATAAATCTTTATAAAATTAGAGTTGCTGAAGGTCTAAGTCCCGGAAGGTCTATAAATAAAATGAGAGTTGTTGAAGGTGTAAAAATGTGAGTCCCGGAAAGTCTAAAAATGTGGGCATTGCGTCGCAATGCTTAACTACGACCGTTTTTTTCAACTATCAGTTTCAGTCCAGTTGAAATTGAAAACCCGTGGAATGGAAAAGATTCACTTAACAGCTTTTTTTACTTACTTAATATCTAGCATTATTATTTTAATCAACAACACGAGTAACAGACCAATGTGGTTCAAGGAATGAGAGAAAACACGTACAATTAATTATAATGCTTTAAACATCACCTAAGCTGTTCAGACCAATTTATTTCTTGATCAGTATACTTGGAGTCCTCCAGCATTTGATCCATCGATGAGATAATTTTTTGTATGCTGGGATCTCCCTGTAAATCTAAAAAATCTACAGTTATGGTTTTTCATATTGGGGGCAACTCGGGTCTTTCAATCGTTGATGGTACAGGGGCAGCATATTAAGGTCAAAATCTCGCAAGGTCTAAATCAGTATCAGTGGATGAGTTATCTGCATTAACTGTACTTTCAGACCTTTCGGGATTTAGACCTTCGGCATACTGCCCGTTTAGACCCTCAGCAACAAGTACTAAACGCAAAATGTGTGCCAAAGGTCTAATTAGACCTTCCGGGATTTAGACCTTCAGCAACACTCCCTGTCCTTTAACTTAAAGTACTGCTTAAAGTACTGATCAGTTTAAAGTTTTATTGAGAGTTTAATCATGATGAAGTAATTTTTAGGGGTATTAGTGCCAATAATTGTAGAATAGTGTGTGGGAAAGATAAGGAAAGGGCTCCCAACAACACTTGAGTCACACTACTAGACGCCTCCAACAAAATTAATTGTGTAGATGACTGTACAAAATATGGAAAGTGACAGTGAAGGAAAGTAGGTTTCTTATGCACATGTGCTCACCACTCTAGACTCAATCTATAACTAGGAGTTGTGCTGTTATCTGATATATTTTCACTGTAAAGTGTTGTCCAAAGTGAACCTAGCAACGTTTTGACTCTAGTGTCTTTTCAATATTTCATTGCACTATACTCTGGTAAACGTCACAAGTAGCTTTGGTTACTACACGACTTAATTATCCTTTACACATGAGGCATCTCTTGAAAATTGCTCGGTAAGGTCCACCAGAATACCAAAGATTCCCTGATTTTGTACGTGGATTAAACACCCTGATGAGGCCTACAATGAGAAACAATTTATAGTATAAAAGTAAACCCAAGATATGAACCACAAAATTTGTATGTGTAGCGGGAACAGCAGATGGAGCTAGTCCTGGCAAGCCCAGAGTGACCAAATCCAACACTATGCAAGGCAACCGTATGTTTGCTCCATCCGCCTCCATGGGACGACGGTCAACCATCAGTTACGAGGCGAAGGCCAGCAGCAACGAGAAGACCAACACTACAGGGGAGACACCGAGGTGGGTGACCTTTCAAAACTTTCTGTTCTATCAATGAATCATCAGTTCTTGATACCGAGTGACTCAGATTCTATTTAGATTCAAGAATATTGCACCAAAATCTTAAATTTCTGACTTTACAAAACTTACAGACATCTTCTGAAATCGGCTCAACCATCCAAGATTCCTCTATAAAAAAGTGCGGAAATTATAAAAACCATCCTAAAAAATGGTGGGTTTTACCATAGACAAAAAGTATTAAATATAGACTGTCAGCCATGCTGCGGTTACCATAGGTCCTGGCGCACACCGCTGGAAGCGCCGAGTAGTTACGTAGCGCGTATACCGTAACTACATGGTGATCCCAGCAGTGTGCGCCAGAACCTATGGTAACCGTAGCACGGCTGACAGTCTATATTTCATCCATTTTGTTTATGGTTTTACTCAATATTTTACTCTGTCAACAAACCTTGAGGGACGAGATGGTCAAGTGGTCCTGGGTTCAATCCCTTCAATCACCAATTGATTTTATCTAGTCCTAGCCTGATGCAATTTAAATGTTAAACTATTCTGGGCTGGAGCCTATCCATCGTTCTAGGGTGTGTTGATGGGAGATGAGAGGAACTAACCCTGAACAGCGATTGTTTCAAGCAATTTCCACTAAATATTTGATTGAATGTATTCAATATTAATAGATAGTTCCTATGAAATACATTCATTACAGTTTATGAATATTGGTTTTAAATTGTTAAAATAATTGTTTCCATTTTTAATAATTAAAAAAATCACCAGAAATTTCACTGTTTCTGGATGTAATTAATCTTTAAAATAATAACTCCTGAGTAATGCTGACTTACTTATTACAGGTAAGGCTTTCGTTACTTAGTCCTTTTCAACCCTGTTCTTAATCAAACCTATTAATAGTTGATTTATTATTCGACACATGTCACTGGTTAAATAGTGTGTCACTAATTACCCGTAAATAATATTCTTTACTTACTACTTTTTAAAGTATTGTATCATTGTGACAATGTATTAGGTCTCTAGACAGTAGGTTGTTTCATTTTGGGTTTGATTTTAATTGTTTTATTTTATTTTACAAGGAGGCCTTAGACAGCCACTCCAAATCCCAAAATGTGGTTTTATGTGTTAGAAACCTTGCGTGGTTTTATTGAAGTTGTTTCATCATAGGACATATTTAGTGGAGTAGTGTTTACTTTACACATGCAAATAACCTATGACATCTATATTTATGATGGAATGCCAGTATAAAATCTATTGTCAACATCAAAAATCATCTCCAACACTTCTAATGTGACAATGGATGTTGCTAGATGACTGACATGCCTTCTTTACACATAACGCTGTAAACTCTTTCAGTAACAGGAACGTTTATTTAGTTATAGTAAATTGGATACTAAAAACCTATTTACTAACAATCAAATCCAAACAAAAATGTAAGTCTCCAAAATAAAAAAATTAAACTTTTTATGTTACAAAAAATCAAGTTATCCTATCATCAGTGGTTCAGGAAACAACAAATAACAACAATAAACATAAATATCAAGTTATCAGTAAAAAAATTAAAATGAAGCCTGAGTTTTTAAATACAAGGGCTATTCAGAAAGTAAGGAACATTTATGATTAAAAGACAAAGTGTGTATAAAATTGTATTACTGTGTGTATTTTATTATTTTATTTTATATTTTTGTATTTTATTATTCACCAAGTTTACAATTTGGGAAACTAAACTAGTGAATGTAACTCAGGGCAAGGTCTGAATTAAGAGTGGTTGAGGTAAAATCTCCCATTTGAACGAGTGACAATAACAAAATTTGGACGTCCACTTAAGTTCGGCCATTTTTAAACTGAATGCACCATTTCTGGACTAAAATAAATTTTTGTGTTGTTTCTGTGCACTTCATAAATACCCGACGATAATTTATTTAGGTTTTGCCAACATAAACCAATTACAGATCAAACCTCACAACTAACAAGATTTTCTACAGCAAACTTTTTCAACTTGAATATTGCAATAATATTACGACACTTCTGTTGTGACGGCTGGACAATTACTAAAGAAGAGAACATGTCTGTACGTGCCTAGCCACGTGTCTTAACGGAAACGTTCCTTACTAATTGAATAGCCCTCGTATATCCACCCAAGCCGTCGTTACCGAAGGACTATAAGTTAGGTTGTTGGGTTGCTGCAGTGTGGTGACCGTGGACAGTCGCGCAGGCAAGGGTCACATCAAGTCTGCGTCTATATCCACCTCGTCTGGACGGCCCACTCATGAACTAGAACCCTCTCTAGATCCTCTCCGACAAAGGTACCCTGTCCTAACGTCTCAGACACCTACACTTTACTTCGCTGCCTACTATCTGTAGAAGTAGTGTTTTGCTGAGAGTAAATGTTTAGTTACAATAAGTGCAGCCTCCTTTTTTTTAAATCGTTCCTATCGCGTAAAATTGTATTTGATCTATTTTACATTTTTGTGGATTTATTACTTATCCTATAGATTGAGAAACTGTGAAATAACTTTCAATTATTAAAATAGAAGGCCAGCCAAAACATTTTAGTGGTTCCTCAAATATCAACATTGGTTATCGATTTGCATACTCCTTATTTCTTTTCTTTCCAAAATTGTTTCATCGAGTATTGTATTAATTTTACTTTGTTGAAGAAATGTATAAATCCCTAGGTATTATCATTATCAGTGAACTGCAAATTGTATTCTCATATTGACTCACAGTTCCAGAATTGTGGATGAAATGTTTTGAAAATAATATCAATCAAGATGTAACTAATACTTCAACAGAAATATTTTTAATTGGACTAGTACACTTCATATTCAGTTTTATCAACACTGAACTAGATAAGCTACTAATATGTTCGATACCTATCTTAACATTCACAAACATATTTATCAATTAACTTTTCATTTCCTATTAGCAAGCTCTGATTCTCATCGTACTCTCATTTAGAGTGCTTTAATTTTTGTTTGTTCCGTTTATGATTTTGCTGATGACTAGTTTGGTATTTGATCGACCAGTGGCTATGTTAGAGACTCGGCAAGGAAGCAAAGTAGGTTCTGAGATCACCCGGCTCACACAGTTTGTGCTTGGTGTGCGGCACTAATGCATGAATCATCCATCACATTCACTCGTTCATTTGCTGTTGTTTGTAATGATTTTCTTTCATTTCACTTTTTGAATGTTTTATCTGACTAGAGACTGTTTTGTAGAAGTCAGATTGATTTTATCTAGTTTTTGTATTGTAACCAAGTGGCAATTAACAAATTTTTTAGGTAACTGTCCAACCGAACCCTAGCCTTGTTAAGGTGTCTACAAGTCACAGAAATCACGCAAGTCGCGGATTTTACTAGGGCTGAAATTCTAGGGGATTTAATGGAAGTCTTTTAAAAAACTGGGCCTAACTAAAATAAAATTCCCTAGACGTGTCTTCAGTTTCGCCTCTTGCTAACAGGCAATGATTAAATTCAGAATCAGTGATGGCAAACATATTTTTTGGGAGCAAGCAACTAACTCACACTTAAAAATATTGTATGCCCAACTATCTCATGTTCAAGTCACTGAAAAGTATTGTCTTGTTGGTACCAAAGATTAACGTCTATTCTAATTGTTTGATGTTGTTAGGAAGCACCATATAGTCAATGTCAAGAATGTCCATAAAACCAAAATATCAACCTACATTAGGTTAATTATCTTTTATTCTACTGATTTCACACTAACAATACACATTAGTCACTCTTCCGCTTTGTTTATTTGCATTGGGTTTGTACAAGTGTACTGTTTACTCCCATGTAATTCATCTACTCAAATGTTTCATATAGTTCAATATTTTTTTACTCTTTAAATTTTAATAGAATTAATAAAATACAAAACCAAACTATTGACAAAAGTGGATTAGAAAATAATCCGTTCTTCTACTTTGTTGTGATGCATGTTTGAATGTTTTTCAAAAGATATTTATTGTTTTAAATGTTCTTTAAATACGAGTGTTTATTGCATGTCTGTATGTCTGGTGTTGCAAGTTTTTATCTAATATTCAAACAACTCATAGTGTATTCAGAACTCAAACAGTGCATCATGTTTAAGGAAAGTTTCTCTTATATACTTTAAACTTATTAGCTCTACATGATTCTCCTTGTGCATTGAAAGTTAGGAATGAAAGCACAACCCCACTAACAGTGGCATGGCTGCCGATCCTAACATTTCATCTCATGACATCAGCTGACAGTTAGTCTGCATGCTTGAGCAGTGTGAGATTACTAAACCTTCCCTGCTCCGTTCCTCCCTTTCCTAAATCACATCAGATCAGCTGGTTAAGTGTTGTTTTTGTGTGATTTTTATGGTTTTTACTTTTTAGTACACCCGAGGAACACCCGTGAGTATTTTTTTGTGATTGCAGTTTCGCTAGCTCTAGGTGAATGTGGCATTTGTCGATTGATTTCAACCTGTCCTGATTTTCTTTTGTAAATATTAGTGGCACATGCAAATTTTTAAAGATGAGTCTTGTGTCAGTATCACCGTTTTGTAATAAAGCAGGTAAATTTGTTGTGAAAGTTTTTACCGAAAAGTAGGCACAATCTTTTTTGTAGCTAACGTCCATTTCTATTGGAAAGCCTAACTAACTACACATTAAATCCTAAGGAACTGGGTATCTTTCTTTACGATCAGAATATACATTAACTTTGTTTCTACTGTTTACTAAATTAGGGGTCTGCGGGTCCCCGATTTTTTCGGGTCGGGTCGGGCCAGCGGAAGGCCCGAGAGACCGGGTCGGGTCAGAGATTTGTTCGGGCCAAGATCGGGTCGGGCCAAAAAAAATTATTATTGTTTTCAAAGTTATAATAAGTAATTTTCAAAGAAACACTCTTATATATATTATTACAGAGGAATTAAAATGTTAAAATTAGAATTAAATATTAAGTTTGCTCACGTTTAAGAACAAAGACACAACAGAGCAATTGCCTTACTGTCACTAGCCAGAGCCAGTCGTCTACTGACAAAACAAAAGCCGTGACTCAACAGTGCAAAGAAAACGAAGTCAAAAGAAAGACTATTTTTCCAGAGGTCCCATTTTAATTATTTATTGTTTATTCCATACCTAGTTTAAAATATATTTTAGTATTTTATTTACATAATAAATTATAAACAAAAGAAATATCTGATATAGTGTACAGATCTGTATCTTGTTCTTTTATTTTCCTATTGTCCTTTTTGTCATTCAGTAACAAAACAAAACAACACTTCTGATCGTCTGGTTAGGCATTGTATGGTCACTATTTCATTTTTTTTTTTAAGTATCAAGTATCAGCAAGTCTACAAAGAGGTTAGGCCTAAATATTTTATAATTTTATTTTATGAAAGTTTTCATCAGTAAAATTATTTTTTTCTTAGGTTAGATAGAGTTTCAAAAAAGATATTTCTAAGATCCAATACAATATTTACAAGACACAAACTACCATGAATTAATTTCTTTATAAATTATCTGTAACAGTTTTATATTTTTGAATAAAGAAAATATATCTTTTTGTCTCTACTTCCTTGTTTCGTTACTTGCATTTTGTCAGCAATTGGAACAACCAGGTGGTGTAATAGGGGCGGGGGAGGGGGAGGGTCTATGACCTTGAGTTTCCCGGGCCTGGCTCGGGTTGTGTAAGAGTGAAGGGGAGGGGAGGGGGAGGGTCTGTAACCTTGAGTGTCCCCGGGCCTGGCTGTGAGAGTGATTCATGGTTTTTTGTTTACATTCTACTACCCTTCCTTCCGAGAAAAAGACCCTACGGTTTCAAAAACATTGACTTACAGTATAAAAACATTGAGTTGTGTTGCTAATTAGGGCACTATAATGTCTCTGTTGTCTGCTTATGTTGCCAAATTAGCATTTAACTTTCTTTTCTCTTGATTTAATATAATTTTCTATATATTAAGAGTTCCTTTTTGGGTACCTAATAATTGTGATATTGTTTGACTTGAGTTTATGGATTTTTAATTATTTTAATTTATTAGCTAAAATCAGTTGTTTTAGGATCTCTTGCAATACCTATAACTGTGCCTATAACTGTGTATCTATAACTGTGTACCTATGACATGATATGCAATTTTTACAGTCTTTACTATAACTATACCATAAACAATGTATGTGTGCTATTTTTACTGTTTTAGAGTTTTATAGTGCCTAAATTAGTTTACACAATATCTTTTCTTCAATGAGTTCTTCACTTGTCATGTTGCTTAGTCTATTACTATTTTAGGCCCTATAAAAAATAATTCCTATGTAAAGCTGTAGGCCTACTAATGCCAATAATAGATAATTCTTTATTTATGATGATGTAACTAATAATGCTATTGTAAGTGTGAGGTTTTTGTACTTAGGAGGTTAGGAGGAAGGGAATGAATGATTCATATTGCATGGTGGAAACATAGAATTTTTATTTTCTTCTTGCTTGCAGTCTTGAAGCCAGTCCACAGGCCCTAAACTTGTGATAAGGTTAATTGATTTGTTTATGATCCTTTTATATTAAGTTCCATTACAAACTTGTTGTAATATAGCTGTTTAGATATTTCAACAGTTATGAAAATGGGAAAGAATGGCTTGATAAAAAAAAATTATTTTCTTCTTTCTTGCAGTTGAGGCAACTTCTAAGCTGTAAATAAGTTATGAACATGAAATAATATACATAAATACATTTTTTTCCCATATGTTATTTTCAAGTAATATTAAAAACACAGATAGGAGTTAAAAAAATATAAAAAATCCGGTAATTAATAATTTTTGGCCCGACCCGATTTTGGCCCGAAACCCGAGGACCAAAATTATCGGCCCGACCCGACCCGACCCGAACCAAAAAAGTCTGACCCGCAGACCCCTATACTAAATTAATGATTTTGTGGTGTATAGGCTTAACAAGATTACCTTATTTGTTAGTAGAGTATATTATATAGATAATAATGCACTAATAAATTTTTAAGAGTCTTAGTTCTTGTTTAAAGAATAAAAAAAACTACAAGAACCAAGACTACTACTGAAGAAGTTAAACGCTCCGAACATTCAATTTGTTTAAGTGTTTATTCGTGCATGTTCATCTTTTTTTGTCAGTAAGGTAAGCTTGCTATTAAATCTATCCACCAGAAAATCTTTAAAAACCCTGGCCTAAAGCCATCATTGCATCATGTTTGCCAAAACACGTTTTCCAAATTACTGTTTTAGTGTTTTACACTATCCAAACTAAAAAGCAGTATTGAACAGATGCCAAAACCTTTATGTCGGTCGAGTTAGACAGTTCCGAGTGAAATTACCTATGAATTTCTAGTTTGCTTGTTGGAAGAAATATAACTAAAAAAATTTACAAATTTAATTTTCAAGGTGCTCTTATGGTGTATACAGTACAGATTGATAGCTGGGTTGTTATGTTTCAGTGTTGGAGTGCGTTGTGGTCCTCCCGCCTCCCCCGCCCAGACCAATCGTCAGCCGTTCCCCCGCAATGTGCCGTCCCGCAGTACCTTCCACAGTGGCCAGAACCGCCAGCGAGGCTACGGCACTCCCTCCCCCACCGGTGCGCCACACGACGCCAACGCCAGGCCCTCCTTTTTCTCCAAGCTCTCGTCTAGGTTTTCTAAACGGTAAGTCGATGTTTTATCTGTTCATTGTTTCTCGTCTTAGTGTATATCAAAAAGTGGTTTACACCGTTCTCATAATTAATATGGATTTTGTTTGGAATTTTATCTTTAATTTTTCATACCGAATATTTGTAATAAAATATACGTTTTTTATTTATTACTCGTCTGACCGGACAAGTCATGTGTTCCTGAAGAAATATACGCTTGTGAAACAGTTTGTAGGTTATCCAGCAGTATTTTAATTTGATATATCCACAGTGTTCTAGTGTAAACCACTTTTGAAGATGTTTTGCTTGCAATCCACCATTGTTGTGTCCTCCACTTTCTCGTTTGTCCAGTGATGCACTTTTGGTGTTAAGTGTTTTTATTCCTTTAGATACTTCAATTTCTTTCATTTTATTTTTATTTATTTTGTATCTATGAAATGTCTTCCACGGACAAACTTCTTTAGACTTTGACTTTTCATTTTAATTAATATTAATTTCTTGCTTCAGGGACAAATGCAATTATTTATTCAAGTCTCACCTGAAATTTGACACTAGATATTTTGTATGTGCATACAACTGCCGTAACCTAAAAGTAATATCACTTGAATCTATTCCAAACACAGTAGACTCACACAGGAAGGTCTACTCGACCACGTTAGAGGATGGTAACCGGGCAAAGTGTGTGTTGACTGGGTGCACAATAGCTAAGTCCATGTAATTTGTTGCACGAAATTAGCAGCGACCTCGACTGTGAAAGCTTAATGTATTGTTTTGTCTCCCAAATTATATTGGTACCGTTAGCATTGTGCATCCGCCGCGAGCCCGCTGTATTCCACATGCGTATCCTGACAGCATTGGCTTTCACACCGCGGTCACTGCTAGCTCGTCAACGCTAGAACGTTGCGTCACGTCTAATCGCGTTTTCCTGCCCCTAGGACTGCCAATTAGGAGGACGCTTCGCCCGAGCCAGCCGCAAGATATTACTTGACCGAAAATATTCTATCGGAAAAGTACCTTGCTGCGGGATAACCATGTGGAATAACAGTTGTACATATATTTAACGTTCGCTGACATCGTTGAAGAGAAGAGAGGATTAAATTTTCTTGTTATAAATAGTTCCAATTGTAATTATGTACAGGTCTGGTTGTATACAGGAAGTGTAGCGGGGTAGAGTTGTCCAGTGTAAGTTAGTTTTAAGGCCAACAGATAATGACAAGGGACTGAGGACATATTTTTTACTGAAATGTAATCTAGAGTGTTCACTAATATAATTTTACTTGAAATAGTTTTCCATAAATATTATTTACGATATCTAGATGTTTGTTCCTTTAATATTAGTGTTTTCCTGCTGTTCCTTAAAAAGGTGAATTGTTTAAAATAATATCATTGTGTACGCTATGAACCGAATTTGATCATTTACTTTGATTTATTTCATTCTCAATAAGTGTGGTAATTACAATAAAATAATTATATTGTTTTGTAGCTTAATAAATCACTGATTAAACTCAAACTGGATTCAATGTGTTGTTTTGTTTCAATAAAATTGTTATTAAATATCTCATAAAATCTTTTTTTTTTCTACATTCTTGATTTATTTTTGCTAATATCAATATCGTTGAAATTTGTATCACAGGGTAGTTTAAGTGGCATTTATTTGATTTGTTTCAATAAGTAATGGAGTTTTTTTAGACCAAAAAATTGTGTAAAAATTAAAAATATTGATACAAATTGCCAGCTAAATTTTATCGGACATCTGCTCCTAAATTCATGTATTATGAATCTGCAAATTTTAAATCAATTTTTATTATTCTTAAGTTTGATAAAAGTTATTAAACTCTTTATATTTTATTTTGTCTTTTTAGGTAAGGTAAATAATCCCTTATCATTTTAAAATACTTCAATAAATGAGAATGCATATGAAATGGTTTTTTGTGAGATTTAAAATTTTGAATAACGCATTAGTTATTTTCCTGATTCGCAAGTCGTTTGATATGTAATCTAGTCACATTTTTGCTCAGTTTATATGTGTTGTGTATTTTATTGTTAAGTCATCTGCTGCAACTTTGTTATTGAAGGATTGACAAAATGACCAAGTCTTATAATCAAAATGATGAAATGATAAGGGATTACTTTTAACAATAGCATTTACTCAATTGATTATCAATATACATAATTTGTAGTCATCGTAATAGTGCAATTGATCTTTTTAGTGTTAAGCTTTGTATTCGGATCATATTAATACTCTTATTATAGCTTTTCTCGTACATTTTTTTGTAAATTTTGTACTTTAACCTTAATTTGCTAGCAGTTTCTCTAGTATTCCATGGGTGTTTGGCCAGTCGTGCCTCGTCGGACATTGTGCCTTAGCAACTCCGCGCCTTCAGTTGTCGTTCTGCCATGGTCTCGTTACGATATTCCATGTTTACTATTGTTATACCAAAGTGTACATTGTCTAGTGTATCGTCGGTAAACTTTTTGTTTGTATATAATGTAACTATTTTAATAGTTGTTTTCCCTTACAAATTCTACTAGGCCATCTTGCTCATTTAAAACTCGATTTAAGCGCTTTGTGGTATCGCTGTTAAACAATAATCGACATACAACTTGAAAGACTGTCTTTGACGTTTTATTCTTCGTCTCTAAAACTATATTTTTATAGGTTCAGAATAGTTTGTGAATCACAGGTATTTTAAAACGCGTTGTATGCACAAACTCTTCTAATTAGCATTTGCCAGATACGATTTAAAATTTAACATAATTAGTCTATGAACGTATTATCTTATTAACCAAAATAATCAAAATGTTTAAGCGGCTTTTAGTTACCAAATGACTTGTAAATAAAAAGCTTTAACAGAGAAGCTGTGTCAGAATAGATTAGACAAAATTAAGGTCATGAACCCATCAATGTGTAAATGTTCATTTAATGTAAATCAAAGCATGTATGTGTTTTGTAATTAGAAGATACATATTGTTTAGTTTTTGCATTTTGATTGTGTACTAGTCACAATTCTAAATTTGAATATGAATTTTTAGTGGTTTGAAGAGTTTTATGATCATCTTTATAATGTGCGTTTGATTTCTATGGCTCTCCAGGTTTATTATCATTTTAAGTTGACAGTCTGTCGTTAGTTTACTCATTCATAAATGGATATAAAAGTATTTTCACTTTAAGTCAATGTTGTAATTGGTCTATGCCCGCCAAAGGAGTGTTAATAAAGTTTTACTGATATATATATGTAGTTTTATTCTCAAATTTTGTCAATCAATTTACTAATAATAACTGAAGAAAAAAGAATCTATAATATCTTTGAAGAAACTACCAATTATCTTAGAATAGACATGTTTTTAACAGCTTTGCACTATGTACAGAGCATCCTTGGCTGTCACTTCAGTTGTTGAATGTCAAGAAGGTTGTACTTTTTGACTCAATTACTGACAAACCTGCCTTATAATGGCTTGAAACTTGTATGTCTTAGTTAAGATGTACATTTTATTAATTAATTCTTAAATGCATGCTCTTTTTGAAGAAATATGATTCATCTTAATTCAAGCCTATGGACTGTTGTTCATACCTTTAATAAACCAACTATGTCACTAGGCTATAAAGGGAATGCCGAATCGGCTAACATGAGGACTAGCGGACACCAATTCAAAATGACGTACCCTGAGAACTTGTCTTAACAAAATAATAAGGGGTGTTTGTTTTGTTTAAATTTTAAATTAAAACTAAAACTCTTCATAATCAAAACTATAGCCTATTGATCATTGATAAAATAATGTCCATTAAGTGTATTTTATAAAAATTTAGTTATTTAGGTGTTTTACTTGTTAAAACTATTTTTAAATCATTATAAATGTGACTCCTGAAGTAGGTTATGGTGGGTTGTACTATTAAAAAAATGGAAAATACAGGTTGGTCAGTTCTAAGTTGCAACTACATTTGACAATCTAAAATTAGTGGGTTCTGGAATAGTAAATTCTTGAGTCTTTACCCCTTTTTAGTTAATTCTGCAGATAGCCAGTTCTGTTGTCCACCACTAATGTTGTATTGCAAAAGTTTCCAATTTAGCCTATTCCATTATATGAGAAACTTGACTTTTTTCAATTATGGGCATATTATATTCCAAAGACTATATTGTTTCTATGTTTAGTCTTTTGATTTTTTAACTAGATACAACAAATTTCTTATCGTTCCTGATTCACCTAAAATATTAAATTGATCCCAAACGAAATCATAGTAACTTCTACAGTCTGATATCAGAAAAGCATTAATGAGTATTTAAGTTATTTTCATAATTTACTGACATTTCAAGACCATTGATGTATAATAACTCCCTGGATTGCGCGCTCAGGTTAAAGTAATTCTCTGAAAACGGGCCGTCGCTACCTCACTGTGCCTGCCAGGAGTGGGGATAAAGGTATGACTCACCCTAGTGCCGAGTGTCGTGCCCGCTCTCGCAGTGTATTGCTATGTTAGTATTGTGGAAATATTGCAAGTAAAATTTATTTTAACAAACTTAAGGAGGTTTTATAAGCAGATATAATCTAAGTACTTGCTCACACTTTACAGACTGTGTGTCAAAAGTAAATCTCATAAGACATTTAGTGATATTATGAAAATTTTGATTTATTTATATTTGAACACTAGCTGTTTGCCCGTTCTACGTATGGGAATCTTGTAGTAAGTTGAAATCTTATATTCAGAACAGGAGTTGGTTTGCATATTTAGTGTGCATTTTTCCAGATATGCTGGCAAAACTATTACTGTATAGTAATACATATAAACCTTCACAAATACAATATCTGACAGTTTAAAAGCCAAAACGAATGCTTCGCAATTAAATGTCACCCGATCATGTTAGTCCATATTTTATATCTAATGATAAAAGGAATTGATTTATAGGTTTATGAGGCATAGCCCTAAGGTAGGCCTGTAATTGAAAGTTACTTTTCACACTGGTTAAAAAGTTAAAATACTACCTCAACCTCACTACTGCACACTTTATTCGGGTTGAAATTTTCATTAACAAAGGTGATCTTGTCTTTTCCACGAAACACTGAGAAATAAGGACATTAATGCATTACCAACAGACAAACACACACAAATACAGAATTGAATTAGGGGATTTGCTATGCTTTAACCAAAGCAAATTACAAAGAAAATAATTATTTGAAAGTTTTGATAGTGTCATCAAATTTTATGATAATCGTTTTTAGGCCTAATCAAACTGTAAAATTAGTGTAAATTTGTTGGCAAATATATAAATAAGTATATAAATACACAGTTCACAAAACATTTATACGTTAACAACGCCAAGCTTTAAAAATTCATGATGGTTTGCCAAAAAAATCTTTCACTAATGTTTTATCATTTTCATAGCCTAAACTAACATTTTGGAGTCCAGACAGAAAACGCAATAATTATACAGTAAGACATCAATTAAATTTAATAAGAAATAAGGTGCAGCACTAACGATAACTTAAGTTGTAAATAAATAGTGATGTGTTTGTACGTAAAAATGATTCTTACTGCTACCACCGGTTCTAAGGAAAAGTAGCAGTAGCAAAAACCAACGTTTACATTTAAGTAAAGAACTATAGTACTTACGACCAATTAAAACTGTCCTTCTAATCAAACTGTATTATAGGTGTTAATCCGTTGGCAAATATATAAATAAATAAATACACAGTCCACAAAACATGTAACGTTAACAACGTAAAGCTTTAAAACTCACTATGGTTTGCTCAAAAAAAACTCACTTGATGTGGTGCAGTACCAAAGTTATTAATCTCCCTTGGTTTTAATTTTTTTTTTTTTTTTTCGAAAATCAAAGTTATTTCCCATTAATAGCATTATTTGTAAGCAACTTTTAATGTTAACATATTGACAGTTTGAAGAAACCACCTTTATCCAAACAAAGGTTTCTTATTTAAAAGATTACGTAATCTCTAAACGATAATCGGTACATATATCTAGCAAAAATTCGGAGGAAATGTGACAAAAATGCGCAAATCTGGGGTTTTGGACGTTTGTAGTTTTACTTCCTAAGTAGGAAAAGTACCGATATCGTTGTCGAAATGTAAGTAAGTAAAAAACCAGAAGTGACACATTGGAAAAGCGAGTTTAGCTACAACTGTAAGTTAAACCTCTGTTACGATCACAGCAAAATCAGAAAGATCTTCCAAGATCGCAGCAACATCCACGATCACCCACTGCAGTTGTGATTTTTTTTACTTTGCACTTTCCACAACTGTCCTTGAAGCGCTGTCAATGAGTGGAATCCGTTTTTGTAAGCTATTGGTGACAGTGATTAAAAAACTGTACGTTTCCCAGCACTAATACAACACTGATTCACAGTATATACCCGGTTATCAAAACTCAAGAACAATCGTTGCACTTGTGATTAATTAAACCGGTTAAGTAAGGCACAAGGTTTTTAATCTCACTTGGTTTGGATGTGCTAACAAAACATGATGGGAAATGGTTGCGGTATTTGTAAACAACTTTTAATGTAAACATATCAGTGACAGCTAGAAGTGAGAACTAATCCAAACAGCTGATCGTTATTTCATAAAATGTAATAGTAAACATTTTTGTCTAATTTGACAAAAATCAAACAAAATTGGGTTTTTGATGGTTCGTTATTTTGTTTTCAAAGAAGCGAGGCCATGTTTTTATAGCCAAAGACACTCTCACCAATCCAGTAAATACAGAAAAATGATTAGACAGACAGAAATTGAGATAAGACTCGTTTCGGCTTTCTTAGGCTATGAAACGTAAAAATAACCAAAAACTGCATGATTCTAAGCAATGTACAGGCAAAACTGTAATTTTATTTATATAGATTGGCCAGAAAAAAATATCACAATAATTAATTGATCACGTAAGCATGTCATCATTTGCTGCTGTGAGCCCCAATTATTATTGAGAGACTTTGCAACATATACATTTGGTTTATATTACAGTATGATTCTTTGTCATACTGTGATTAACATGTTTTAAAAATATATTATGTACGTTGTTAAATATTTTATGCCAATTTTAACTATAGACTACGGTAAGCAATAAAATGCATAAGCATTCACTTGTAAATTTAGTTACCCATTCTTCGTAATGTAATGACATATTTGATGTAACATAATGATAATTTAATGCCAGAAACTCAGTATCTAAATCCTGTAAACCGATGCCAAGCCGGCTGAGCTCTTAGCGCCAAAGCCGCATCAAGCGATTGTATGCCTATTTTTATTTTTAATCGCTTAAAAATTATACAAGCAAACTTCGTATGAAAAAAGCTTCAAATAAAAATCAAATGCATACTTTAATCTAAAACTTTGCTGCAGGAATGTTTTTGTTAAAATCAACAGTTTTAATTTGCCTGGATAAATTATAAAAAATATGTTAAGGTTAAAACTAACTTCATAGTAGTAAGCACTGGCTTTTACAGAAAAATAACATATCAATTTGAAATTTTTATGTTAACAAATAAGTGTAGCAGAGCAGGTTGAGTGAATGTATGTTTGTGTAAAACTGAGAGGTTCATTCGGCGCGTCTGCCTCGGTATCCCACCAATTCGTATGGTGGGCATGGACTGTTTTTCCACTACACAGTGCACTATCCAGGAGTATTACACATCGATGGTCAAGACCTATCCAAGCACTGTAGTGAATTTTCTGTTATTTTAAGTTTATTTGCGTTTGTTTTATGTTGAATTAGACTCTATAGAGTTTATTTTGTTACTACAGAGAAGAGTAACTTCTGTTCAGTTAGAGGTAATGTAAGCGCACTTGAATGTCCCTAGTTTAGCCTTTTGCATGGGTTATAGTGTCATATGCTGCCAAAAATTAGACATTGAACCCGTATTACATCTTATCTCTGAATGAATTTTCAATCTGTAACGTTTTAAGTGTATATTATATTTGTACATTTTGGCAATACAATAGTACCCTCAGTGAAGTTCCCCTTTTATAGTGATTGTATTTTCTGCCTAACTTATTTTTGTAAATCCATCTCGGTTGATAACCTTTTTTGTACTATCATGCAACTATCCTGTATTGTGTTGTAAGTGATTTGTATGATTTATTGCAGCCTGTATGCATGTCAAATGTGCAGTAAAATCAGGCATACAAATATTTATCTATGTAAACTTGAGTTTTATTGTCCTATAGTATGAATCTTTTATGGTTAACATTGGGAACTTGTACTCTTTATTTGAATTCAAAGTCAAATTATCCTAATTTATAAGGCACATTTTTATGAACATTGAATGGCATCAACTACAAACTAAACTAGTACAGTATCTAAAACGAATGAATTGTGTTTACTAGTATCGAGATTAATAAAAATAAAATGGCAATGTGATTTCATAAAAATAAAATACAGAAATAAATTTTAAATTCTGTGGTGGGGTGAAAAAAATAACTGATAAAAATATATCGCTTTTCTACTAGATATTTTTAATTTATTTTTAAATGTTGTTAAATTTTCTTCAATTGTAATGCAATCCAGCAAATGCTTTATGTCAGAGTTTCCAAAATAATGTATTGCAATATTAGATTTAGGTGCGTTTGCAACATAACTAAGATGTAACTGTCCATTGTTGGATTTGTTAATGTATGGAGCCTTGCAGTGGTGTGGTGTACTGAATAAGTTTCTTCATAATTCTTTTTCATTTCATTGCATTGGAAAGGCCTGTTAAGGCAAGCAGCTGAATGCCTTGGTCAGTAATTTAAAAGCCAAATTAATTTCCATTATTGCAAACACTTAATTTATCTTTTGTGGCACCATTTTTGCCTCTTGCTGTTGTAACATATTCCTTTCTCCAATTTATACCTCTACCTATAACTAGTGCTCATTTTTATATTCGATCTGGTAAAGATTGTTAGAAATTTTCCCTGGAGTTCGATATTGAATGGTGTTTTGCGGTGTGATTTTGCAGGTAAATAACTTTCATCAAATCAACTCTTAAACTTTGTAAACAATTAGGTTTTATAAATAATTTTTTAGTCCCCATCTTAATTGATAATTGATAATAATCATTTTGTTTTCTAACACACTTATGTTTCAATAATATATATGCACCATAAATTAGGAAAGTCTTTACATTTGCTTTATGTGCAGATGTGTAACGGTATGTGTTTACTTTTTTCAAAATATCCAATTCAAAGAAATTCACAGAATTAAAACTTTTGCTAGTTTTTAAAAAACAAAAATTTGTTTACAATAATTTATAAAAAAAAAAACTGTACATTTTAAATTAAATAACTGTGATGCAAAAGAAAAGCGGTATCTTAAATTGTGTTCTTTTGTTTACAATTACCCTTGTTATACATCTTATATTTTTGAAAGTTTGTTTTTTGATTTGATTGGAAATGCATGATTATTTATTATTTGATTTATTGTTGTTTTTTTTTCAGACCTATGGATCCAGTCCCCAAAACTGTAGTTAGGTATGTTTTATTTTTCAAGTATAATTACATTATTTTATTTTTCACATTCGCATGACAAATTTTGAGCGGTACTGTTTTGGAAAACATAAAATTGTCGTAATCTTCTAAACTAAAGCTATTTCAAAACATATGTTTAAATATTAATACTTGCAAGGCTTAAGAATTAGATCTCTAACAACAAACATCACTTGTTTGTAATATTTATTCTAAAATTTGCTAATTATGTGACCATCAATTGTTGTTTGACTTTTTTTATTTTGCCACCTCTAAGCAAACATAAGTTATTTGTTTTGTAACTTTTTCAAAGGCCTAGCCATTTTTTATTTAGTTTTTAAATGTTATGAATTGGTTTTATTTTTGATGTTCGACTGATCTAATGTTGCAGCAGTGCTGTCAATGATGATCAGGTGAAGCCTCGATCCCTCAGATTCACGTGGAGCATGAAAACCACCTCTTCTAGAGATCCCAACGAAATAATGGCGGAAATTAGAAAGGTACACACTCTTTTATCAAACTCACTTCGTTGTAGTGTTAATAAAACTAGTTGCTCTGCCCAAGCTTCGCAACGGGGTGAGAGTACAGAATAGTGTATGTTTCTTGAAATTTACTGTAAAGTTGCGCACCCACCATTGATTATAGAGGCAAAACTTGGTACTTATTTTAAGTAAAATAATAACAAACCAAAACTATAAAAAAATAGTAGTTTACGTAACAATCATGTAAAGATAGTGTTAACGCCACGAGTAAGGCTTGTACCTTAAAAAAAACTTACGAGTGTTGTTAAGACTATTAACATGAGTTGCGTACACTACTTTACCTACGACAGTGTTCCAATTAACAAACAAACACTACTATAAATTTTTAAAGAGGTAATGTTTTTTTTTTATAACCTCTCTAAATTGGTCTGAACAGGTGATTAGTCAAGTTGAAGTTCAAAGAATTACAATTTTACTTCTTTTCTCTCAATCCTTTAACCTCATTGGTCCGTTGTTAATAAGTAAAAATACATTGCTGTTAAATGAATATTTTCAATTCTACAACCTGAACTGAAAAGGCTAGTTTATAAAACGGTCGTAGGTAAACAATTTTAACACATCAGGAGAGGTTTTATTGAGAAACTAACTATTTTAGGCTACTGGGAAATTTAACACTAGACTACAGATAAAGTAACAAGTGATGACGCTTTTTAGCTGGATGCGTACTGAGTAGAGGCACGCTCTAATGCTAAGATGGCGGCTGTAACAGCATTGTATTACTAAGTTATGCTGTGTCTAGGTTCTGGACGCCAACAACTGTGACTACGAGCAGAGAGAGAGGTTCCTGCTGCTGTGTGTCCACGGAGACCCCAACACTGACTCACTGGTACAGTGGGAGATAGAGGTGTGCAAGTTGCCGCGTCTTTCACTCAACGGAGTTCGCTTCAAGCGCATCTCTGGCACTTCCATCGGCTTCAAGAACATCGCTTCCAAGATTGCCAACGAGCTGAAGCTGTGACTACCACTGGTCGACTCGTCCCTTCCCGAGGACTCTGTCGAGTGAACAGACAACCGTCACGTGTATATACAATCGAGTGGAAGATCGTTGTTGCCCGGTTATCGATTAGCTGGGTGTTTGAGCAGGAGGACTCAATAGCACGCTGTTTTGTTCGGTATTTGTGTTTCCCTAGCTGTGTACAAGCTCCGATCGCTCTTCTAACGAGCAGTCGTTCTAATTTACTCTTCTTTCTTGCCCCCGTTTTCGTTTGTAATCGTATTACCGGTTGTCGATAACTGTTTCTTTTAGAGATTTTACAATTTAAATAGGTGTATTCGTACGAATCATAATACAAAATAGCGATTAAATAATTCGATTATAAATTTATTTATTGTATACTATCTAAATTATTATTGTAAACTTATCGATTAAATTTATTTTGTACAATTTTATTTAATCATAATGATTGTTTGAAAATATCGTTGTAAGTAATATATTTACTTATCCCTGGGATGGACGATACTTATTGTAAATAGAGGGTGAAGCTGTATATAGACTACCCAGGCCCGGGTCACACTCGACATGTACTTAGGCCCGGCCCCACCTAACAATACATACATTTATTACTTTCCTAAATAAATTTGTAATAATTGCTGTTTATGATAGTAAAATGGCAGACATTACACAAACTAACAAGAAAGCATTTTGTTTCTGAAGATTCCTTCCCAACACCAATTTCTCCAACAATAAAATTCAGATAATTGATGTGTCTGAGATTGTATTGAGCCTAGTTTAGTAAAACCGGTCAGTATTTAAACAGATTTGTATGTTAGGGTCGCTTGTTAAATCTATTTTTCCTTCAAAAATCACTGATTCTAAAATGTAAAATGTGTTCAATAGAGTATTTGGTAAACTTACATAATATTTATTTACATAATAATATCTCTTATTTAGATCAAAATCGACTGTCAATTATGCAGTTCTTGAAGTGGAAGGCTTGACATTGGACACATGCTTTCGTCGGGCTGTTGTTATATTACGTACCTCAGCTTATCTTTGCTTTAGCTTTAATTTGTAAAACTGTCTAGGAAGGATCATCTTGACAAATATCTTATCAACTCCAAGCTTTTAAAGCTCTGGTATTTTAATAAAACACATTTTGTGATTTCTTTTTTAATAAATCACAATTGATGGAAGGTGAAGGTATGACTGTAGTATTAAAATAAATTTATAATAAAATTGAAAGTAACTTATGTTTATGATTTATTTTCCTTTGCTTATAAATCTGCTTTATGACAGTTCTGAGGTGGAATCCTGTGGAACAGGTGTACAACCATATTTGGTAGGTCATAAATAAAAAAAAAATTAGAAAGCTATGTAAATGTTTATAATAGGTGTATATTTTCAAAAAGGGCAGACTGTAAATGTTTGTCTTTTTTGTTGGCTCAAATCCATGTTTCTTCAATTTAAATGTAAGTGTTGCTTAATTGGTGAAGTACCAAATATTTCCATGTTTTTAAAGAGATTTCCTTTTCCTCACTTAATAATATTTCCTCAACAGAATAATATATTTGAATTTATATTTCCATTTTTAGGCACCCCCTGAAAGCTTGTCCTCATTTAGTCTGGCCTGTGCAAATAAAAATCCATTTTAGTTTTGTTTTGAGAGTTTGACTCATATAATTCATTTCTAAATCATTCTACTTATGGGACACTCTGTATAAAGAATATGATGATGGGTGCATCATAAACATGCTGCCATACTGTGTGTGTTATGGTTTCTGCTACAGACTAGCAAGAAAGTACCTAGGTGTTCTTTTTTATAGTTTTTGTATAATTAAATGTGGTATATGGTATTGGACTTCTTAAGTAGAAATGGACAAAGAGAAATGTTATCTAAAAGGTTAAGCAAAGTTAGCATTGTACGGCAATAAAAGTTGTATTTTGGGGAAGAATCTTAATTTTATCTAACTTGTTATGTATAGTGGGACCCCGATGAAAAGAAAACGTCACCCTTGATAACAAGTGTGATTTCCAAATCCCCGTTAATTTATTTTAGGCTACCCATAGTCACATGTTATTGCAAACCTTGATAATAAGTCCTATCTTATAAACTCCATAACAGTATTGTTATCAAGGTTGTACCATAGTCCATAGATAAAACATACTCCAGATTTCTCATCCTTATGGAACAACTGAAGAAAATTTAATTGTTCTTGTGTTTTGTTTACAATTTGTTTCTTGTTACTTCAGTCATTTAAAACCTTGTTTAACCAAATAAAACAATCTAATAATAAACAATAACTGATCTCTTGGTCATATAACCAAACAGTAAAACACGAATGATGAAAATAAACCTAAATTAGAAGAAACAAAATTTCGTCTACACTAGTGATCAGTAATTAAAACACTGTGGAAGGTAATAGTAGTTTACGCAATCCGCGAGTTGCATACTCTACTTTACCTACGATAGTGTTTTGTTTTAACTACTAAAATTCACTACTCATAACTAGAGGTTATATTTTGTTTATAACCTCTCATTGCCACCAACAGTGATGCAACGAAACAACATCAATGTCAGTAACGAAAAATAAGGTACAAAATAGAGTGTTAGACACTAGTGCAATCTGTGACTGGCTCACACAACTACATTCTTTTATAGTAAAAAATTGGCGATAGCTGATCGATATAGATGGGATGTCTTCTTCTGTATCCAATAGTCAATGATTGTACTAAACACGAATTGCACCACTCAACAATTAAATTGACCTGAACAGCTGATTAGTTGAAGTTCGAATCATTAAAATTTTACTTCTTCTGTCTCAATCCTTGAAACTCATTGGTCTGTTCCCCGTGTTGTTATGAGTATAACTATGATGTTAAGTAAACAATGCTGTTGTTGTGTAAAACTTTTCAATTCTAAGGACTAGCCGTTTCAGTCCAGTTCTTAGAAGTTTCCCATATCAGCATTGTTTTACTTATAACAACACGGGTAACAGACCATTGAGGTTCAAGGATTGAGAGAGAAGAAGTAAAATTTTAATGATTCAAACTTAAACTAATCAACTGTTCAGGTCAATTTAAATGGTGACTGGTACAATTGCGTGGTTTGGTACAGTACATTGTTTCGTTGCATCACTGTCCGTGGCAATGAGAAATTATAAACAAAAAAAAACATAACCTCTCTTAGAAGTTATTAGTAGTGATTTTGTAGTAATTAAAATTCTGTCGTAGGTAAAGTAGTTTCCGAAACTCGCGTAAATAGCGTTAATGACAATCGTAGAAGTTTTTAAGGCACTCGTCTCCGTTAACACTATCCTACACAACACAAGAAGGTCCTCATGGAATGTCTTGGGGATATCCTCTGTAAATCCCTCAAAGTCTTCCGGGGAACTCCCTGGGATATCCCTATGTCCACCCAAATCCTGATCCTTGGGATATTCTATCAGGATATCACATATAAAAACACAAAATAATTAAGATTTAGTTTGAAAAGCACATTTATCAGTTGAGTACCTATTTGGATTACATCTATATACAGGGTGATTGATATAAGTGTGCCAGCCGTTTTATTCGAAAACTATAAGAGATATAAAAAAAAGTTAAATGGTAAGTCCCTTGGATTTTTTATTAAAAAAGTTATAGTCAAGTCAAAAAAATTATTTTAGCCGCCATTTTTCCAATATGGCCGCCAACTTTGATTTTTCTTATAGAACACCCTGTGTTTTATGATGTATTCCGGTAGAAAATGTAATTTTAAGACGATTTTATTCTTGTGGTTTTTTTCATGAACCTAACCGTTTCAAAGATAATAATGGTTAAAGTTTTGAAATTTCTGTATGAGAAAGAGTTTTGATAAAGGCCTAAGCAAGCATGCCAGCTGTTTTGTTCGAAAACCATTAAAAATTTCACAACTTAAACCATTATTATCTTTGAAACGGTTAGGTTTATGAAAAAAATCACAAGAATTAAATCGTCTTAAAATTACTTTTTCTACCAGAATACATCATAAAATACAGGGTGTTCCATAAGAAAAATCAAAGTTGGCGGCCATATTGGAAAAATGGCGGCTAAAATAATTTTTTTGACTTGACTATAACTTTTTTAATAAAAAATCCAAGGGACTTACCATTTAACTTTTTTTGATATCTCTTATAGTTTTCGAATAAAACGGCTGGCACACTTATATCAATCACCCTGTATATATAAAATCCAATGTATTTTTGTTTGTATGTATGTTTGTTTGTTTGTCCTATATGGACTCCGAAACCGCTCGACAGATTGTAATGAAACTTTCAGGCATTATTAAGCATTATTCAAGGGTGGTTTGTGTGAAGTTTGGTGCAGATCCGTCCAAAGGGCTCCGCCCCAGTGGCTCTGGAGTTTCCCATGTTAACCTTATGAGTACTCTATTTAAATGGAATTAAAGAATCTTAACAGCTGGTTCAACTAAAGAATTTGATCCTGTGATGTTCAATAGCATTAAAAAGTTAATAGGTTTTACCAATAGGGTGCATCACTATTGTTTTTTTTTTTTTTTTTTTTTTTTTATGACAACAGCTAATTTGCAACCAAAAGGTGAGTGAGCGTAGCGAACGAACTTCAACCTGGAGGTGAGTTAGCGTAGCGAACAAGCTAACCTGAAGGCAAGTGAGCGCAGCGAACGAGCTCCAACCTAAAGGTGAGAGAGCGTAGCGAACGAACTTCAACCAAGACGTGATTGAGCCATGCGATCGAGCTCATCTTGAAAATGAACGAGCATTTGACATAAAACCACATTAGGACAAGAAGACGTCTGTCGGGCCAATTAGTAGTTCATAAAAACCAATTTAAAAAAAAAAAAATTTTTCCCAAACGGGTCTTGAACCTACAACTTCAACTAATGAACCTCTTACCTAACCCCTGAGCTATCTGCTATTGTTGATATTAAAAGTTTTCAAGCAGTTAAAGAGGAACCGACAGCTGCAACGGTTAAACTCTTACTAATATTATAAATGTCAAAGTTTGTGTGTTTGTTTGTTTGAAGTTCAATCACGCTTTAACTACTGGTCGGATTGGGCTGAAATTTGGCATGATGATAGCTCACATTCCCGATTAACATATAGGCATATTCTTATCTCAAAAATCCTTTTGGGCTCCGCCCCATTGACTCTGTAGTTCCCCATGTTAACTTAATGAGTATTCATATTTAGAGGGATTAAAGAATTTAGTCAGCTGTTTCAACTAAAAAAGTTGGTTCTATGATATGCAAAAGCATTACAAAAGTTATAAGATTTACCAACAGGGTGCAGCACCATTATCTTTTTGTATTTATGACAACAACTAATTTGAACCATAGACAAAAAGAATTAAATATAGACCGTCAGCTGTGCTGCGGTTACCATAGGTTCTGGCGCACACCGCTTGGAGCACCACGGTAGTTACGGCGTACGCGCTACGTAAACTACAGCGGTGTGCGCCGGAACCTATGGTAACCATGGCAACCGCAGCACGGCTGACAGTCTATATTTCATTCTTTTTGTCTATGTTTGAACTAAGCAGTAACAAAAAACTGTGATTCACAATGTGAACTGTCAAAGTAGGATTGTTTACAGTTATATTTATGTTTTTAATTTCATGATTAATTTGTGATATATTGCGAATTTTTAATATTTTTCTATTGTTTAGGTGAAGTGGTAGAACATTATGGCTATGGTAGATGTGTCTATATTATACCGTAAATTTAAAGAAACAAATTTTATCAAACTGTGTTCTCTCCCTTGCAAAAGCAATTAAAGCTTGAGTATAACTGCAATACACCCCGTACGAAGGACGGGTACTCTGCTACTGCTAGTACTTAAATATTTTTGATACTATGATTCTGTTTAGGTATCAAGTTGTTAAATTGTTTTTCTGGGAGTTGGAGAGGATACTGGCATTTGAATATAGATTAATTAATTACCATTAGTGATGTTATTATAATTATAATTGTTATATGATTAATTAGTATTCCCCCTTAAATTGTACAACTAATAAAATGTTCTTAAATAAGTTAAAGAATTTCATTTTTTTTTCAAAAGATTTGCATTTTTATTATTATAAGTAGGTGTATAATTTGAGTTGGATAATTATTCTGCGGAGGTCTGTGCAATGGGGAATTACTGCAGATCTCCAAAGGATATCCTATGGATATGATTGGAAAACTTGATTAATTTTTATAAATCATATTGGTAATGTTATTGTTAATTAATAAGATTGAAATCCTTTTTAATTACATTTCTCAAACACTTGCCACTTGAAAAAATACATCCAATACTATAAAATATATGTTTTAACCCTTCCGGACGGGTGACGGATATATCCGCCTAAGTCTTTGGCGATAAAGGACGGGTTGCGGATATTATTTTATCCGGACGGGTGTGCGGATTTATCCGCTTATGGTTTTTGATGTTCCAGACGGGAAGCGGATATATCCGCCTTCTCTTCAGACAGACTGGCAGGTTCTTGAGCAGTAACCAGATGTTTCGTGGTACCAAGGCACCACTTTCCTGCTTTCTCCATGGCTGCGCTCATTCCCGCACTCCCCCCTCTCTCCCACGCCTACCCCTCTCCCACGCCTACCCCTCTCCCGCGCCATCCCCTCTCCTGCGCACCCTCCACCACTCCTACGTCCCCGCCTCGACATTTCGCGCTCAACACTACGTTGTCTTTATTTATTTGTTTACATATTGTTCTTTTTTTATTGCCTAACGTTGTCATGGTCATATCTTCAAAGACGGGTGGCGGATATATCCGCTGCTTTTCTACTCATCTGCGGACGGGTAGTGGATATATCTGCATAGTTAAAAACGAGTAAAAAATTATTTTGACGGAATGAAGTGTTCCATTGTGCTTATTTTATGTATACATGTATAACAAAACACAAATAAGGAAAATTTATTTTAATTTTTTCCTATAATTTTTCCCCGTTCTATGTCACGATTTCGCCCGTCCGGGAAGGGTTAATGTAGCCACCGAGAATATCCATAGGAAGTCCCAAGGAAACCCGAAAAATGTATTTTTTTGTGTGGGATATGTGCAATATCTTAGAGTGATCTTAGGGACATTCTCAAATCCTGGGATCTGTAAGATATGTGGTAAACCCTACTTAACCGATACTTACGATTGAGGTGTGATTTTAAAGTTAAAGCCTATGATCTAGCGCTCCTACGAATGGTAATAATATCCCAGACGCAGTAAACCTGCAGACTATACGATTTTTAACTTGTCTGATTAGATTTTTACAAAAAAGTCCATAAACATGTATTTACTAGTGGCTTGCAACATAAGTCCCAAAAAGCTCAATAGTATAAAACAAATTATTTTAATATTCAAACAAACTCAGAAATATGTTATCTATGTGACGTGTTAGAATATAAAATCCCTATATACCATTTCTTTTTTGTAAAAAAATAGTTTGTTGCTGTCTTTGTTTGCTTTTGTTGATGTTATTTTCAATATATAATTTAAATCACTCCATAGGTTTAACTCTGCTAAAAGCAGCAAACATATATAACTGTTTGTGAATAAATACTTGTTTATTAAGGTAGCTTTGGTTTTGTGCCTTTGTTTATGTGTCAAATACTGCTTCCATAAGGATTACATTGAAACTTTGAGGGCCCGTGGGGCAGATTCCTAAGAGATTTTTTTGACGCCATATAGATGTTGGCACTCACCGGTATGGTCTTTATCACCATGCAAAATTTTAAAGTGATTGCTTCAGCCGTCTAGGAGGAGTTTGCGTATTACAAAATGCATAAGAGTCAACGTATAAGGATTACTATAAGGATCGCTCCGCTCAAATTAGATTTAACGAGTGTTGGATTTGCTGCTACAGGGAAGGTAAAAAGTTTTTTTTAAGGTAAATAAATGGGTATTGCACTGGATTCATTTTGCATTGGAAACAAGTTTTGGGCCGTATCAAACTGCTCAATTTGCACACGGGTACCCTTGTATGATTTATTTATACTGCAAATTTGAAGGATGGTGTTTTTTGCCTCTGGGGACATCAGAAGGATAAAGTAAATCCGTCCTGGGTCTAGATCTTACTATGAGACTTACAGTTATTAGCTTATTCCCCATATAGGAAATTAGTTAAAAGCATAGCCAAGCAAACAACACATAAGAAGTAAATTGTTTTCTACAATTTCTCAAATACAGCAGGTTTAAACGTAAAATGTGTAAACCATAATAAATAATGAAGAAATATTTTACTATCCATACCCAGTTTATTCCTTACAAAAAATAAAATTTATTAAAGGAACCTATACAAAAACTTGTGTTTCTAAACTATTATGATCCCTAGGTATTTAATAATTTAAAATACCGTAAAAAATAAATTTTAAAAATTATGCAGTACACCTGCAATAGTTAGCCTCATTCAATCATTTTCTCTTTGAGTAAAAACCTACTACAGCTGATCCATGTATGGGATCTCTTCTTTAGTTTCTAAATTCAATGAAAGTGCTGTTGACATTACCTCTTCAATACAGAGTGTAAGTGAAACTGATCAAGTATGTTTAGATGGCAACACAGATGGATCTACAAACGGGATCATGAAAGTAGATCTGAACTTTCTATGATACTGGATGCATTATGTATTACTGCTCTCTACTCAGGACTCAAGACCAATGTTACTGTTAAGCGAAGATATACAATAGAACCCTGACAAGTAGACTCATGGGAATTGTGTTTGCAATAGCTTGTGATAAGGGGTAAAATATATTCAAGGGGATTTTGTATTTTAAAATTACACTTGTTATCAAGGGTGACTTGTTATCGAGGTTCCACTGTAGCACTTGTGGTACTTTAGTCAAGCTATTGGCTTTGATAGCAAGTCGACAAAGCTGAAGCCAGTTTTGAATTCTGTTTTATTTTGGTGAAGTTTTGAGTACACCATAATGTGGACTAAATGTTTCTAAGTTTATCTTTTATCTAAAGGAAGATTTTGCTATTTATGCTTTAAACTTTGGTTCTGTTAAAATGTCACCAGAGGACAAACGGTAACAGGTTGTACTAACCAGTAACAAATTTAATACCCAACAATATTTTTTACATCTTAAAAGCAGTAAAAAACACAAAATGTGTTTTGGTTCCAAAAACAGATGTTTCCGCCCAAAACTCAAACTCATAAATGTTGATGAAAACAATAATTTCTCCATGTATAAAGGGGGAGAAAGTAAAAAAATAACGTCTCATATAGATCATATTTACTTTCTTATCATTGAACCAATAATAAATAAAATACTAGGTGACCTGCTCAACTTAGTCTTATCTATCAATGAGCCAATAATATCCAAAATACTATCTGGCCTATGACTTACTTCGTACCCTGCATGTGTTAACCTTTGACCGATGCAATGGTTTAACCTAATCTATGATTTTGGGGAGCGAGCTGGTCTAGTGGATAGAGCGTGGGACATCTGTGCCCGAGGTCCCGGGTTCAAATCCCGCCAAATCACCAATGGATTTTGATAATGCCTCAACCCCTAGGTCTAGCCTGAAGTAATTTGAAAAACAATCCTAGGCTCGTGCCTAGCGTCCTAGAATAAAAAATCTATGATTTTATTAAATTAATAAAATATCAAAGCATACCTAACTTTGGGATGCGGAACAAATTGGTTCAGAAAGTGAAAGTTTCCTGAAGATTTACAACTTACCTCAGATTTTAAATTCCAGTCATGAACTTAGGTAATTATTTTGCTTTTGTTCTGTTTTTTTTTTTTTTTTTTTTAGTTAGATTATTGTTTTGTATTTGCCGTGTTAGGTTTTTTTTATAATTATACTACCAATGGTTAATAGGTAGGTAGGCCTAAAACTCTCCTAAAACCCTCTCTAAGATCTCCCGAGTCTGCTTTTTGTTGAGAAGACTTAAGAGTTGCGTCTCGGATAGTATGCTCATTACTGCTTATTATAGTTTCTTCCACTCTCATCTTCTGTATGGAAACATTCTGTGGGGTAATAGCGCTGGAGCCAGAAAGGTTTTCTCATGGCAGAAAAAAGCACTGAGAATAATTTTTGAAATACCACGCAGAACGACCAGCAAACCTTCTTTTAGCAAACACAGAATAATGACTCTACTGTGTATATTTATTTTTCAAAATTTGCTATTTGTTAAAGAAAATCTTTCATCATTCCCAAAACGTAATGAATTTCACAGTTATAATACTAGAACAAGTAACCACCTAGATATTCCGATAGTAAGATTATCAAAATCAACTAATAGCCACAAATTCCTTCAAATACAGCTCTTTAATAAGCTACCTGTATCGTTTCAAGAGCTTAGCTTTAATAAATTTAAAAATAAATTGGCTGTTTGGCTTCTTGACAGAAGTTTTTTTTTCAGTAAAAGAATTTTTAGAATACCAAATACCTAATATATAGTTCATTGTTTTTTCCCTTTTCAATTCCTGCTGTAACTTATTTTCTTTTAACACAATTGACCTAATCCATAGAAAGTTTGTATTTATTTTTGAAGTTGTCTATTGTACTTTTGTTTGTATTTAATGACAATACAGATATTCTTATTCTTATTCTTAAAAACACCTTTGAACCATTTGTTTGGAAGGGATGTAATTTTTATATTGATTTTGAAAAATAGTTATTTTGTCATCCTAGACCTAGTCAAATCCATCAAAAACAACAAAAAATATCCCAACCATTCTCAAGTTGTAAGTGTTTGAGCAAACCTGACTTGATTTATTAATACGTAGTACTACATTCAAAGGTCAATTTCGTGTAGGTTTTTAACCCTGAAAAACGATAGCTACATTTATGTTCTGCGCTGGAGCCCACACGACCGGCTCTAAAAGACGGATTCCTTGGCGGATACCTCGTGACATCGGTTCACACGGATGTGTAAGACGGATGATCCACCGTATCACGACCCAAAGTCAACGGACTGCTGGGAAGATCCGGCAGTCCAATGTCCGGCAGCGCTCGGCTGTTTTCGGCAGCGCTCGGCAAATTTCGGAAGAGCCGCGCATCAAGCAGGCGCAGACAGTCGCAAGTCGCGCCGAAGATGCAACTCCTACTGCTAGCAGGTCAGTCTGATTGTGGAATCTGGTTTGAAAATAAATAAAAAGTAACTTAGTATCAAGATATAAGAATAAAACATTTAAATTGAGTACGTTTATAATTTTGTTCTGTTTCAATTCTTTTTCTATTAAAAATGTTTGAATCTTTTCCTCTCCATTTTTTTCAAACTCAAATGTAATAAACCCTTTATACAATTAGACCTATTATCAATTAGGTAACTCATACAGCTAATAATTTTACCTAATTAGTTAGCCTAGTATACCTAGTAATTAGCATTTTTTTATTTTTGTATAATTTCAATTTGTTTCTTTAGCTCTTGTCTAATAATGCTATTATATAATTTATTTATGCAGAAACATTTCCAGTTGTTGAGAATCATTCATTCTTTAGAGTGTTTAGACAAATCTTTGTTTTATACCACTAACGTGTATAATATAGCCTATATTCATTACCTATTGTAACAGACAGACAAAATGTGTTCTTTCTCCCTTTAAATACCCCAGTTGGTGTTTGTTAATGTCAGGTCAGCACTAAACAATAATAAGCCTTGCACGTGGCTGGATTAATCCCAATTATGATTAAAACCGCAACAAGTTCATTGTTATTTTCTCAAACAATTTTGGATAACAAGAACCGTCAATATTTGACTGTTCGAACACCTCTCTTCTGGTCGACCTATAGAACTGGGCTATAGTAAAAATAATTTGCACATTTACAGTTTTCATTAATTTATTTATTGTGTTTACTTTTGTAATTATATGAAAATCGTTTCATTTTACGATTATTCGGGCTGTTAGCCTATTAAACGTGCTACGACGAATATTAGACCAGAAACGGCATGGATCACAGTTTCTGTTCTAATATTGGTGCGTGCTTCACAACGGGAAGAAGCGCGAAAGAGACTACTGTAATAATGATCTTGAAATAGTTACACATCTATTATTTATTTTAGAAACAACCCTTAGCTTTTACTACTTAGTGTAGTAAATTTCTGATTTAAATAAGCGGTTCAACCAAGTACAGTGTTTAAATGTAGATGGTGCGTGTTAAGAAATATTGTAACTCTATGATTTACTTAGAAAAGATAAACTTATTTAAAATTATGTAGACCTACATACTTTCAAAACCCTACTCATATTTGAGGTCAATCGATTTAAAAGGATCTAACAACATGCCGTTGCCCCCATTTTTCAACTTTAGTAAAGCGTCTTTCTTTACCTGTAGCTTATTATATAAATTTCAATAAAAACTATGAACAAAATCCCATTACCTTTACTACTTTTCTTTAACTCAATATAACCTTATTACTGTGTATACCTCACGAATGTCCATACCATAAATAAAGCATCATCAAACACCCTTTCAAGTAAAAAAAAACACCTTTCAATTGCATCGGCCTGAAAATTTTGGAGCCTTGGACATCGCCCTGTGTGGGGCAGAGCTTTTATCAAATTCGTTCATAACAATAATTTTTGGCAAATTTAGGTTTATTTTGATCTATCATATACCTGTTTCTTTATGTGGTTAGACCTTAAATTTGGATATATCACTTTAATAATACAGATGATAATAGATTTGGACTGTAGTTTTGTTATAGTCAAGTGTGTCTCATTAAAAAATTATATGGTTACTGCAACTGAAATGACCATTAGATCTAACTTCAGGACACTTAAGGAATAGCTTTACAAAAATTCATTGCAAAACTCAACCATTAACTTATTAAATTTAAATTCCTTAATTTGATAACGTGGATTTTCGTTTTGAGTCAAAGGTCATCATTCAGAACATTTTTCCACCTGAACGTATTATTCAATGGTCCTTTTAGCATGAGAGAACCACAACAATGGTGGACATTAGAGCGAGTCAGAAGTCACACAGTAAAAATGTCGACTAAGAATGCGGAGCTTAGAACACATAAATTAGACCCAGATTATGCAGCGCATCGTTGTAGGCGAGAGGTGTTTGTAAACAGCTGTTTAGCGCGTACTTCGTTTTGTACGCTACGTCTCACTCGACACTACTGTAGCAATTGTTGCGCTGCACTTATAATCGATGCAAATGATGTTTTCTATTATCAACAAACTTAAAATCTGTATACATCTATAAATTTAAGGTAAAATATAAGAGCAAGTCTGTCCGGTATTAATTATGCACTTCCATACGATCATCGTTAAACTAAGGTACACAAATATCCTTAGGAAGGGTCCTGTCTTACAGCTTAATTTCATCAGGGCTTTGTCCCTTGGTATTGGCAAATTAGAATTATTTTTTATTTATTTTTTCCATGGCAACGGAAAGACTATCAACATTATTACAATCCTATAAGTATTTATATTTTACATAACTTTGCTCTGTTCAAATAATTTAGACGGTTTGAGGGGAAGTTCGATCCCCACTACTTTTTTGTGCATAATTTGTATGTTACTTAATCAGCTGAGCTACTTACTGTTTTAAATGCAAGGGTCAAGTGGAGAGGATAAATTCCTCCTTCCCTAAAACCACCTAAATTTTATGAACGGAGTATGGCGTTCCAAGTCTGTTTTTTTTTTTTTCAAAACCTAAAACTTAGGTATAGACTTTTTTGTTAAATATGTGTTACGCTTGTTTGTTGTATGGTAAGGAAATTCGGTGGCCTCTTGTTTTTTATCATCTAAAAGACTTATTTTTACTTTTCCCCCTATCATTTATGAAAAAAATACTGTTTAGTGAAAATGTTCTTGTTTGAGTTTTGGGCGGAAATACCTGTTTTGGGCCCCCTGAGCAAAAACAAAGTTGGAGTTATGTCTGTGTTGATGTGTACAGAGCTTTGACTATACCCTGTGATCCGATGTTGATGGCATTTGTTATGCTACTAAATCATGGTATTCCCATTTTGCTTTTTGATTAGGATGACCCATAAGCCCCATAAAATAACGGAAAATCAGATTTTCACAAAAAAAACTGCCAAATGATTTTTAAAACCATGTTTGAAACTTTTGAAAGAGGGAATACAAAAGCTGGAAGTGGAATAGGAATCTGGAATGTTTAGTAGTTCGGTCATTCACCGGACTAGAGGCTCGACGCGTTCCTGTATTCCTGTTACACGTGCAATCTGCATGTACGTATGCACGTATTCATGTCTAAGTATATAAGTTATATTGTAGGCTAACCACATTAAATCATTCAAATTTGACGTATACGAATACTGGATGAAGAATAATCACATAACATCGCTATAGTTCATAATGTCCACTTACCACATAGTTGCATGATTTATATTATGTGTAAGGGTGTCATTTCGTTAAAGACGAAATAAGGGTCACGTTTTCCTATGAATGTGTAATTATTGTGTAGGTTCTATTGACAGATGTTGTGTTAACTCGTTCCTCGCGCACAGGCTTCGCCTGTATAGGGGACCATCCATTTTGGAAGATGGCATTTTCTGTATGACTGTTTGTTCTTGGAATAAATTATTTTAATTTTATTTGACCTGATAGAAATTAAAACAAAATGTGCGTAGAATTTCTCTGGCATTGCCAAAATCCATACATAGGAACAAGGAGGCTACTTGTTCACGTTTTTGGGGCACTGCTATTTTATAAACACTGTTGGAAAGATTTAAAAAATAAAAGTCAATTAATAGGTGAAACAGGTGGTAAATAACAACGGAATATGCGGACATAACAACGGAGTGTGCGAAAATAACAACACCGAATATGCTAACTTTACAATGGAGTAGGCGCACGTTATTGATTTAAGAATAAGTCGTTAAATATTGATAAACAAAAATGCAATTTGTTTGGTTTGTGTTATCGCCATTTCTACTTGAAATTAAAATAACTTATGAAACCTTATTTTGACAGAAAAGTTGTTTAGGCTAAGGCTAATGATATTTGCCAAAATGATTAATGTATAGATACAGTTTAATACCACCAATCTCCACCAACAAGGATGTACAAGAAGTGACTTTTAAATCCGAAGGCTACGGCAATGTTGCGAAAGTACAATTTACCTGACGAAAGGGAAGCTTATCAAATAAGCCTTTCATTATCAGTCAAACGCCGGTTGTAAATTAAAAACAGCAAAACAGCTGATGGCACGACCCGGACCTGTCAGTGACCGGCGACCTTGGCGGCAAAGTTCACGGATCATCTGCGAATAGTTCGGTCTCGTCGATATTTACCTCTTTGGCCAACGTCATTTTAGGAGGAAGCTTGAATAGAGGTTTTTGCAGAAGTTTAAGATCCCTGTATTTCCCTATTATTATTTTGTTTTGGCACTTTTCTGTAATTTGACAGCACCAGCAGTTATGTTGAATTACATACTCCAACAACAACACTGTTTCCTTTACAGTTACATTATATAGGTCATAGGTGTATGTTTGTTTCCGTGTTCAGTTCAGTGCCAACTACAGACAATCGTGTTGTGATTCATTCAATTCAGTTCCGAGAGACGGGAGTTTGCGTTTGTTAGGATATAACCTCAATGATGTAACTAAATTTGTAAAAAAAACCTATCCATCCTCCTCAAGTGGCTATAATACTCGCCATCAATTCTAAAGGTTGCCTGTTAGATTCCAAGCTGAGTTGATTTGTCATCAATTAACTAACTACCGTACGCCATCCCAGAACATTTCGGTATTATAAAGTAAAATACCAGATTGTTTAGACCGTTCCGTAATAAAACCCCGTAGAGGAAATGTCATTTAAGTTAAAGCACTTAAAAATAAAAAAAACGAATCCCGGTTACATAGGAATAGTAGGCCTATGAGCCTTACATCAGCACTAGGGCCTAAAATGACCCAGGTCGACTTGATGTCAGGTTTGACAACCGAGGCGACGCCGAGGATGGAAAATTAGGGTTGAAATGGTTCATTTCATGACTATAGCAACGAAAGTGGCATTTTCCGATGCGCGCTCAAGTTTAATGTGCGAGTCAAAACCGAACAAAGGAACTCCAAATTTCACGTGCTAGGCGAAGCTGAAGACGGGGAAAACATTGGAACAAGTACAGGAAAATCACTTTCTGTACAATTTATGAACGAAACTTTTCATAACGACGAAAATAATACATACAGAATAACAGAAGTCAGTAAAATTAAGTTAAAACTATATTTCCTAATTAATATTTTCATAAATATATAAAGCAAATTTGTTATAAAAAAAAACCTACCTGTCAATGTAAAAATATTAAGTTCAAGGTTGTGATAACAACACGCACTACACTACACTGCACACTAAAGCACAGCTAGCTACACTAGCTTGTCTATTCCTGTAAAAACATCTTATTTAAATTGTAAAAAAATGTATATAATTACTACAGTAGCGCGCGTGGTGAGCAAATAGATAAGTGATTGAGAGCAAGGGACCCCTAAGAGTTTGAGAAACGATATCATTTTTTTATGTCAGCTGTTATAAAAATAACTTCTTTCTGTACTGAGTGATGAAAATACACTTTCGGTCCGTGTGATTAATAAACGGTATCAGCAATCTGACACATACTTTCTCCCATAAGCTCCAACAAACTTTATCATGGGTAAGCGGTGGGAGTAACTATGATAATTTTATAGGAAAAAATCGCAAAAGTTGCAATAACTTTTGAACCGTAATTGATACAGTAACGGGGGTTGCATTATTTTGTTTGGAATTATAAATTTAATCAACACCGGATTTTTTCCCAAAATCCGATGTTTGTAATTTTATGGGGTTTTTTTATGGGAAAATAACATAAGTTACAATAACTTTTGAACCGTAATTTTTACGGAAATGGGATTTGTACCTACCATTTTTTTCATAATATAAAGGACATACTAAATTATTATCAAAATCGTACAGGCCATTTTTGAGAAAATCTGATTTTTCCGTTATTTTATGGGTTTTTATGGAAAATCCCCATTAAAAATCAAAATTTCAAAAAAAAAGAAAAAACGCCTGTAGATACATATTCATGGCTTAGTACCTACATACCAAATGTCATCAAAATCGGAGATGTGGTCTGTAGCTCTGTAGACATCCACACACACAAACATAACTTCGAAAACCACTTTTTTTGGTTCAGGGGGACCCAAAATGGATATATCCACTCAAAACCATAACTCGAAAATTTTGATAAAAACAATACTTTCTCCATATACTATGTATAGGGGAGAAAGTAAAAAATGTAACGTCATACTATAATTACTGTACGGTTCGTCGGGCTATAAAATCACAAAACCTCAATTTTGACCATTGTTTATATTTATAGATTAACAACCTATATGTACCTCTGTGGTTGTTAGATTTAGATACAATGCCTTTCAACTCGACCAACACAATAATACAATCATGTTTAAATTGGAGAATATCTGTTGCATTTTAATTTGTATATAATCTTGATAATGTGAAGTATACTGTAGTAAAATATACAATATGACTCCATAATATACACAAACACATTTTAATAATCATGCGATAGCATAATTAAAACTGGGAGACTAACTTATTTGACAAAATCAGGAACAATATTACAGATGTAAAAATGTACGGCGCTGTACATTTTTCACATTTGAAAATTATTTGGCTGATTTTGCGGGGTAAAAATAGTAAATTAAAAAACTATCGTTGCAACGTTATGCGTAACAGCGGTTTCTCACTTGACGAGAAGTATCTTTTCGACCCTCACTCATTTTCCAACTTCAGCTTTGCTTGGTTTAAACGACCATCAGTAACACAGAGAAACTATTCCAAGACCTCTCTCTTTTAAGAATACCTAATTCAAATGGTTTTGAAAAGAAAATGTGTAACAAATACCAAATGCAGTGTATTGTTTTACTTCTTTTGTTATGCTAAGCACAATTGGCTATAGGAGGAAGTTAGGTGACCAATGGAGAGTTGTTCTGTACGTTTAGTTTCGATGTCTCAAATTTTAAAAACCAAGCACAGGGGAGACAGGCCTATATATATTGAACTAATTAAATACAGCTTGAATAACTGTATAAAGAAGCTTATGTCCTCTGTCCTCACATTAATATTTATGTACTTGTCAACTCTGTTGTGTTTTGTGTTTTAACTACATTAATACATCACAAGCTTGTGTCATATATTCCATCACGTACCGTACTGCATTTAGTACATTTATCAAATTTCTTAAATATGATTACTGAATGCATAGTGAAATTGTTTGATCTTATCATCAAGGTTTTTTCCCCTATTTTTCAGGCATAACATTCATAAATGGAGTTCTATGTTCACCAACGATTGAATGGGTGAGTAATTCATTTGTACATTGGGCTATTTTTCGCAAACAAGTTGTTTAAAGAATATTGACAAGTTAAGAGGCCTACTATGATTATGAATTTTAGCAGATAAACTTTACATTTTGGGACCTAGACTTTTTCATAAAATTAAGAGTCTTGTTTTCACATTTTCATAAAACATTAAAAATTATGTTAAATTACATAATTATATTTAAGTTATTTTAATTTTGAAAGAAGAAAAGTTAGTACATCTTCAAATGATCATAAATTATACTGTGGGTCTGTAACAATAAAGCAAACGTAGAAAACCAATTTTGAGCAAGTATTTTTTTTTTGTGGTAAATATTGTATTTTGTGTAGGTACCTACTAAAAAATAATATGAAGCACACAATAGATCACCTAAAATGTATTACCTTACCATTTGCGGCATTCTTAGCCTCTTTCCACCAGTAAAAGTTGTTTCTACTCTAGCATAAAGCGATCTGATGGCAAATGGATGCTGCCACTGTGGCGAACATGTCCCCTATCTTGATTTTTGTACCTCAACTTTACTATTTTTTTAAATTGTTAGCCTACACTATACAATTTGTTTTACAGAAAGACAACACAAATATGATTTCCTGCAAGGGAAGGCCTGATGGCTACTATGCTGACACAACTGATGCTCAGGATTCTTTTTTTAGGTGAGAATAAGATCATATTGGCTAAATGGAACTGTAGATTACATTTTAATATGCTATATGATTAAGTATACAGTGCATTATACACCAGTAGCGAGGGAAGTCACTTTTTTAGTCTCTTATTATGTACATAAGAATCTCACTTGACTCCTCGGAGCTCTCGTCCCTACAAAATTCTGCCACAGTCTTAAAAGCTGAGGAAAATGGGTTGGCATTGTGACCCTGTTTCCCGCATATTTTTTCATTGCATTTTTTGTTTGAATTGTGTTTCATGCGTTGTTGGGTTCCAGTTCCCACGCCATACTTATACATCTGTGCATATTCAGGATTATGACTTGAGGAATTAGATTCCCTACTCGGTGGTAAAACGTGTCATGGATCTTGAAATTGTAGATACTCTGAGTGATCCTCTCATCTAAAAGAGCTTCAGAGCTGATCATGGCAAAGGCAAATTGACGAATTTATAAAATTCAAATAATTTTTGGATTTAAGCCTCAAAGCACTGTTTTCAGATTTGGAGTTTCCAATAAGTTCCTGAAAGTATGGTGAATTTCACAATTGAGGTAAACAAACCTTTAATTTATTCCAACAAAGAGTAAAAATTGAACTGTCTCGGCCAGTCTTTTCATGCTTAAAATTGATGCAAGCCACAACAATGTAAATATTTAACATTCATTTGTCCGAGGTTGTATGTATCATCACAATAATTGTGAGCAAATTGTGTGAGCGAGTTTGGAAAAAAATTTCTATAGCTGGTCAATGTTGAATGTTGATAGAAGTCTAAATAAAAAAACAAAGTCAATCACTTCAAGAACGATTTGACATTGACACAGATGAATTAGTAACATATTCTCTATACATTTTATTTGCAGATGTAAGGACAATGAGGTGATAGAGCAGACCACGTGTGACAGAGGTTCAAGGTACGATCCTCACTCTCAGCAGTGTAGCCTCACTACAGCCCTGGACACAGACTGCGACCAATCAGATGACAGTTTCTACACAACACCTGGCACCCTGTGTAGAGGCTACTACCGATGTGTCAATGGCGCCAGGGAGGATTACACGTGTCCCAAAGACTCCTATTTTGATATGAACTCCCAGGTTTGTTCATGCTACTGTACAATGAACAGTAAACTAAAACACAAAAAATACCCAATAAATAATTCACTACAACATTTTTTTTTCGATTTCAATGTCAAATTGGCTTACAGAATAATATATTTCCATATAGTAGTTGTGGAAAAACAGCGTTTTCTTATCATTGCAGTGGCGGTTCAAAGGTGGAGGGGTCTACAAGCCCCCCCCCCCCACCAATAGACCCTGAAAATATAAATTGAAACATACATTTCCTCCTAAAAACATAACGGAATTTGTTCTACAGTACCAGTTCTAGATGTTAAAAATAGCTTTAGAAAGTCACGGCTTTAAAATACCAAATTTTCCAGGGTAGGACCCCTGAACCACACTCTTTTCTTGGGGGGTGTGGGACAGCACCCGGTAGCCCCCCTTGACAAGGTCCTAGAGATTTATTTATTTATTTATTTATCATTTCAACGGCTGACGCCAATACATAGATGATTGGATTGAGATACAATTTAAAGGAACTAACAAGATGCAAATGTAATAGGTACAATTTAGAACAGTACAAGCTACGAGAAAACAATAGAGCTGCTTGATTGATAGAGCTCCTAGTTCAATAAGAGCTCTTGGTATTTTGGCAATCTGGTGTGACAGCTTCTTCCTCATTTCTTCGGGACTCGACACTCAGTCTGACGATGTGTGTTACTGCCATACATCAGCCTCTTTATCTTACACCAGTATTTCTGTACATTTTGATGTTTGTTGCAGTTCTGCGTGCGTACTGGTGGGCTCTGTTACGAGTTGGTTTGTAGCGGCCGAGTCAACGGGAGATACGCAGACACAACCCATGCATGCCGCAGATCCTACGTGTGTGAGGGAGGAATGCTACGATCCCTCGGCTCCTGTCCTCCTGGTTCTTTGTACAACGGCAGCTCATGCCAGCCCAGGGAACAAGTCCAGGTGAGCTTAAGATGAAAAATTGTTGTTAGATGGAAGACTTAGAAAAAATATATTGTAGAATTATTTGTCTACAAATTGTTTTAAGTTGTATTAGGATTGTTTTTAGTTTTGTCATACAGTGTTTGTACTAGGGTTTGCGAGCATTGTTATAGGGTCAAAACAAAAATTCATTGTAATAGCCCCAGAACTGCAATAATTTATGGTATATTTTTTGCTAAGCTCATCAGCAGTTCTGTTATAATTGGTGATTGACAATGGCATCTCACTGTGCTAAGAGGTAATGTAAAATCTAGTCAAAACTAAACACAAACATCCAAATACTTCAATTCTATGGTCTTTCATTAGTATATGTCAACTTAACAGTATTATACAAACCCTTCTTCAGGACATTAGGTCATGTCAAAGGCTCACGATAAAAGATTACTACAAACGCAAACTACTTTAGACAATTGGTACATTTAACCCTTTGAGTGCCACCGCCGTTTCACCATGTAATATGCATAAAATGCCGGGCCTACAAAATTGCAAGCATCTAGGGGAAAAATTATCAAAAATTAACTATTTAACCAATTTTAATAAATCTTTTTTTATTTTGTTGGTTATTAAGTGGAGAACATAATGATCATGGTGATACAGTTTGAAATTAAGTTTGCACTATAAAAAATATATTATAACAATATATAAAAAAATTATAAATTTCAAGTTTGAAGTATAATTTTGTGTATACAACATTTTTAAAATTTTTTTTTTTAGTCATACAATAAGAAAGAGCATGAAAATCTGATCTAAAATCATTTATACTATGTTATCTTACTATGAAATATGACATGGTAACGCAATGCAAACAAAACACTACAAAAAGTATATTTTGGTTCACTACTAGGTACTTTTACAATTCACTTTTCTCACATACTCTAACACTAAAACAAAAGTCACTAAAATACTTATAAACTTATAATAAAGTGTTTCAAATAAGTTTAGTGAAAACAAACAAAGAACTCACGGTGTAAACAAAACAACTAACCAAACTGCGTAGCTGTCTGCCCCTAGTACTGACAGCTGTTAAATGATTGCGTCACCTTTTTCTTGTAAAGCCCATGACTCCCAAGGAGACAGTAAAATATAAATTCAACATCAATCGATAGTTTGGAGCTTGGAGAATGTGATACAGCCAATAACAGGTTAAAAAAACAATGTACTATATGAAATATTTATAAAATACTGATCGTCTACTATGTAGACGCTGGCACTTTATGCATATTTCATATCGTCTACTATGTAGATGCTGCGGCACTCAAAGGGTTAATTTTACTTTTTTCCAGTGTCTGACATCAGAAAAGTCAGCTGTAGCAGTGAAGATCCTCTCCACAGATCCTTGTGCAGAATTGCCCAACGGTTTCCAGACTCTACCTGACGAGACATGTCGCAACTACCTGCTTTGCCACTCTGGACAGACCATCGCCAAGCTGCACTGCGCGACAAGCGAGCACTTCAACGGTGACAAGTGCGTGCCAGCCACCAACACCAGTTGTGCGTCCTACTGTGCCGACAAACCTGACGGCTTCACTACCGACTTACGCCGCCAATGCCGAGGCTACGTCAGCTGTGTCAAAGGCAGAGTGGTCGAAGAACTGGCCTGCAAAGACGGCTCACTTTTCAACGGAAAAACATGTGTCCCTGCCTTACTGTATCAATGTCCTGTACCTGTGAAGAAAAACGTTTGTTCCAAACTGAAAGACGGATATCACCAAGATTACATGACTGGATGCAAAGAGTATTTTTACTGCCACCAAGGACAAATGCTGTTGAGAAGTACATGTAGGGACGGAAAAGTATGGAATGGCTCGGATTGTGTGTCAAGAGATGAATTTTTGTGTGAAGGTCCAGAGATTTGGCCGGGTTGTAGTGCTTTGGACGACGGTCTGTACACAGACCTATCAAAAGGTTCAAAATGTAGATTTTACCACTATTGTTCCAACGGTAAGAAGGTCCGATTGAGTTGTCCGATGGGGTATGTATTCAACGGGAAAACTTGCGTAGAACAAGATTCCTATCACTGTCCACTGCTTGACACAGACTGTCACAATAAGGTGGACGGTTATTACTCAGACCCTAAGTCAGGTTGTCGTTCGTACTATTATTGCTCAAACGGCCAAAAACTGACTTACATTTGCCCAGAAGGTTTACTCTTCAATGGAACAGACTGTGTTAACAAACGCATACACAGCTGCACAGCGAAAATCAGCATTTGCTCCAACAAAACAAACGGATACCACGCAGACGCTGCCACCGGGTGTCACAAGTATGTTTATTGCTTACAAAAAGTAAAAATTACGTCCTTTGAGTGTTCGGAAAATAGTGTTTTTGATGGCAAAAAATGTGTACCGGTCAAAACGGATAGTTGTACTAACGCTAAAGAATCTTGTGATACATTAGAAGATGGTTTATACGGAGAACCCAACTCTCAATGCACCAGATACTTTAAATGTGTGGGAAAAAAGAAGACTACAACTTTTACTTGCCGAGGAGGGTAAGTTTTTAACGGAGTAAAGTGTGTGAAGTACATATGTCCAGTGGAGAAAAAGCAATTGTATAGCCAAGATGATTGTGTGGGGAAGATCGGGTTTTTTCAAGATTTTGAGTCAAATTGTAATAAGTATTACTTTTGTATTAATGGTGTCAAAACTATGCTTTCTTGTAAAAGAGGCCAAGTATTCAATGGGGAGGTTTGTGTTAGTGAGAAAAACTACACATGCCCCATTTAGTTGTCACATTGTAAAACTTCCTTTGGATTGTTACGGTTGAAGAGAGAGATTATGTTTTAGGATTAGGTAAGGAAAGAAAATTGAAGTTGGAGAAGACGTTTATTTTTAAATAATAATATATAGAAATAAGTATTTATGCCTTACCATGTTTAAAAAAAAATCAACCTTAAATTAAATTTTGACTTCCATTAAATCTTTCATTACGATTAACTTCAAGTTCAAATATTTGTAATAGTTTTTGTAAACAAATTATTCACTTATAGTCAGATGAAAGGTAATTAGTAAATAATAGGTACTAATTGATGAATAAAGAGACAGGTTTAACATACTGTAAGTATTGACAAGTACTGTTTATTATATTGAATTCTTCTAAAATGGTTTCAAGTTACTTTGGTGTGAAATAATCAATTAGCACCTAGTATTAGAATTTGGATGGAATTGAAGCACTGTAGTTTGAAAAAGATGGCATGCAACAAAGTCATTGTACCTGTTGATAATAATTTTATTTTTAATTGTTAAATCATGATATTTAACTTATTTATGCTGTAAATAAAATTACTTTATTTATGAAACTAATTTTTTTCCTTCCTAGTTAATTTATGTAGATGAATAGAATTTTCTAATTTCTGTGGTTTTCTTTCTAAAATATTTTTTGTACAAGCAAATAGACTAACTCTTTTGTTTTTACCAGGACATAAAGAAGTATAAATAACTTCTTGATCAGCATTGTACGTGTTATTAAATTTACGGAAAGTAAATAAAAGTCTTACCATCTTTTTTGTATATTAACCGTCTTGTGAGTAACATTATAAGCGTAAATATATGTTTTAAGTGTTGATTCAAGAAATCAGAATTTTTTACATCTTTTGTAAGGGAATGGTCAAAAACCTTTATGGTTACTCGGCCTTTTGTTGGAGATAGCATAATAAACTGATTGCACATAGTTAATTATGCCATGATTGCATTGTTAATGCTGTAATAAATACCACAAAGGTCATTTTTAAATAAAACAATCAGAGCTAAATAAATAACATCAGTTTATTTCTATTTAATTAAAATGATTATACGAATATTAACAATATTTATAAAACTATAACTATTTAATGGTAAATAAACATTTGATAAACATCAATAATTGCATAACACAACAAGGTTATTGGACGAAAGCAGGGCGATTTTGTAACCTACCTAAACCAGAAGAAAAACATTCTGTGTCAGAATTAATAACGTAAGTGCTTCAAAACAATTATTTTTAACACCAAAGCAACACAAAAATCAGCATAAACCTGAGAGTTTCGTTGAAAAATTGAGGGAATCTAAATAAGCCTACTGGGTTTAATATTTTAAGAGTTCTTATTTAATCTGGTCCCGGTGAAGGATTAGACTATCCTGCTGAGATTGGAGAGCAATGAAGGTATGGGCTGGATTGAAGCAAACTCAAAGTCTCGGAAGATCACAATCGTTATTACCAAACCAACTAAACTCTTTAAGACAATAATTTTTACCACCTACTCAAGTTATCATAAGTCATCGTCAAGTTTATCTTTCATTGATCTATTCGATTTCTTTTCTAGATTATATTGATTGACATTTTGTTTTGCTAATACAATAGAGGGGCATATAATAATTAGTTGGAATATTGTTTATCTTAAATTATTTTAAAATCTTTATCTAAAAATTTGTTTGGGTCCCAGGACTTAGTTCAATAAATTAACTGACTCCAACCTAAAATCATTTTTGACTATAACCAAAATGTTGTATTACAATTTTTCTCATCGGAAAACAGCTTGTGAATCTGAACTCATTGCAGTGTTTGAAAATGTTGCATGTTTTCAGAAAGACATCATTTTGAGAAGTACTTTCCTGTCCTAATTTGTATTCACAGACAGAAACAGGTAATCTTATACCATTTTAATTTTCAAGAAGTGATCATGGACCAAATAACATCATTATGACTTTCCTGTCTCTTAGATTTAATCGTACAAGAAGACTACAAGAACTAACTCTTTTTTTAACTCTCTCTTATCCACTAACTTACTGTTTTACTGTTTACACTACTACTAAAACTTTGAACTCGTAAAAGAGTTAAAATTCTAGAAACAAATTAACGAGCTCAATCGAAAAGTAGCGAGGTGCATTAACAAATTTGTTTAACTGGTGACAGCAAACTGTATTTGTCTATACTGACTTCAGGCTGAAAATGTACGACTATTTTGATTTATGCCAGATTGGTAACTGAATTTAGCTACGATTTATAAGTATCAAGATTCAATTACATCACCTCACTATGTAGTGATACCAAATCATCCTAATGAAACTATTGGGATGTACAACTACTGTCTCAATTTCTGGTCTATTTTCAAATAAAACACTGGTATCTGGAAATTCCCTAACACATTGTGCATTCAGTGTCCTGATCCAAATTTAATCCAATACAATTATTATTCAAATATCACTATCACAGTTCCAAATTTGTTCAACAAATCCCAGAATCATGCATTGTTACAAGTGTTTACGATTACTCAGTTATTATAATCCCTAAATACCTCTATCTAATAAGTCTTGAAAATAATATATAAGTAAAACTAATTATTTACCATAGACTACCAAAAAAAAATTCATTAATATAGTACATCCTTAGCACATTACATCTAGCCATATTTTTACTCGTTTTAATCTTACGATAAAATATTTACAAGGTTTGACCGTCAAAATATACACTGGAAATCAAGAATAACCTTGAACGTAGACGTTAGAAAAATATCATTCATCGAATCGCTCAACAAAACGCTCCGTCATGACTGGGGTTAACGGGCAAACGTTAAATATATCGGAACATCGACCCACGGATTACACATGAGCATTACATTACTGTGGTAGAAGCGCTATGTCCGGGGACTGAGTTTGGCTACAGAAGGGCAGACACGTCCCACAACTTGATGAGTTTGTCCTGTCCAACTGTCAACAGCCGTTTCCTAGGCTCGTCCAGGTCCATGGAGACGATGCAGTGCTTAGTGTCGTGGAAGGTAGCTAGAGGAGTGCGGCTGCAAACAGAAAACTGGGTTGAATATCAGCTATCTTGTAGTCAAACAAAGAAGTGAATTTGTGAGAATATTTTAACCGATCAGTCAGTTATGTGTATAAATTAAATATATGTGTCAGTTGGTTTCAATAAATGTGCTGGATAGTTGTGTTAAGATCAGCTCAAAAAGATTAAAGCTTAGAGAGCAAATAGATTAAACCCATACATACATACAGTGGCGGTTCTAGGACCTTGTCAAGGAGGGGGCCACCGGGGGGCTTGGGGGGTGTGGATCACCCCCTAATAAAGCAGGGGGGTTCGGGAGTCAGGGAAAATTTGGAGTTTTCGAAGCCATTTGGTGACTTTATAAAGCCATTTTTAACACCTACAACTGGTCCCAATTGCCCATAAACTTCCATTTCACCTGTTTGTCATGAGCAAGTAGACATTTAAAAAATTAAACTATGATGATTGCATTAATGGATTTCAAAACACACTGTAGCCTACGGTCATATCCTCCTAAAAGCCGTTTGGTGACTTTCTAAAGCAATTTTTAATGTCTAGAACTGTGTGCAAAACCTCCCATTTCCCCATTTATTTGTCATGAATAAGTAGACATTTATTTTTAAAACTAACTATGACGATTGCATTCATAATCTCAAAACATATTGTAGGCTACGGCCATATCTTGCTAAAAGCTGTTTACTGACTTTCCAAAGCCATTATTAATTTCTTTATCTGTGCCCTACTGTACATAAACCTCCCATTTCACCTGTTATTTGTCTTTGTCATCGGCAAGTAGACATTTTAAAAAGTAAACTGTGACGAACTTGCATTTTTGAATTTCAAAACATATGCCTACTTTAGACTACAAAGCCATATCTCCTAAGCCGTTTGGTGACTTTATAAAGCCATTTTAACGTCTAGAACTGAGCCCAATTGTCCTAAAACCTCGCGCTGTTTTGGCGTGTCCTAGAGGAATAAAACTTTTGTATCCCAACCTGATGATGAAGCTTTGAAATGTACATATTCATCATCGACTGTTAGAACTGTGAAGACGGGTAAAGATGTTAACCTAGGCTATTCTAATTTTAAATAGGCCAATTTTAGCATAAGTTTAAAATTATTTAAACTAAAATCACACTCACTCAGCGTCACGTAGCTGTATGTGGCAAGGGTCACACACACGGACAGGCAGCTCAAAGCCCATGGTAGGTATAGTCACTGCGCGACTAGAGCATCTGTCACACACTGCGCGACCACACGCCCGACAGTGATGTTGTCGGAACCCCAGCTGCTTCTGGTCCATCATGGCCCGGATGTTCCAAAAAAAGGGTCGTCCACACAGCTGACATGTATCCGACTCCACCCACTCTGGTGTCTACGGGATGAAAATAGCTTTGTTAAACAAGATCAAAAGCTTAGCTACTACTAGGTTAAACATTACTAGGTTGATACAGTAATGGTGATCGAATTCATTTTTCCTATAATCAAAGATACAGTTGGCTCTCGATAATCCGACAGTTACGGGACCGGGGGGGTGTCGGATTACCAAAAACGTTGGACTACCAAAGGTTAGCTTAATTTCACTGAATTTAACTGCATACGTTAAGAAAAACCAGTTTTTAATACATATCACGTACTATTTAACTGTTATAGGTATAAACTAATCAACATAGGCATTACATATTACAAAAAAGAAAGATTTATTGCATATAAAAATACAAAAAACAGTACAGTACAAATCAAAACTAAAATACAATGTAGTGCTCCGTTTTTTCTAAATACATTACAATACTGTAATTACTGTACTGTAACTACGGTGTAGGCCTACACATTTACGGGTTGAAAAAATCTGTGATAGTCTTTTGTTTCTTTTTACGCAAACAGTCTGTCATTGCATTTTCTTGAATGTGTCTCAACATTAAGGCCGGGCGCGCACTATCCCGACCACGACCACGACCACGACCACGACCAAACGCCCGACCAGTGGTTGTCATTCACCATGCGACCAGAGCACGACCCGACCACGACCCGACCAAGGCAACAATGTTTTACAAACTTCAGTGTCAAGATGATTGTTGAAGAAGTAGTTGATATTGTGCATTTGTATTGTAAGTACGTTAAGCGGAAGAAGACACGATACTGGGTACATCCAATGTTAACTGTCAGGTCTGAAAGGGCATTTTGCAACATTTTATGAAGAGCTACGTCAATATGAAGATAAGTTTCAAAATTGTCAAAATCCTGCGACATTTTACCAAATGAGTCACTTCACAGACCGGCACTGAAAGCAAGTGCTCACCGTTTGATTGGTCTAGGAATACTGGGGATTGAGTTGTGTACTGGTCGGGTCGGAGGCAAGTCGGGGGTAGTGCGCGTCGTCCCATTACATTGTGTGCTATTTTTGGCTGCAACGACCAGCGGGTCGGGCCCGACCAAACTGGAAAATTTTGGTCGTGCGACCAGGGCCCGACCAGTCGACCAGTGCGTGCTGTTCCATTTATTCCTATTATAAAACTGGTCGTATCCGACCAGTCGGAGTCGTGGTCGTGGTCGTGGTCGGGATAGTGCGCGCCGGCCCTAACACGTTGTTCAAGTCAAGTCCACGCTCTTCACACCAGCGAATCAAAGTGTTTGCAGCCAACATAGCTTCGTCACAGCTAATCGTGTATTTTGCCTCCACGGCCTCCTCAATTGTGTCGTCTTGTTCATTAGATATGACTTCCTGTACTATATCTTCATCTGTTAGGTCAGCACACAGGTTGTCGTCTAATACCCATCTTCTTAGGTCTTCTGAAGATTCTTGCGAAACGTTAATATCATCGCAAAGTGTTAGTGTATCCTCCACAACTCCGTTGTCATCTTGACCATTGTCATTTCCATCGTCTTTATTTTAGAGGAGTGGGTTTTCTGGCCAAACATTTTCTTTTTGAAATTTTCAAACCAGCCATCGCTGGCACGAAAATCATCTTTTTTAATGATTTCACGATAAAAAAACCGTGCTTTCTCTTTTAAAATGTCCCCATAAATCGGGGCATGTCTGTTTCTTTGCTGTTTAAACCACGCATAAAGAGCTTCCTCAATTTGGGGATATTCGCTCATTTTAAGTGTTTTTCTCTTAGAATCGTTTTCAACACATTTTATAAAATGTTCTATTTTTCCCTATTTTTCACAATGTCATAAACGGTAGGTCGCCCGATGTCATAAACCTTAGAAATAGCCGTGGGAGTTTCACCACGGTCATACCTCTTAATAATTTCCCATTTTTCGGGAAGAGTTAATGTTTTATGCTTACGTTTATTGGTTCCACTTGTGCTCGCCATCACACAACACTTAACAAAACTCTAACACTAAAACACTGAAGGTAAACTGTCATTTGATCACCAAAAGTACAGTACGTATGCACGAGTCACTTCGCTACTGAACACTGGAACCAGCTACCGGAAACACATGAGAAGCCCAAACCGATGTCAGTCTAGACAAATGACCCCGGTGACTCCTACAGTACAGCTGTACTGTAGTTTGCCGCAGCGTCGGACTACCGAGCGTGTCGGACTGTTAAGTGTCGGACTATCGAGAGCCAACTGTACTATTTTTTAATCGATAACCTACCTCTTGAACAAAATATTATTTAATTTTTAGCCGGCCGTTAGTGATATTGCACTTAAAATATTACAGTTTGCTGCTAGACTAAAAAAATTTTTTAACAGTAAAAAAAATTAATAAGTGAACAAAACAAAATGGCGGCTGTGTGAGTAACTAAGGACTTCCGGACTATTTAAATATGATATTTGGATACGTTTCTTCCCAGGAACAATGCCCTAAAATATTGGTAGAGAGTTCCGGGACACCCTGTATATTACAGCTTAAATATGCAGTACCTCTTTCCTCTCAGCTGTCATATCCCAAAACACCAAAGTACAGTCTTCTCCTCCAGAAATCAGCTGTTGCTTCAAGGGACAATAGTTGAGGGCTGTCACTTTATTGCTGCAAAAAAATAAAATTTATAAAAATCACCAAACATAATATTTAATCCGGATTTTGATTGATAATTTATATATTTTTTTAATTAGTCCCATTGAATTTCTCTCACCCTCCCGTGTTACACATCACTTTATAATACTTCCCCCTATACTATGTATAGGGGAAGAAAATAAAACTTAGAGAAAATGTTATTTCTAGTCTCCTCTAACATACGCTCTAAGCAAGTACTCTTGGTATAACAATTGCTAAGAAAAACAATGACTACAGCTGGCCAATTTCCATTAGTATCCAAAGTGAATGGTTTAACGTACTGATGCCCCTGGAGCTCATAAGCATTGCCTTGCTGGCCTCCGATGTCCCAACAGATGACAATCTGGTCAAAGCTGCCCGAGTAAAGTCTTTGTCTCTGAGGGTCCCAGGCTAGAGTACGGATACTGCCAGTGTGTCCCTACAACACAGAACAATGTCTTAGATGTGTTGATTACCAGGAGTACAAATCCACGAACACCACACATAATCTCTTTCTTTCTTTGTGCTTGTCTGTAGGCTTGACTAGTTGCCGTACACCCTAGAATGTTTCTGCAATATGGGCCCATGTCTTGGACATGTGGACTACCAGGCCTAGTACAATAATTAACAATACAAAACCTTAGAGACCAAACATAATCTCAACAACATAATCTCTTTCTTTTTTGTTTGATTTTCAGCAGGCATGACTAGTTGTCATGTAGTGTAGATCGTAGAATAACGTACAAATTGGCTAAACATATCTAGATAATCTATAATCAAGTCATGTCCGCCATGTTACCTGTGTCGGTTTGTCCCGTGTATCAATGTGGCCGGCCTATCATCTTTAAATGTATTTAAATTGTGTTTTTAATTGAGAACTTAATGTGTTTAACTGTATTTACGTGTTGATGAAGACTTCCGTCGGATTTATGACTAACTCCAATTTGATGTTGACAAGGATTTGATCGTGGGTCTTTGACCCGAAACTAGTCATTACTAGACTAACTGAAGATGGACTAAGGTATGTAACCTATTATTACTTGATTAGATGTCAACCTTGATCAAAATTCGTATTTAATAATACCTGTGAAAGTCTTGTTATCGAGGTTACACTGTACCCAAGATTACTTAGTGTCTGATGGCTGCTTCTTGTTATAGAAACAAGTTACTTATGATGAGAACCAAATCCAGTACTAATAAGAGTAATTCTAACTAACACACTATTACAATAACAATTTCAAATCCCTTGCTAAATAATTCCTGAAAGAGGTATGTAAAACTTTCTGTTTCTAGAATAAGATTACTGTGTACTAATCTTGACATGTTCAAGGTTACTCCCCACATTGGCAGGGTCAGATTCAGATGGAAAGTGTCCACAATAATTCTTTAAACAAATTTAACAGTTCATAAACTAAGAAAACTTGATCATCTAACTCACTTTAAGGGAGGTGATGATTTGACAACCGGCATTGCTCAGTTTCAGCATTGTGATAACTCCACTGTAGTCTCCTACGAATGCGTGCTTTGATGGAGCGTCAAAACTGAGAAAGTGTTAAGGGAAATAGAAACAGGTTGATTTACAAATCTCTTATCTCTTGTAAGAATACAAAGTTGTCTTAGTAAATTATATACTCTTAGATCATATTACAAAAGCTTAAGAATGTTTTAGTAGGAAACACAACAACATAGCCCGCTAATTTCTGGCAAAATCAGTAATCAAAATATGCATAGTTATCAACCCTAAGTCATTACAATTTACACTTTATGGACTCACAATTCCTTTAAATGCTTAAGCTGTTGCTTCGATCCTAAAAATGATTGTTACTTGACTTAGTTTTGTTCAATGAAAGGCTCGATTCCAGGATTTTGAATTGTAGAGGAAGGAGGATAGTGGCCAGCTTACCTAGGTAGTGGTTGTTGTAGGTAGGCCATAGGACATACAGAAGAGATACTGTGCACACAATGTTTTGTCCCCTGATGGACTTTTTCAAAGTGTAGAGAAAGTGGTAGAGTTTGTATGGTGGTTGTAATATGGTTTGTAATCTCTACCACTTTCTCTACACTAAGTTCCTCAGGGGACGAAATATTGTGTGCACAGTGTCTCTTCTGTACTTCTATGGCCTTCCTACACTTCTTCTAGGTAAGCTAGCTGCTGTCCTCCTGTCATTTGAGTTAGTCATGGGGCTATTGATTGACAATACTTTCCAACAGCATAATTTTTCTGTTTCATTTTCTAAACAACACTCGACTCGTATCATTATGAAGGAATGAATGGGTACACAACAAACTCACTGAAAAGAGTTTCAGAAAGGTTTCAGGCAGTTGATAACAAATAAGAAGTTCACAACACAAACTTGCTATTTTGCCCCAGCAAGAGGACTTCTTTAGAGAAAAATTGTAGGGCTTTTTATCTAGGAAGTAAATTTTTTTAATTACAGCCTACCACTGGAGAAGCTCCCTTGTACAGGAAAAATATCACCTTGTTTTTGCTACCAACAGCCATAACTCTTTTCTTTCTGGAGTTCTTTGATTAGTTGTAAATGTTCCTTCCTCTTTGCATGCACTTTTAGCAGGTTAGGGTTTCATAAAGCAAGACGAGGTTTTGATCCAACCTTTAATAAAAATTTTGACTGAGTTTAAATTTACAAAAATATATAAATATGAATATGAAACGGAATGTGTTTTTGGCCTTAATATGAGACGTACAGTAATAGCTTATTCCCAACCTGGGAAGTTCGCTAAAAACATAACATGTTGTAAAGGATACACAAGGGCTGTGCACCAAGCGTTGCTGATGAAGTTGCCGAGTTGTCTGCCAGTCTCAGAACAATGGAACTGGAACATCTTGTCCCTACTGATGCTCAACACCCACTCTAGGGTGAGAGCGTAGTGTACTGCAGTCACTCGGCCTTGGTGAGCCAGTACATCTCTCACTGACGACATCCGGTTTAAGTCCTCCTCCAGCAAATATTGCTGAAAATATAGAACAGTTAAAAACTATTTAAAGGTGCTCCATGCAGACATTCTGTTCACATTGACTCACTCGGCCAGTTGGTGTGAACAAAAGCTTGAACACCAATATTGAACTCCCTTCCTAACTCACATGAGTTAGCCGATATTTTGCAAGCAAGTCGCAGTAAACATTGGCAATTTTCGGGATGATGTTGTATAAAACATTGAAGATAACGACATTTACATGAATGGTGGTGAACATAGCAACACCATAAATATCGGTAAAGGTTATTATAAATGCAAACGTTAGCCGAGGTAGTAAAATGTCTCCATTGTTTCAATACACTAAAATGTTGCACAAAGCAGGTTGTCATCGTCTAGTGTGGTTTTGGTGACATTTTCATCTACCCCATACACTGGAACATTGTTTCGATTTTTGTGATTGTGGCCATAACTCCAAAATCTTTTACGACCGTAGCTTCATAAACGTCAACCACGATCATTACAATTTTACCATCAATATGCCGACTTAAAAATCTGCTTGAAAATTTGAATCGAGGTCCTGACTAGTTTTGTTCCAAGCTTTGACAATGTTGCGCTTGCAGCGAAACTAGTTAACACCTTGTTGATAGAAGTTTCTGACCACGGACTGGGGTAAGATAGCCTAATGTGTCATATTGCTCATCTTGTCTAAAATTGTTCAAACTGGCTAATTATGGTAGGTTAGATCCACTTACAGTGATTGTGCCATTGTCTTGCCCAACGAACATCTGTCTAGTCTCAGGGCAGTAGAAGACGCAAGTAGCTGCCACAGGCATGTAAGCGCAGATACTGGGCCAATACTGTCCCGAGTCCCTCTTCAACCACACCCGTACAGTCCTGCAATAGCGGCAGTGTTAGCAAACCAAACAGCAAAGGACATCAAATGGCACTAAAGAAATAGAAATAAACGATAACTATCAGCAATCTGACATACTTTCTTCCATTAGCTTGTCAACAGCCCTTATGGGTGTAATTATGATATTTTAGGGGGAAAATTACAAAAATTGCAAACACTTTTGAACCCCAATTTTTACAGCAATGGTGGTTGTAAAATTTTTTTATAGATAGAAAGACTATGATAAAATACTAGATTTGAAACAGAATCTAGAGCTGTTTAGAGCTGCTGTTAGAGCTGTTATGGGGATTTTTATGATTTTTATGGGGAAATCAGCTTAAATATCAAAATTTTCCAAAACATGAAAAAACGCTAGGAGATAATAAGTTAACTTCTGTAATTTGCCTATCAGGTCGTTAATATAAAACATTGCTAGAACCAGGTATTTAAACCACTATTTTCTTCGCAATCCAGAGTCTATTCATACTACAATAAAACATTAAAATCAGATTTTACCAGTGATTACAGGTTTAACTTTAACCAGATGTAAACTATGATCCATGTTTCATTATAGGAAATTGTAAGCCCTGCAACCGCTTTAGCCACTTGTAGGGCTTGCAGGGTTATTTAGCTGTTGAATAACGCTTTAGACCATCTTGACACTCAAGTTCAACATTTAAGAAAACAAAAGAATTAAATTATATTTTTGAAAATCATTATTTCATTTTCATAACTTTTTTTAACTGATAAAACATTGTTCTCTTATTCTTCTCAAAAATTTAAATTTTAAAAATAGAAAAATATTAGGCTAATAAACAAGCAAAATTTAAGAATGGGAATGAATAAAAGTAAACTGTAGGCCTACTTTGTTTTCTAGTTTTGAAGAATACAGGATGTATCTAATAATTTTTTAAAATTAGTTTTCACTGGTTTTTTACTAACGGCTATTTGAGTTTTTTTTTTCATTGATATGCTGTACAAAATTTAGACTATCAAGTTTGTTTGCAATTTATAAAAGTGTGGTGTGCTGGCTAGATTGAGAAAGCGCTGGAATTGAATGGTGGCAATGTCTCATCTATTACAGTAAAGAAATATGCAACAATTCATTATAAACTGGGCGAAGCCTATTTAAGTTATATGGGAAGTGATACTTTAAAATAATGATAAATTACTAGGTCATTCTGTAGGCTGCTGAGACAAAAAAATATTTAGCAATATTGAATATAAGAAGCTCTCTCTAATCAGAGTGCCCACTTTGACAGAAAACACAAAAAAACTGTGATTTTTTACTGTAAGCATTACTTGCCTTGGAAAAAAATTAAGGCCAAGAGTATCTAAAAGCAAAAGCAATCAAGTGAGATTTGTTTATAAATTGTGTTCCGTTCAGCATTAACAGCAATGGTGTCTTGCGATAAAAAAGTGAATAACCAACAATAAATATTGACAACCAACAATATTGGTTGGAGGCTAACTTTGACAACCAACTTTGATAGTGAGATGTGTGTAGAACAATAATAAAAACAGGTTGCCAGTTATATAAGTCATGGAACATTTTGTCTTTGAGAGACATTGTTCTCTCATGTAGCCTACTGTACTAAAGAAAATTCACCTTCCCGAAGACACTTTCTAGGGGTTCCCATATTTTGAATTAACCGAACTGGGGCACAGAGTTGGAGGGGGAGGGGGGACCTAAGGCTACTTGGGACAGATTATAAATTAAGAATATAAGTTATTGAATGGTATTTTTTCTTTTCTTTCAAACATCGAATTTTGCCAAAAATGATATCACAACTCCTAGCCCTTATTGTGATTGTTTCTTAACAACCGGTAGGCCTACAGTAAAATCTCACTAATTTTCAACAATTATTTGTGAACCCTGTAACAACCCATTGATGTATAATAACTCCCTCCGTCGCTACCTCGCTCTGTCCGCGAGGAGTGGGGATAAAGGCATGACTCACCCTAGTGCCAAGCAACGCGCCCGCTCTTGCCTTTTATTGCTATGTTAGTTTTGTGGAAATATTCCGAGTATAATTGATTGTAACGAACTTAAGGAGGTTTTATAAGCAGATATAATTAATTTTTAAGTCAAAAGTAAATCTCATAAGAAACGTAGTGGTGATATAAAAGAGTTAGATTTATTTATATTTGAACATTAACCAGAGCAAAGTATATCACAATAATCATTTGATCACATATGCATGTCATCATTTGCTTCGGTGAGGCCCAATTATTATTGAGAGACTTTGCATCATTTAAGAATATATATTTTGTTTATATTATAGTCTGTTTCTTTGTCATACTGTGATTAACGTGTTTGGAAAACATATTATGTTGCTAAATAAAATAAGTATATAATATTTAATGCCAATATCTCAAATGTATTCATTATTCTCACTGAAGTAAAATAATAACAAAATATTTTCTTAGGTATTAAAATACTACTGTGTAATAGCACATTTATTCTTTGATTCAAAGAATTTTGTTAACTTTAGACTACCGGTAAGCATTAAAATGCATAAAATACGCCTGTAAATTTAGTTACCATTCTTCGTAATGTAATGACATATTTGATGTAATATAATGATAATTAAATGCAAGAAACTCAGTTTCTATATCCTGTAAACTGATGCTGAGCCGGCCGAGCTCCTAGCGCCAATGCCGCGCCAAGCGATTTTATGCCTATTTTTAATCGCTTAAAAATGATACAAGCAGGCTCCGTATCAAAAAAGCTTCAAATAAAAAAAAAATTCATTCTTTGATCTAAAACTTTGCCGCAGGAATTTTTTTCCTGACCAAAAAAGAAAAAAGTTCCTCGCTTACTACATTTTTCATGTTTTTAATGGTGTTAAAAAACAATCATCTGTTTTAATTTGCCTAGATAAATTATAAAGAATATGTTAAGGTAAAAACTAGCTACATAGTAATGAGCACTGGTTTTTCCAGAAAAATAATATATCAATTTGAAATTTTTATGTTAACAAATAAGTGTAGCAGAGCAGGTTGAGTGAATGTATGTTTGTGTAAAACAGAGAGGTTCATTCGGCCCGTCCGCCTCGGTATCCCGCCAATTCGATTGGCGGGCACGGACTGTTTTTCCACCACACAGCACGCTATCCAGTAGAGTTATTATACATCGATGTGACAGCCCTGAGGTTGTCGATTTTGGGGGTTGTCAAATTATCCAGAACATTGACATTTTTAAGGGGTTTTGATGAATGAATACATAACAAACAAATTTTTACTTTCCCCCCCTATACCATAGTAGGCCAATATATGGTGATAGTATTGTTTACGTCAAAATTTCGAGTTTGAGTTTTGAGTGGATACACATCCGTTTTGGGTCCCCCTGTACCCAAAGAAGTGGTTTTCAAAGTGATGTCCTTGTGTCTGTGTGTGGTTGTGTACAGAGCTACAGACTACACCTGTGGTCCGATTTTGATAAAATTTGGTATGTAGGTACTAATCTCCAGGCGTTTTATTTTTATTTTTTGAAGTTTTAATTTTTAATGTTGACTGACCCATAAAAAACCATAAAATAATGGAAAATAGAATTTTCTCAAAAATGGCCAGAGCGATTTTGATGAACATTTAGTAGGCTATGTTATAGCCCTTTAAATTCTGAACAAAATGGTAGAACTCCCATTTCTGTAAAAATTACGGTTCAAAAGTTATTGTAAATGATGTTATTTTCCCATAAAAACCCCATAAAATAAGAGAAAATTGTCTTTTCAAAAGAAACCGGTTTTGATTAAAATTAGTAGCCTATGTGATAATCCTTAAAATTCCAAACAACATAGTGCAACCCCTCATTGCTGTAAAAGTTATAGGTACCGGTAGTTCAAAATGTATTGTAACTTATGTTATTTCCCCATAAAAACCCATTCAAAAAAAGGAAAAATCGATTTAAAAAAAACCGATTCTGGTTGAAATTCTTCTGTTATGGTCCTTATAATTCTAAACAAAATAGTGCATCCCTTCATTCCTGTTAAAATTACTACGACGGCCCTTAAGGGACATTCAGCTTCTTTTTGTTTATCATTCACTTCGACTTTATTCTCAAACTACTTCGACTTTATTCTCGAAGCAGTCTAACTTCAACACACACAACTTAATTCTCTCGGTTTCTGTCAATGTCAATTTTTCAAGTGTCCGCTCACTTATGAAAATGTTATCTATATATATAAAAGGCAAAGCCCTCACTGGCTGACTGACTGACTCACTCACTCACTCCACACTAATTCTCCCACTTCCCATTTACCTAGGATGCTGAAATTCGGTACACCGATTCTTTGGGCATTAAATAGGAGAACTAAGTAGTTTTTATTCTGATTGAATTGAATTGAATTGAAAATGTCTTTATTCATATAATATACAGTGGTATACATCAAATGGCGTCATTATGCTAAATTACAGCTAACAAATTAATTTCATTACATTTCCTCCATGAGCCATAATGATCGGGCTTTCGGGCTCCGCCCCAGTGGCTCTGGAGTTTCCCATGTTAACCTTATGATCTTTCATATTTAAAAGGAATTAATGAATCTTAACAGCTGTTTCAATTAATCAAGTTGGTTCTGTTCTATGATGTTCAATAGCATTAAAGTTACAAGGATTAGCCTACCGACAGGGTGCAGCACTATTATTTTTTTTTAAATTTATGACAACAGCTAATTTGCAACCATAAGGTGAGTGAGCGTAGCGAAAGAACTTCAACCTGGAGGCGAGTTAGCGTAGCGAACGAGATAGCCTGAAGGCAAGTGAGCGCAGCAAACGAGCTCCAACCTACAGGTGAGTGAGCGTAGCAAACAAACTTCAACCAGGACGTGATTGAGCCATGCGAATACTTATGAAGTTAAACGGGGCAAAGCCTGCGAGTACAGCTAGTGCTTCAATAAAAGAATTGCAAGTATTTCAGGCTGAAGGCATAAACTAAAATATTGTTCCATATCAGTTCATTAATGTCATATTCCATGAAGTGTGCTAAAAAACACTTTCTATCTGCCAATTCTGATTAAAAAATCGAAGGCAATTAAATTACATTTAACTTATTTAATAAATTAATATGGTATATTTAAAAGAAACACCCAACATCAACAGTTAGTTGTGGTTGTGGTTGCAGTAAAATTATGTGGTTGCAGTAAAATTATAACAAACTAGGGTATAATAAGCACTTTGAGGATAAAGTCGAGGTACTTCGAGAAAAATGAAGAACTTCGAGAATAAAGTCATCGAATTACTTTGAGGTAAAAGTCGAATTGAATGAAAAACAGAAAGAAACTGAATGTCCCTTCAGGGCTGTCGTAGATTACTGTTCAAAAGTTAATGAAACTTTTGTGATTTTACCTATTAAATATCATAGTTACTCTCATCACTTACCCATGATAAGTTAAAGGTTGTTGACAAGCTAATGGGAGAAAGTATGTGTCAGATTAAAACAGAAAAAAAACTTTAGTAGAGAGTACAAGAGTTGCATTTTACAGTCATTGCACTACAATATTTGCAAACACAAACATTTATTTTAGCCTATTCCAAAAGTGATGTTAGCCTATACAATTATTTTAATAGAGAGTAAAAAAGATGAGATTTCTCACTTTTTGCAGGAGCTAAATTTTGAACGTCAAAATCCGGTAATCTCCGGGGATATGGCAACTCTAGTCAATTTGTAATTGTTTAATGTGTTTGAAGATATTAAAACAGATATTGTAAAATAACTACTCTTCTTGATCTCACTCATGCACTACTTGTTGCCATCCAACTTTATTTAAAAATTGTAAATATTTGTATTGTTACGGTAATATTTTTGTTACTATTGATATTGTTACCGGTACCACTATTGTTATTGTTCACTATTTTGTTGTGAGTTGTTATGTTGTGAATGTTTTTCATTGTAAAGTGGCTATGCCGTTGGGAAATAAAATAAAATAAAACAGAAAGAATGGATTGTAAAGGAAAACAAAAATATTGATATGAAAGAAATCAGATTAATAATAATGAATGTTCCCTTTAACAGGAAAATAAATTAGGCTACCCTTTCATTTTATAACTAGATTCTAGACATTTCAAAAAATAATCATTTTGCGGTTTCAGATACCGGTACTGGTCGAGACGCGTAAACTGGTATTTGGGCCTTAAAGTGCGGGTAGTGTAGGTATGGGGAGTGTGGAGACAAGAAAAGGCCGAACTAAGTAGGTACTTTAAACATTTCCGCTGACTCACAGGGATGACTCCCCGTGTTTCGTGTACTTGAAAGCCTTCATGGGTCACAAGGACAGTTGACACAACTTTTATTGCGCCACATAATGATTTAGAACTAGGCTAGTAGCGATCGGTCAAGTGCCAGCTTGTGTCACGAGCTGTTCATAGGCCAAATAAATTACTGTACATCATAAGTTACCTAGTAGGCCTACATATCCAACACAATTGATTCGTTTTTTTCAGAATTTCAATATTTAGATGGTTCAAACTCACAACAAATCTTATTTGTTACTAATTTTATAGGACCTTACATGCCCCATGCTCCCTCACGACACATACACCTTACTGTCCAACACTTCTACTGGGCTGCACTTTACGTCCTACACTCATTCGAATGAAACTATCGATTGTTCGATTGTTTCATTCGATATATCGTTTGGTTAGTTAGGTTAGGTTAACCTTACCTAATTAACCAAACGATATAACTTATCGAACAATCGATATATCGGTCGATATTTTCATTCGAATGAGTGTAGGACGTAAAGTAAAGTGCAGCCCTCCTACTGCCCTTCTTTGGGACCCAGGTAAGTACATGCATTTGTAGGTGAGTGTCCAGGAAAACTGGGTGGTATAAGTTAGGCACCATAAGCTTGACACAACCCTTTAAGCTAGAGTTAATCATATACATGTTCATTTTAGGTAGGCTATTATCTGAACCAACTAAGCAAAGACCTGAAAAGCTTCCAGATACCCATTACACCACACCTAGGCATTATTAAAGTTACAGGCTCTTAAACCATCTCTACATAGAAATTTTAGCTTGGTTGTATGACAATAGTTCTGATATTAACTTACCTATCATCCGAAACACTGATCACCCCATCCTGGCCAGGTATGAGAATTGCTTGGTTTATATCATCGTTGCATCCTTCTAACTTCGACAATAGCACCGGTTTTTTCGTTGTACTGAATCTATCTCCAGCATTTGCTGAACCAGGTTTTATTTCAGCTGCCATTTTATCACTATATCAATATCAATTACTGAAACAATATTATTCTAAAAGATATCTTCTATTCCAGAATGTGAAAGAAAAACAACAACACAGATAAATCCACTTTTCATTGAACGAAGAAGAGTGAGCTGTGGGCTATAAACTGAACAACTGTCGCCAGCGATGACAACGACAGACAATACAAAACAGAACATAACAGATGATTATTTTTCAGTTGAGTGAAAATAGTTAGGTCTACGAATGCAAAGTACACACTGACGCTGATTATAAAACCCTGCACAGTAAACGCGAATTTTCTATCTTTGGACTTGATCATTACAATTAATGGCTAAGATTTACTGTATCTACATTGGGATAAGATTTAATTTTTAGATGTCTACTTACAGTATTTTTCACGCTGAATCAAAAAATGCAATCAGTACCGGTAATTAATTAATTATTGTTGGGTAATGAATTAATTCATCAACCATTGACTTTGAGTGCTGAAGAAAACATCCCATCAATATGCTTCAAGCATCCAATAATCTACATATATAATACGTGAATACTAATATTATTGCTCACGCTATATCTATTTCACATTGTTACCAGTTCTTATCCATGTCAACTCATCAACACTCTTGTAAAATGGCGTTTGCCGTGCATGTAATAAAAAATATATGGACCAGCTGTAGAAAGGTTGTGTAGTCAATCCACTGAGCTTTATCTCAATTAGCCAATCAAATAACAGTATCCACCATGAGGGTCCCACATAGCACAGAATATCCTCAGGATATCCCACAGAGTTCCCAAAACGTCCCAAAATATCCCATGAGTTATAGGAATATACCTGGGACATTCCTGGGATTATATCCCATGGGATATAGGAATATCCCTGGGACATTCCTGGCATATTCCCGTTACAATAATTAATTTAATTTTTGTTCGGGTTTTTGATCGAGGGACAGGAATATCTTTGGCATATCCCTAGAATATCCACGCGATCTCCTTTTTTCACAATTTATTTGTAAAATCCACTAATAACTCAAGTATTTCTCGAAATATGCTACCGAATACAGCTTTCCCACACAGAACAGGATTCTGACCAGTTCCCACATATCCCACATAAATCCCAGGATTTGAGAATGTCCCTTAGGATCACTCTAAAATATTGCACATATCCAACACAAACGAATGCATTTTGAGGATATTCTGGGGACTTCCTATGGATATTCTCGGTAGGCTACCTATATTAAAACATATTTTATAGTACTGGATGTATTTTTTCAAGTTACAAGTGCTTGAGAAACGTTATTAAAAAGGATTTCAATACTATTTCGAATAACGTTACTAATGATTTATACAAATTAATCATGATTCTAACTTATTTGAGAAAATGTATTGGTTGAAAATTTAAGGGGAATTTAATTTAAGAATTTAATTAATCATATAACAATTATAATCTATATTCTTATTACAGTATATCCTCTACAACTCCCAGAAAAACAATTAAACAACTTGATGCCTAAACAGAATCAGTATCAAAAATATTTAAGTAGTGCGACCATTTCAGCTGTCGGCTGAACCGCTTGAAAACTAGTAATATCAACAATCACAAATAGCTCAGGAGGTAAGGTAAGAGTTTCATAAGTCAAAGGTAACCGGTTCAAAACTCGTCTGGGCAAAAATATTATATTGTTTCTATTTTTTTCCAAAATTTGTTTTTATGGGCTATTTCATTAAAATATACTTAACTGGTAAAAGTGCTTTTCAGACTAAATATTTATTATTTTGTGTTTTATGTATAATATCCTGGTGGGATATCCCAGGGATCAGGATTTGGGCGGACATGGGGATATCCCAGGGAGTTCCCCAGGATATCTTGAGGATATTGCGGGATATACAGAGGATATCCCCCATATCTCACTGGGATATCCCCAGGACATTTCAAGGATATTCTTGTGTTGTGTAGGGTATAGGTTGACTACGCCATTTACAGAGTATGCTGCTCTACAAATTTGATATTCCCTTTAAGCTCCAAGTTTTTGGTAGGTTTGTCGAATAGTACGTTGGTAAAAGTGCTTGAAATATGGAAAAAAGGAGAAAAAGTATTGAGTTTATTTTGGAAGATCTGGCTACAAGATTACTTAATGAGCCTACGTGAAAGGCAAGCAACGGAAATGAAACAGAAAAATGGAACTACAAAAAACCAACCAATGTTGGAGAAACTGTGTTGTTCTGATCCATGCAGAACTACCACGAGGAAGTTGGAATTGCTTAATGTTTTAATTGGGGTAAGACGGTAAGATCATTTAAGTTTACAGAAATTGCGCTGAAGACTATACTCACACAAAAAAAAAACGTTGGACGGACTCACAATGTATTCAACCAATGGAGAACATAGTGAGTATGTCCAAAGTATTTTAATACTTTAATACTTTTCGATGAAATGGGGACCATACAAAGTAGGTATTTTGCGTGTCACATAGTCTTCAACGCAATTAATCATACATCAAATAAATATAATTTTAATTTATTCCACCTAATGATTGTGGATTTTGTGTCAATTTTTGTGTATGAGGTAGTTTATACAGGCTATTTGGCGTTTGCGCAAACTAGAAGTACCCACTTTCCGACGACGACAATTACATTTGCTCACATTGCGTTGTGGATATTTTGGCTTTGCTCAATCGCCGAAGAACGTTTTGACTTTGGCATTTGAGTAAACTAGTTTACCCACAACGCGGTCTGGGCATTTCGCTTTGGCCAATGTCCGAAAAGAAATGCTAACTGCGCGACGTGGGTATTTCACACTGTCCACATCGCGAAGTGGGTAAAAATCTTGGACATTGTCCGAATTTGGAGTTTGAGCGTAACATCGACATAAAAAGGAATGTTTCAAGCGTTCAGAAACCCCAGAATGTTGAGAGTGGAGTAAGTGATATTGTATACTTGCATTCAATAGAAAAGGACTAGAAATTACTCCAAATGGCACTCTGCAAAATCTATACTCTATTACTCTTCAACATTGAGCATCGATAGTCAATTTTTTCGAAACATCAATGTTTTTCTATCGATGGTCAGTGTTTTTTACATTGATGGTAGATTACCGATGTTTTTGTTAAATCGATGTATAAGTCAAACATCGATATTTTTTGGGCAGTATTGAGATATCGATGTTTTCCATTACTAGAGAATATAAAAAACAGACGAAAAACATCGGAAACTTTATGTTTTAGTCCCAAAAACATCAATGTTTACGCAACGATGTTATCAGTACATAGATGGTTGACGTCAATGTTACAATGGTTGACCTATCGATGCTCATTCCTAGCCCGAAGTATGGCCTCGGAAAACTGCTTGATAGTTCCAGGTGCCCTCAGCTCGAACGATGTTGTCAGGACTGGGGAGTAATGTCGACTCTCAAAGAAGCCTGAGAGACTAAAACTGCCATATAACTTATTAAATAAACGGTATCAGCAATCTGACACATACTTTCTCCCATTAGCTTGTCAACAACCATTTTCATGGGTAAGCGATGAGAATAACTATGGTATTTAATAGGTAAAATCTCAAAAGTTTCATTAACTTTTGAACAGTAATTTTAATAGGAATGAAGGGATGCACTATTTTGTTTAGAATTATAAGGACCATAACTGAAGAATTTCAATCAGAATCAGTTTTTCTTAAAAAAATCATTTTTTTCGTTTTTTAAATGGGTTTTTATGGGAAAATAACATAAGTTACAATAACTTTTGAACCATAATTTTTACAGAAATGGGGGGTTGCACTATGTTGTTTGGAATTATAAGTATTAGAGTGAAAATTTAAAAACGTTCGTTTTCAGGAAAAGCACTTTGCAAATTTTTTTCTCCTTTTTTCAAAACTTTTATTTTTTTTATTTCATTAACATTTGAAGTTTCATAAAATGTCCATGGTAACGCAATATCTTTGGTAGTTTTTTTTTTTTAAAGAGCATCTTTAGTGGAAAAACACAAAATCCTGTCACGACCATAACAGACGTTTAGTTGAATATTAAAAATAGTTAATATTATTTTTATAACTATGTTTTGCTTTAAATAATTTACTTTTATGACCATTATACAATAAAAAGGTCACTGAGCTTTTGGTATATTTGGTCTTTCTAGAAAAAAATAAAAAATCTCAAGAAATGGAAAAAAAGCCAATAAAATCTTTTTAAGTTTGTATAACTCCGAAAAAACTTACCTGAGACCCAAAAAATCGTTATGTTTGTATAGAGGTGTGCTTCTTTTGTGTATAAAACATTGAAATATGACGATATTTCAATTTTTGAAATTTTTATGATAGAAATCGTAAACGTGATGGTCAGGGACAAGCGGTACGGTCGTGAATTTTCTGAAATAATCTAAATCTTTCTAAACAATCCTTCAATTATACTGTTAGTTATAATAAAAATATGTGTTTCAATTGAACTAAACTGTTCAATTTACAATTATATTAAAGTTATTGTCACGACCAAACACAGTATAATCCATAAGGCTGGATTGGTCGTGAAAAAACCCGCGATGGTCGTGAAACTTTGGTCGTGAAATTACGTGTTATTTGGCGGTAGCCCTGCACCTCATGTTCGAGGATACAAAGTGGACTTCTAGGTTAATCTAGCAATTGAAATATCTTATAAACAAAAATTAACACCATGTCTACTTCATCGAATGACTACGTACGGTCATGGACACACCAAAATTACAAAAAACACAATCTTTCCTTTATTAATCTTGTAATTTCTCCTTTCAACTCGAAACAACACTACAATCCTGACGTACACCACGAACTAGTCTCTAAAACCAGCTGACTCCATCGACGCCAGGCTTGTCACTGTCGTGCTCCAAAGTTGAAAATTTTTCCCAAATGGTCGTGACGCCAAATCGAGGGACAGACTTATTTTGTCATGGTAGTCAGTTTGCAATGACAATAAAACTATAATATGATCCTTTTTTGTAAGTTTAATAACCATTGATGACATAAAAATATGGCTTTATATATTTCGGCATGAATAATTAGTCTAAAAACAGCGTGAAAGTTGGAAAATGTACCCTAGGGACACGTCATGGTCGTGAATTTCGAGACTTTAAAAATACGAAAAAAATACCTAGAACCTGTTTAAAACCAAATAAATGTATTAATAATAATATATTTTACACTAGCTGTGTACCAGTTCTACGCACGGGGATATTATAGTATTCAGTTGAAACCTTCTTATATACAGTATAAAGAACAGCAGTTGGCTTGCATATTTTCAGATATGCTGGCCAAACTATTATACATAGCTTCATTTTATGTTGTTTGTTGTTGTTCCGGATCGGTATGACAATCAATAAAAGGTTAAATTACCTGTGTCCGCCGGTCGATCCTAATCTATCCTATTACAGGAGATGCATTTCGGCAAAATTAAATCTCCATTATCAGTCCTAATATAAGGTCTTGAGCTTCCCCATTAGGTGCATCTTGGAGTTTTTGAAACACATACACAAACTGTACACTTTTACACATGACGAATAAAACATAAATACACAGTAGGCCTACTTTTATTTTTACTATAGACATGTAGACGCGTGTCGGTCACGTTCCGAGTCTCGACTGAAAACGCTCATTTAAAAAATGTAAGTTTCCCAGCCATATACAACACTGATTCAAGGTTTTTTTTCCCGGTTATCAAAACTCAAGAACAATATTATACACAAAGAATCTCTATTTTCATTTACGGTTACCCTACAAATTATTGCACTTGCGATTAATTAAATCCTTTATGTAAGGAAAAAAGTTTTTAATCTTCCTTGGTTTCCATTTGCTTTAAAAACGTGATCGGAATTGGTTACGGTATTTGTAAACAACATTCAATGTAAACATATCAGTGACAGCTAGAAGAAATAATCTTGATTTGAACAGCTGTTCGTTATTTCATAGATGAATATGTGATAAACATTGGGAGAAAACTTTACAAAAAATCGCACAAAATTGGGTTTTTTAACGTCTGTCATTTTATTTACAAAGTAGTGACGCTATATTTTAATGGCTAAAGACAATCTCGCCAATCCAGTGAATACATTAAAATTATTTGGAACTTGATAGGTACTCTCGTTTTTCAGGAGAAGGCCGCGTTAAATGGCTCTTGGGCCGTGACAGACAGGAAGACAGACAGAAATTTAGATGAAACTTGTTTCGGTTTCTTTAATGTATAAAACGTAAAATAACCTAAAAGTTTATGATTCTGAGCAATGCCAATTTACAGACAAAACTCTAATTTTATTTATATAGAAAACTATGTGGTAGGATTATTTATTCTAAATCTATTTCAATGATTGTGAAACTGAATTTTCTTACCGTTGCGAAGCACGGGTACAGCAGCTAGTTTATTATAAAGTTGAGAGCTCTAAATTGCATTTGTTTAAGGATTAAGGATATTGAAAAAAACCGTCACCAATACAATATTCAAATATTTATTTAATTTATTGAATATTATACAAATTAAGCTACCTTAAATACAATGTATTAATCATACAGTTTTTATAGAACTGAGCTTGAAGATAACATTTTGTTCTTCTGCCACAGTAATGCTGAGTATTTCGTCAAGTGACTAGAAAGTAAACTGAGTTGCTGTAAAATTCTACAAGCTGTTTTGAACTACTAATCTCAAATTATTACTGGTTGTTGAAAGACACAATTTATTTAACAAGTTATAGTACATTTTACAAAATAAGTCACCAGATTCAGATTTTAATCTACACAAAAATAGTAACAAAATTATTGAGCGTGAAAATATTTCAGTATAAATACTTTTTGAACAATAGACTAAACTCCAAATTTAAATAAATAAATTCAGCTCTCTAATCGTGGTATTTATAAAACCTTAGACATTTTTCAATTTTACAGAAATTACTGCTAATCACAACCACAGACAAAAATGAATGCTGCAATTTATCATTTCAACCAAATTCACACAGAAGTTTTCATAAAAAAATACTTATACAAATCTATACTTTTGAGTTAGTTTTTACCATGAATCACATCGCAAAACATTTACGAGATAAATGCCTCAGAACATCCTTTACAAAATTTCAGCTTAACGTAATATCAATGAACTTATTAAATATTAAAGCCACATTTATGGCAACACACATAGGGGAACTTGTATGACACTTTGTACAAACGTAATGGTAACTGACATACTAAATACATCAGCATACTAGGCAAACTCAGTGGCTCAGTCCTACCTTAGTTAACCGTTCACATATGGATTGTGCCACAGACAGATGCACACATAGCGACACCACAAGATCATGTCTTCGGAACCAGACTTCATAAATAAATAGTGATGTAAAATTGTTCTGGAGTAACTGTAGAAAAAATGCACATGGGTTGATTCTAAGATGGTGAACAAAACAAACTAATAAAAGCAAAGTATAAAATAATTGTTCTCAAGCTCATTCTATACATTAGTCTCAAGTAAGGAAGCCAAAACATATTTTAAACGCTTACGCTAAGAGGTGACATGAAAAAGCACTCGAATACTGTACACTATGGAAATCGAAACAAGGTCACCGAGGCCCATCAGTGCAAGGTCGTATCCAAATGTTTCAAGAGCATCCTACGATAGAAAAGTATCAAATGTAAAAACCTATAGGCCTCTTCATTACACAAACCATTTATCAGATAAATTCAGACATATTGTTTCATTTCCAGTCTCGAAAAGTCAGATTGTATCTTTAAGCTTAAATTTACTTTACCTCTCAAATAAAAAGGTTTGAGCAGCGCTTGGCTTCATTTGAAAAACAAATTTAGTTTCCACATTGCTAGTAAATTTATCTTGTCTTCTTAACTAGTTTTGTTTCAACCTTAAAATCAGCGTAATATAATACTCAGCCTAGCCTATGAAATGCAATCGATTAACTACTTAGCTACATACACAAATTTTCTTTCCCTGAGTAAAATGGATTAAGGAAGATTTACATGTAAAAAATGTTAGGCTGAGTTGTGTCAGTTGAGACTAAAAATGGAATGCTTTTTAGAGGGGTTTTTGTAGGCTATATTAATATTTACTCTTCATGGCTCGCCACCGACTGTAAGCAATCCCAGATAAAACATACTCACTCCCTAAGTAGATTTATCATCCTTATAGATCAGTAAAAGAAAATTTTACTATTAGTTCTGTTCGGTGCACTGTAGGGGTCGTTTTCTGTTTACAATTTGTTCTTGTCATTTAAAACCTCGTTTAACCAAATGAAATGATCTAATCATAAAAAATAATAGTAACAAAATTTTGTCAACACTAGGGATCAGTGTCACCGGACATGAACTAGACACAAAAAACGAGTTTTAAAATTTACAATGGGATGAGTTGTCTACTTGTGTTGGTAAGTCCATGGCAATACAAACCAACGACAAGCTAGTAAATCTTATGTGCAATGTGATTTGTACAGTTTGTTTTGTGAGTGAAAAACCAAGTATGTTTATGAACATTGAATCACGTGGGCAGTGAGCAGTTTTTCGTATCGCCGCGTAGGGATGATGAGAATAGATATCGTTCGTGATCATACTGATCACTCAATTGTTTATTGAATAGCTGACACAAAGAAAAAAATAACGAACAATCGAAACTAAGTCCATTCAATGGTCAATAAAATATATTTTTTATATGACAAACCGATATCATCCTTCTCGTCTTTAGGTTAAAACGCTTACGAAAGTAAGAGCTGTTCTGCTGTCTGCTAACTTCACATCTTTTTGTTTGGTTGTATCACTCGTAAGACAAACTACAAATAATTTTTTTATTGTTTAAAACTTATTCCTGCTTCACATGTTATTTTCCAACCAGTCAATTTTTTTTTTTATATTGAAAGAACAATATGAATAGTATGCAAATTGTAAAAGTATATTTACATGAGTAAACAAGTAATTTTAATGTTGTAAAATGCATTTAAAGTCATAGGATTTACGATTTACTTTTACACCATGACCAAAAAATTAATTAATTACCATGCCCAATATTTACACTTTGCTTCTTTAGTGATATTGTAGATCAATGTTTTAAAACAAGACTGAATCACCGTGTTTTGTGATATGTTACTATTGATCATACAGCATTAATTTTGTAGTTACACAAAAATATGTGAATAGAAGACTAAATTTCAACAAGAAAATTTGTTTATGGATTGTTCTATATTTGAATGTTATAAAAATTAATTCTAAGTCTGTAATTTATTTATCATTGCTCAATATTCACACATCTATATTCTATCAAATAGGCCATGTTCAAATTTGGAGGAATAGATTTGTGCGGTGTAGTAAAAAAAGGTTTTACAATTTAACAAACCATTTTTGTTAACATATTATGGAACACAAAATAATAAAAGGTAAGTAAACTAACTAAATATTTATGCATTTCTAACAAAATTATGATTCTAAAATATTAAATGATTGTTAAAAACAATTAAAAACATAAATATCGAGAGTAATCAATGGTGACAAAAAAATGAGCACAGATAATGTTGTTAATTTAAATATTTGCAATGTTAACAATAGCTCCAATGTGGAGTACTCTCGTTAAAACAAGATAGCTATGAATATCAGAAAGAAATAATATTTTCACTGCAGCGTCCACTAAACTCAGAACATTTTACTCTCGGTATCATGCTAACTTCAAGCAATTATCACTGTATAACATTCTTTAACTATTCAACTTTGCAGCCGCTGGGTTAATACCATTAGATTAAAACAAACAAAACTTAGTGTCTCACACAATAAATAAAACTTCTTCGCAATAAATAACACACAGGTTGAATATACAGCATCTGGAGTATTTTTTAAAAGCAAACACTATTTTGATAGTGCCGGACTTACTGGTACAAGTTCTCAGTATATGACAACATTAATTAATTTTTTACTACACTAATCAGACTAATATCCAAACTCTGAGATTCGGCCAGTTGAAAGGTGATGTCTTCTTCACATCAAACAAAACGACTCTCTTCCTGCTGCATTAGGCTTTTGATGATTGACTAATTGGGTGCTTTTAGTTCAGATCAGAATCTATGCTAACTACTTTTGGTTAGTAAAACAGAAATCAGGTATTTAATTGGCTAAGAAGTATTAGTTGTATACAAACTGAAAACTGAACATTTCTACTGGATTAGTCAAAACATATCCGATGGTTACAATTGTACACATTTTAGTCTAATCATCACAAGCCTCGTACATTGGTAAAACTAAAATACTACAATGAAAAAAAGAGTTAAAAAGCAGATGAAAATAAAACTACGCGTACAAGTCATGGAAAATACTAAATAAAGAACACTACTGGTGTCGAAGAAATGTGATAAGCTAAATAATACAACTAACCAAGGCTTTGGACGATCTTATAAAAACTAAACATCGAAAAATGTGCACACTCATACAACACATATACACTCGAATCGTAACAATGCTACAAAATATATATATTTTAAATACAAAATACATTACAAACCGGCAAGCCGTGTCTTAGGACCGATACAAAAATTGGAAAAAGCGATCGATTTCCATCATATAAAAATCCATCGAATCGTGGACCATTCTAGTTTATCACATCACAACCTGTCTGGCCGTCCATCCACTGTCGAGACTAGCAGCACAATACTCTCGGAAAATTAAAAATCTTACTTTAAAAAAATTTGAGCCGCCGTTCAAAACAAAATACATCGTTGTACGAAGGGAGCTCGTGTCCGTTTCACAGCTCACTTAATAAATAAATCACACTGAAATACGCTTCAAGCAATAAAAAACTAAACTAAACTGTTCTGGCTTTGGTAACGGATTAGCAGTTGTTGTTGGACCGCGGAAGAGGTCTGACAAGGTAGAGTTTCTCGCCTTGCTTGTTGGTGTAGATGGGCGCTCGCTGGTAATGGTCCACGAGCTGGTCCAGAGTGTGGAACTTGCGCTGGCCGATGCAGTAGAGCGCACCTTCCACGTGCACTCGGAAGTGTTTGTTGCGGCCGGGCGCTTTGAGCGACACAGAGTAATCACCCATCTACCAACATCAGTCACATCATATAGTAATAGTACGCTGGGAAAATAATCAGACATGAAAATAGGAACAGAAGTTTATGAAAGTAGGTATGAAGAGAACATGAGTACCAAATCTAAATGTACCCATTGTCTAGATATTTTTGGCCCAAGAAGAGTACATCATTCTACAGTACCATAAAGTTATAACAAAGGCTGGTTTACCTAGCTGCGAAATTCAGTTGCTCGTGCAAAAAATATGTGATACTTTTCTTTAGTTTAGGCTGCAGTAGTGAGTTGTAATGGTTTTATGTTGTAAGTAGACCACTTTAATTGGTTTACTGATTTTATTTAAGTTGTAGGTTCTGGAGGATAAAAGCATAGGCCTACCTTCCTCTAATACAAGACCACGGTTAGACCAACGAGCACATAATAAAATAGAGAGGACACAGCGTTTAACCAAATGCACTGAAAGTATGGCCAAAACCGCCATCTTGGTCCGTCCTACAGCCTGAATCCAAGGCCCGTGAGCACAGTTCGCATTAAAAACCCCGCAACAAAAACACGATTATAAACAACATTAATAGTTGACAAAAAATTCTGAATTTTTGCACACTTGTAGATATGATACTGAGGAAAACGATGGTGTTAATATAAAATTATTAGTTATGATAGTAATTGAGTTATAAATATGTTTAATACTTATGTAGTTCCTGCATTGCCACACACCAACGTCACAGCCTTGTATTTGAGGAGGCTATGAAAATAATCAATAAATTCAACTTTAAACTTGAAAATTGATTTAGTTCAAACTTTTATCCTTGTCATTTAGTAGTGCAGTACAAACATTTTTTTTACAAAGGATAAACAACTAAAACTAGAACTAATTGTAGGTAATGAATTTTTGCAGAACGACGCTCATTTGGATAAAAAAAAAACTTCTTACATTTAAACAGACTCCGCAGTGAAATATCAAAATTCTAGGAAAATACTCTTGCCGAAAAACTTAAAACACTGTAAAACGGACACTCACAATCCCGCAGCTTTACTCACTACAGCAGTTTGTACTCACGTTGGTCTCGCTGTCCCGTATGAGGAAATCGCCGTCGTGGCCTTGTTGGTTGAGCAGGGTATCGCACTGAGCCCGAGTGATGACTCCGTAGTACCAAGGTTTGCCCACCAGGTGCGGTCTGTCAGGTAAGTTATCTCCTCCCCCACCACCCCCTCCACTGCCGCCCGTTCCAACACGCTCACGTAGCGGCTGCGTCAGGTATTCACTCAACTCCTGCAATCAGACAACATATTTGGTGATGGACTCATAAGATGGTTAGGTTGATAGTATTGCTCTTGTGAATAATGATTGGGGAATGTTTAACATCCAGTCTTCCATCCAAGGTTTAGAAAGATACATGATGAGAAGAGGAAAGAATGATAGGATAGGACAAGTAAAAATGGAAAGAATGAGTAATGAAAGTCTATTGTATATTTTGAGGTTAGGTATTCTTGGCCAGAATAAGTATAGGAAACCTAATCTGGCTTAGACCCCTTTATGACGAATGCTAGTTAATGTATACATTAGTACAAAAACATTTAAAAAAGAACTACTGACCTGTAGGTAGTTCCTGGGCACCAGACCGATCTGTCCGTGACTGTTCCTTGCCTTGTACCACTCAGGGTCCGACGGTGGCCGGTCCAGTATCTCCAGCCGATCACCCTTCTCAAAGCTCAGCTCCTGGTCGTTGGTGGACGTAAAGCTGTAGAGGGCCACCACAATGTCCAGCACATTCTCAGCCATGGCGTACGTGTGTAATGTGTCGTCCGCATCTGTCTCCTCCTGCGTGTAGTTGCTAGGAAACCAACCAGCTTGCGACCCGCTCTGACCTCGCCACCACCTGACAAAATGTCACTTCAAACACTTGTTTTTACAGGTTTATTCACTGCTTTTACGATTCAATTCTTGTCTTATTGACTTTTGAATACGGTAATGAAGTAGACATGTTATTATATATATGGACTATAGTTAAAAGATCCACTCATAGACTACAGTATACCTCCAATTATCCAAACCTTAACTATCTGAATCACCACTTATCCAAATTGCTTACACAAAGAATTTTTAAAATATATAAAACAACAGTGATAAGAATATTTAAAAAAAGGCAGAGGCTGTGATAAAAAAAAACATTGCCTTTTTTCACGATCGCCGCAAAATATATAACATCTTCTGTGGTCTTACAGAAATAATCTTCATCTCCCCTGGCCATGCGAAATTATACTTCCTCCATCGGGACGAAAGCGTGAATTTTTCGACCGTGAAATCTTTGCAGAGGCGTTCTGCGATCGCAATAGAAAAAGACTCAGTCTATTTTCTGTAAAATACCTTGAATTTTGATAAAAATTCAATTAGTTTAATTTTTGATTATCCAAATGAGTTATCGTGCCAATTGATTTGCATAATTGGAGATCTGCTGTACTAAGAAGAGAATAATCTTCGCAAAAGGGGTAGAAGCTGGCTACAATAGTGGTGGAAAAATGATCACTAGGTTGGTCTTAATTTATTGACAGCACTTGTACTGTGCCTACAGTTAACATTGAATGTGATGTCTACTTCTGCCAATAGTCAAAGATGGTGGTCTTTGGACGACAAAGTCACGACAGCATCATCTGTACCAGACATTCAATGGATGCAGTTTCAATTAATACTGAAATTTCAACCTTTAACTTTGGACTGGAAGTAAAATCGCCTATGAACATGACACTATGAAAGGATAATGGATAGTGATCAGTCCAGTTTTGGTAAGGTCAGCCAACGACCATGATTCTAGAATATGTGACTATGGAAGCAATTCCATGAATGTCCTTAGTTTATTGGGGTAAATTACATTATCTATCACTCAAATTAATTTTAAAAGGCAAAATACTTTACCAATCACAACACAGTGGCTATTCAAGGACACTTGCTGAGAGTTTGAAAAATCTTCAAATAACAAGGAAATCGTCCCTTTTTATATTGAAATAAATTGAATCTTTGGCATTTTAGTTTTTAGTTTACTAATTTAAAGTATCAGTGGACAGTTATTTTTTTCACAGGATCTAGATATGTTTAAAATCTTCTTATAAAATCGAGATCGAACATGAAATATTTCTACAATATGGCCTACTTGCCCTTCTTCAAGGTAAGCTAGCTGCTGTCCTCCTTATTATACAATTCACAAACTTGTAAGTTGTAGACAATGAAATACGATATATAGCCTAGGCCTACAATTACATTATTTCCTAGATACTGATGAACTACTGAATCGCTGTGTTTATTAATGTCCCTCACCCATCATTGCTCTTCTCCAGTATGAGTATTCTCGTCCCCTTGATGAGGCTAAGTTCGTCGGGTTGTTGGGCCTGATAGTTATATTTGACAACAGCTGTTCCGATGGCCTCTGACGGATCAGCTGGGAGTCGCCGCGCTGTCGTTGGACTCTCCATCGCGCGGTGAGGTGAACTGCTTGAGGGCAGCGTCTTACTGCCCCCTCCCCCTTTCTTTACTTTTTTCTTGATGCTAAAAGCGAATTATTTATTTATTGCCAGACTTTTGGTTGCAACATAATATTTAACCTTAAGATGTGGATTGTTTAGAACTACAAAAAGATTGTCTAAGGAAGTCAAATAAATAACTTGATGGGCATGCGCAAAAAAAATCTTCCTCAACCATTTTCACTTTTGTTATTGTGTACATTGCACAGCAATTTCAACAATTAACTAACATAGCAAAACATTTACAATTTAATAGCTTAATTAGGTCAAAAATGTAATCATAAAATAATTATAATTTACATGAAACTGACTTATTGTCTGACAGTATTTACCTGTCAAACAAGGATGGTTTTTCCTTCTTGACGTAGTTACTCGGCACATAGCCAGCTTGGTTACGAGCGTTCTGTACTCGCCACCAGTGCTTGGAGTCGTCCAGCAGCAAATAGCGCTCGTTTTTGCGCAAATCCAGCTCCTGTGCGCCTTGCGCGGCGTAATCGTACTTAGCCACCACATAGCACACGTCATCCTGACCTGCCTTGCCTGAAACAATTATTTGTACTGGTTCTAAAATCTTTAAATTTTTTAAAATTAGGTTTAAAAGTGTAATCAGCATTAAAAAATCCTTTTCAAGGTTGGACTAGGCTGGTTAGCGAATTCAACCAAATAAATTTTGTGTTTGATGTTCCTAGGTTAAACTAAAAATAACAATTACATACGTGGGGTCTAAATTTACATGGGGTTTGTCAAAACATTGACTATTGAAAACTGAAGTAGACTTTCCATTTATATGGGCTAGCGATCACCAATTTTGTTTATTAAAACAGAATATAGTTGAGTGAGCCAGTCACAGAATGTGCTTTTGTCTAAAATTCTATAGGCCTATTCTGTCTTTTTTTCTTTTTAGCGAATTTCCCTATAGGGAAGTAGCTATTACCGTAGGTCTCATGGTAAGACCTAAGCCCGGGACCGATTTACTTTTTCATTTTGATGTCCCCAGAGGCCAAAAACACCATTCGTTCAAATTTTTATATATCTATATATAGATATATATATATATATATATATATATATATATGTGTCCATCCGCACGATAACTTGAGTAATTTTTGTCCGATTTTGATAAAACTTGGTTTAAAGGTGTAAGGCGGGATAAACTTGAATGAGTTCGCGAACCAGCATGATCGGACTATGGGAACGGGGGTTTATGGGGGGTTTTATGGGGTAAAAATAGGTTTTTCCCATTTTTGGCCCTAAAAACACAAAATTTCACAATTTCTTTTCAAACCATTTTGTAGAGCTTAAAAAAACAAATAATTTAGTATATTGAAGCGTTATTATGCGCCTAATTGTTACGGAGAAAATTCAAAAAAATTGTAATTTTAAAATTTCCATGTTATTCTTATGGAGAACAAGTAAACTGTTGTAGTTTGCTTGTTTATGAACATATTTTGATCAAATTTGGAATATACATTAATTTCTTACTAAACCACAGTACCTTTTAATATTTTACATTAAAAAAAACTTTTTTACCCTCCCTGTTGCAGCAAACCTAAGTACTCATTAAACTAATTCTGTTTAAATAGGGAATAAATGTGATATTTTTAAGGAGACATTTTAGTTTAAATCCAATCAGGCAGATGGAAATTCGCTAAGTCTGCAGGTTTGCTGCGGCGGGGGTATTTTTCTTTTTTTTTGTAAACACAGTTTATGGGTCAAACACTTGCTACAGATCACAATAAGTCATTGCATAAGTTTGACTTGTTTTCAACTAAAATTAGTAATATCAGCACAATTTGTCGGTGGCTCCCATCATTTAAAAGGATGTTAAAAAAAGTGACATCTGTTTACAGTATGAGAGCATATCAATATATAGAATATTACAGCCTGTAGGCCTAGGCTAATCAGTTTTCAATATACAATGTTTATTGGCTTGTTGGAATCCATAAGAGCCAAGTAGTTTTATTTATGAACACTACAGTAACAGTGGTTTCCCTAGAGAGAGTTTTATCTCAAAACTGTTTCTTGATCAAACAAACTACCACAACTATAGATTCCATAAGGGAAAACTTTCATGCTGAAAACAAATAAAAAAACTCTTACACAACTAAAACAAGTAACACAACTACCTATAGCCTTGACCAACGTACTATGTGATCGCATGGCGGCCATGTGGTGGGGTGGGGGCCGCACTCCGTTGCTCTTGATGAGGTGTCTATCCGCAGTCACTGATCGTGAGTCCAACATGCTCATGTCGTCTGTTACACCATAACCATCTCAACCACTACCATTCCGTGACACTACAACAAACAGTGCAACTATCAAAAATCAAAACTACAAGGGCGCTAGTGCGGGCAAGCACTAAGAGAAACGGTTTTGAAATAAACAGGAACTTTACATTCTTAAATTGTTAAAAGTTTCTTTTACATGGCTGTGTAGCTGAGTGTTGAAAGTGCTCGCCTAACAATCAAAAAGTTGCCAGTTCGATCCTGAGAAAAGTCAGTAGCTTCTTGATGTTTCAAAACTGCACCCAGCTGTCCCTGATCATTTGGCTTTAAATAAATGATCCTGGCTGATGAAACAGCTGATCATAGTTTTAGCTACACAGATCATCTCACACTATTCTACACTCATCCCATCCTTCAATTATTTGGGTTAAAATACGCACTTAGGTAGCACCCCCATCTTAATTAATTGATAATTAGATTAACAGCATAAGTGAGAACGGTGAGAGGGATGGATCACTGTAGAGACTAAAGTCCTGTATTAGAACAACAAATCATTGAATCTATCACTGCCCTTCAGGTACTGTCTGAGTTTTGCGCAACTGATATGTCAGTCCAGATTGTTCACATTAGCAATATTTTTGCTGCACATTTATTTTTAATAAGGCAATTTTAAGTAGGCCTAAATTTGCCCCCCCCCCCAAAAAAAATTTCCAAATTTGTAAATTTGGAGCCCGAAATTTGTTGGCCCAAATTTGCACCACTGTTTTAAGATCTACTTAAGTCCTGTTATTTAGGCTATTTACAGATGGGAAGTTTTGCTGTAAAAACAGCTGTTAACCCTAGAACCGCAGGGGGCTCACGCTTGCGTGGGTTCGTGGCCAGGGCGACCACGCGGACCCTAGCTCTCCCAGAGGGGAGGTAACTGCCCGGTGTCAGACCCAGCACTTCAGGTAGACCACAGTTATGGACGACTGGTAAGCGCCAGCCCCTTAGGGGGAGCCTCCAGTGACATTCCCTCCATTCAGGGTGGGGGGGGGTGTTTAGCTCTCAGTGACGCCGTTAATTCCGCCTCTCCTCATCTACCTGTAACTGTGGTTGTGACTGAGTCCTACCTGTTGTGTTCGACTGACATTTTGTGAGGCATATCCTCGACTTTGGAAGTAGCCTCGTCCTGGGAGGTGAAATACCTAGCCCCCAGAGGGGAGGTAAATGCTCCGTGTTGGTATCGGCATTTTCAAGTTGGCCACAGACATGGTCGACTGGGCATCGGGTCCCAGTGACATTCCTTTATCCAGGATGGAGGGGTGTTTAGCTCTAGGAGAGATGGAAGTACATCATAATCTCTAACCTACCTGTGTCTGTGGTTCTTTGGGCTTCGGCCTGCTTGTTGTGTGCGACCAGCATTCAGTGGGCAAATCCTCGACTTTGGAAGTAACCTTTCCTGGAGGTGAAAACGGGCAAGTACCCGCAGCTCACGGGGACACTCAAGGGCAACGTAACTTTCCGCAGTGTGAGGGCAACGGTTTGTAGGTACTTATGCAAACCTATCCCTGTCTCTGAGCACGGACGGTATGGTTATCTTGAGTGTGGGGGGTTCTTCCCGGAACCTCAATTGAGTCAAGGGTGTCGCCACCTCTGGTGGATAGGTTCATCCGGGTGGGTCCCACTTCTATACCTGCCTCCTTTTGGGAAACCCTGATGGCCTGGCAGTGATGTTGGGTCTGACGGGCAAACGAAGTAGATCGGGTGCTGGGTCCGAGCCCGCCAGGGGTATCTGGGGATCTATCGCTCTGGATATCTCTGGTTCCCAGCAATGGGTCAGGCCTCGATCGGGCAGCGGTGTAAATGGGAGGTTGGGGTTCCCCCCGTCAGCGTGCTGATGGTCCCCTTCCTCCTGGCTATTGATGGCGGGTTCTGCCTGTCAGGGATGAGATAGGTCCCGAGTGTTGCTTGCACTAAATGCGTCGGGGCGCTCTACTATGGACCTCTAGGTTCCGACCTAGTGGAACCCAGGTGGAGTGACGCTTAAACAAGCAGCCGGAATCCCTGGTTAGGATTGAGGGGCAACCCTCTTTCCGAAGGGTCTGCTTCGGCAGCCGGCGAGCCTGATGACCTTAAGTCATCCGCCCATGATGTGCTAAAGGTTGATGCGTAAGCTTCGGCCTACATCATGGGGCCCGGGTATGTCCTGAAGGATAGGTACCGGGTAAGCAGTCAGGGGGCTTCGGCTCTCATGACAACAAATGTAAATAATGTAATAATAATAAATAATAATGTTAACCCTAGCAGTGGCCAACTCGTTTGCCGTGACGCCTAAAATGGCCACCAGCGTAATACGCTAGTATGGGCCAAAAATTTTTTAAGGGTGAAAAACCACTTATAATCAACTCTGATATGAACAATATATATACCATTCGAAACATCACATTCTGAACTTTCATTTTATTATATAAACAAACCCTGTAGCAGGTATATAACAATGTCACGACGATTAGAAATCAAATGAATTTTTGGCGCGGCACCACTTTTGCAACTGACACTTGGGAACTGTCAAAACACAACATGTTTGGCATTACCCTGCTCGGGTAATTTTTGTCTTGGGATGTTGCGCGTGGTACCACTGGATAGCCATTGATTTTATCTTCATTGGGGTATTGGTATTTAGAACGAAATATTGATTGCACAACAGGTACGATTTTATGTTAACAGCTGTTTTCGAAATTTATAACAAATGGCCAACCAGCGTAATACGCTAAGTATGGAAGATACGAAATACACACAGTGCAAGTTATTATTACTAGTCATATAATATGTCATTTTGAAGAGGAAGAAATGTAGCTTGTGATAGTGGCAGCCCTCCGCTCAGGGTTATTTCCGTTTTCTCTCTCTAAGACGACGGAAGTGATACACAAAGTGTCTTGTATTCGCCATTGCGTGTTGTTGCCGGTGAGTTTTCACCCTCGTTTTATCCGTGATTGATTACTAAATTCGTTATTATTTCGTATTGTCAGAGAAATGTGTGTGTGTGTGTGTGTGTATAACAGTAATCTTCATGCATTTTATATGCATGAATATTTACTGAATAGTGTGAAATTGTGTTTATACAAGTTTGCATTTTTTTGCAGTTGTATATTGCGGTTTTCCGTTTATTTATATTATTATGCCCTTAGCACGTAAAAACAAAAATTCTTACCCAACATGTTATTACTTTTTTATGTAGGTAATTGAATACACTACAAGGTGTTTATGTTGGTTTGAAGTAAAAACATTTGGTACAAAAGTTTTATACTAAATACTATGAACTTTTTTTCACAAAATCGCTAAAATTCAAAAACATCATTTTGTTTATAAATAAAAAATTATTTTAACCATAGACTTAATGACTTTTTTGTATTCCTTACTTTATTAGCTTTACAAACATGTATATATCATTATTAGTTTACACATATATTATATATCTTTTTACAACACAAACTAACACTGTTTGCAGGGTGTCTAGTTTATTTCCATCATAAAATTCAAGACTAATTCCAGACTTTTCAAGACTAATTCCAGATTTTTCAAGACTAGTTTTTTCAACAATTAGTGGTTGTTGATACCAAAATGTATCGATTCTCGATTCTTGATACCGATACCAATTTTTATTGCTTAACAAAATTTTCTGAATAATACTACACCAACCACTGTCTTTGTCATAAAGTAGTATTATGATAATGTGGTGTTTTAAGGTAAAGAAATAATGCAGCAATAAAAAATTCTAACTAGCAAATATGTTTTTTTTTTTATCATGAAATCTTCCGCGTACCGTACGTTTAGACATGCGGTTACAGAAACGTGATCGTCGTCGTCCGCTATCACGGCAAAATCATGAACATTTCCCGCGGCCTTGTAGCCATCAATGACATTATCGTCGTCTCCCGCGGTCTCAGAAACGTCATCGTCATCGTCCGCGATCGCGGCAAAATCATGAACATTTCCCGCGGCTGTTTGGACATCACCGTCATCTCCCGCGGTCACGGAAACGTTATCGTTGACGTCCGCAATCACGGCAAAATCATGAACATTTCCCGCGGCCGTGTAGACATCATCGTCGTCTCCCGCGGTCACGGAAACGTCATCGTCATCTCCCGCGATCGCGACAAAGTCATAAACATTTCCCGCGGCCGAGCAGATATCATCGTCGTCTCCCGCGGTCACGTAAACGTCATCGTCATCTCCCGCGGTCACGGAAACGTTATCGTTGATGTCCGCAATCACGGCAAAATCATGAACATTTCCCGCGGCCGTGTAGACATCATCGTCGTCTCCCGCGGTCACGGAAACGTCATCGTCATCTCCCGCGATCGCGACAAAGTCATGAACATTTCCCGCGGCCGAGCAGATATCACCGTCATCTCCCGCGGTCACGTAAACGTCATCGTCATCTCCCGCGGTCACGGAAACGTTATCGTTGATGTCCGCAATCACGGCAAAATCATGAACATTTCCCGCGGCCGTGTAGACATCATCGTCGTCTCCCGCGGTCACGGAAACGTCATCGTCATCTCCCGCGATCGCGACAAAGTCATGAACATTTCCCGCGGCCGAGCAGATATCATCGTCGTCTCCCGCGGTCACGGAAACGTCATCGTCGTCTCCCGCGGTCACGGAAATGTCATCGTCGTCTTCCGCGGTCACGTAAACGTCATCGTCATCTCCCGCGGTCACGGAAACGTCATCGTCGTCGTCCGCGATCGCGGCAAAATCGTGAAAATTTCCCGCGGCTGTTTAGACATCACCGTCATCTCCCGCGGTCACGGAAACGTTATCGTCGTCGTCCGCGATCACGGCAAAATCATGAACATTTCCCGCGGCCGTGTAGACATCATCGTCGTCTCCCGCGGTCACGGAAACGTCATCGTCATCTCCCGCGGTCACGGAAACGTCATCGTATAATTTTTTTTAGATAAGTCACAAAAAGTGGCTAGCATGATCTATTTTTAAATCTCGCCGACTAAATGTATGCACAGTAAATAGCTAAATATAAGCTATAAGTTTACAATAAATTAATACCCAATAGAGAGCCTGACAAAACTTAATTAGGTAATTAATTTGTTAGGCTATCTCAAATGATGAATTTAAAACTCTCATAATAAATACCCCTACCAAAAAGTGGGTAGGCTTTTTATTATTTTTCATAGGCTACTTAAACAATTGTTAAGGTTTCTTCAGGGCCATAACGTTTTATATCAGATGACATAACTTACATTTTTAGCGAATTTCCCTATAGGGAAGTAGCTATTACCGTAGGTGGCACGGTAAGACCTAGACCTGGGACCGATTTATTTTTTCATTTTGATGTCCCCAGAGGCCAAAAACACCATTCGTTCAAATTTTTATATATGTATATATATATATATATATATAGATTTATATATATATATATATTTTGTTATTGTATACATCAATGAGGGCTACTTTAAATGTTACTAAGCAAATCAAAATACCACAGTACCCTAAAATTTTAGGTTACTGTGGTATTTTGATTTGCTTAGTAATATATATATATATATATATATATATATATATATATATATATATACGTCCGTGAACGCGATAACTTGAGTAATTTTGGTCCGATTTTGATGAAATTTGGTTTAAAGGTGTAAAGCGAGATAAACTTGAATGAGTTCGCGAACCAGCATGATCGGACCATGGGAACGGGGCTTTAGGGGGGGTTTTATGGGGTAAAAATTGGTTTTTCTCACTTTTGACCCTCAAAACACAAAATTTCCCAATTTCTTTTTAGACCTTTTTAAAGACCTTAAAAAAACAAATAATTTAGTATATAAAAGTATTTGTGTTCGATTATTAGTAAAAAATTGTAAATTTAAAATTCCCATGTTATTCTTATGGAGAATATTGTCAAATGTTGTAATTTGCTTGTTTATGGATATATTTTGATCAAACTTGGCAAATTTATTTATTTTGTACTAAGCTATCAATATTTTACTCAAAAACACACTTTAATAGGTTCCTTGTAGCAGCAAACCTAGGTACTCGTCAAACCTAATGTTATTAAAATATATTTAATTGAAAATCAATTCAGACAAATGGAAATTCGCTTAGTCGGCAGGTTTGCTGCAGCGGGGGTATTGTTATAAATAAGTCTGCTGATTTTTTTAAAAGTAGGCCTAAGGTCAAGTGGGGTAAGTGTTCGTACCAAATCACATAATACAACATTGACCACAGATTAAAAAATACCTGTAGGTGCTATACAAATCAAATTGACTGAGCTCATACTTTAGAATGTGTTGTGTATGTTTTTTTTATTTTGTTAAAAATATTACCAAAAGTTAGGCCTATAGTTTAGTGCATGTGCCGGGAATTGGAACCCTTCCCCCCCACCGAGGTTGAAGACGCTAACCACTAGGCTAGCAACACACCTAATGATTAACACAACACCCCTATTATTAAGTTAAACCCAAAGTTATAACAACCCAGATTAAATTTTTAAATTTGATCATTTCAGGCTCCCAATAACTTAATCTAATTAAGAACAAGGCTTTTATAATTCTGTTACTGTATTTAAGTCCCCAAAACACACAATGAGTGATGCTCGTTACACAAAGTTGCGTGGCGGGTTGCGTCGCTATCTGCGTTTTAGTTCCCAACAACAGACACCTAAAGGATATAATTACCTTACAAAAATACTAGAGTCAGGAATCAGGGATTAAATTACTTGAAAATCTTTTTCAATTGGTGATAATCAAATCCATACAATTAATGTAAGAAAATATTTAAACCTATAAAAGTACTATATTTGTTATTAAAAATTGACAATACAGTGCATATTGAATGTACACTGACACAATATTCACGTAAATAACTCGTATCACTCATCAAACTAAGCTGACAGCTGAGCTGAGACTGCCGGAAGAGAAAGGAGTGATTGGGATAGGGGTTGGTGGTGGGTGGGGGAGGGGCGACATGACAACACGTGCATATTTAAGTCATTGTCTCTACCATGAGTCATGGTCAGAGTCCCAACCAAGGTCAGCTGTCGGCCGGTCGGGTGAAATAAGACATTGCAATATTGATATTAAGATAATTAAGTTGGGACAGGGCCTTCAGCTCCATAGTGGGGTTAATATTAGGCTATTATACTAAACTAAAAGTAGTAAGTTATACAAGCAAATCCAGCTACTCCATTTACATATATTTAATTTGGGAAAACGTTGCGAATATAAATATATAAAGTGATTGGTGTCAAATAATATGTATTTGTTCAGTAAATACATACAACGTAATATTCCAAATTCAGCTACATAATTTCCAAAATGCGTTGTTATGCTAACCTATTTTTTCCAATTTTGTTGTATTACTTTTATCGTGGCACTCGCAGTGCTCCCAGCGGCGCCCCACCCACGCAACGGCCCTGTTCATACTCAACAAGTCTTAGTCTTCCCATATTCATATTTTATGCAAACATAACTTATCAATTGATTACGGTAACCTAATGGTTGTACTTATTCATTGACATTGAAATAGATTTTGCTAGCCCTGATATTAAAAAGGGAACAATAAGTTTAAGATTTTCACTTAGGCCTAGCTGTTTTATACAACAGACCTGATAACTTTTTAGGTTAGTTTCTGCTGGAAAAATATGGCGTAGCCTATGCCTATTAAGGACCTGGACCTGATGATTTGTATAGTATTTTTAAGGCTTAGGCAACCGTGGTAGCCTTCTACGCTAAAGCTGAATTAGAAAACACATTCAAAATGAGTTATCTTGCGTTCTCTAAGTTAGGCCTAATTGAATTTGTGATATTTAATGTGGCCATGGGAACCTATATAGATTTATATATCACCAGAAACTAGATTTATAGCTGAAAATAATGGTGCTAAAATTTCTCCGCGCTCATAAATATTAACGGAACTACGGCCATTTAAAGTTTTTTTTTACTTTTGTAAATTGACTATACCTACCCTAAGTTAGGCCTAACCTATTTGTTAGCCTACAATATTTCCTCACCAGAAACTTTATATCTTACGTTTAATTCTGAGTGATTAAGTTTAAAGTACCGGTACTCAACTATTAGTGTATTAGACTCACTTTTAACATGGAAATAATGGTACAAAAATGTTTGGAGGTCTCGAATATTAACTAAGACAGTTTAAAGTTTTGATTTATTATATTTAGGCTAATGTACCTTCTTGTCTGCCTGAGGTCAACTAAAACTGAAATAAAATGAAAATACGAATAACTGAAGAGAAGAGAAGAGGATAAAGTAAGTTAATGCACAGGCATTCAGAGTAGGAGGTTTTACAGACATTATCTAAAACACAACTGAGCACTGAATTTTAGGCATGTGTGGAAAGCAAGTGGGACTTAATGCTGATTCGTGACTGTGTTAAGTCCTTTGAAGGTAGAGATTAGGTAAGTTAAAGTGTAGGTTTATAGTGAACAGAGTTGATAATTTATATTCACACAGGCTGTTTTTGTGCAATTGAAATACCTAGTGGCTTAAACACAACAAAATAACAATTTCAAAAATGCTTGAAAAAGATGCTTTTGTGCAAGTATTTGAAATTGTTATTTTGTTGTGTTTAAGCCACTAAGTTAATTTTGATACCACAAAAACAGCCAGTGTGAATATAAATTATCAACTGTTCACTATAACATCCTCTACCATAAATTTAACAAACCTATAGGCTAAGTAGTCTGGCTTAGTTTTAGACCTATCAAGAAGTATACAAGTGTATATGGTCATTCGTTTTATCTTACATACATATATTCGTAAATAATGAAATAAAACATAGAATAACAATGAAATTAGATTGTGGGTCCAATTTTATCAGGTTGAGGTGATTATTGTTCTCAGACAGTGTAAGTGTGGTAAACATATAACCATACAGCATTCTAACGTAATATTCCAAAAATTACAAAGCAATTTATAACAAAAACGCCCAATGAATTTATCAATAACTATTTTGTTGTATATATGGCCAAGTCTAAATGGGTTACCCTGAACCACCCAAACAGCATATTGGCAGAAGCCAGGCCATCTTTAAGAAACTAAGGCGAGTCTTGTTACTCAAGCCAAACGGTTCAAAAGTTTCTCACAGCTAAAACATTCAATATTTTAAAATAACTAATCTTCTAAACAAATACGTCGTAACTCACCAATTTTCAGACTGGACATATTATAACTGCAGGCATAGATTACAAAATAGGCCCTTTTGACAAACTACACACCCTCACCGGGAACCATTATCAATTAACATAGAGGAATTCCCTCATATCAAAGAGGTAGGAAAGTAAAAAGAGGTTAGATGCTTATTTTATAGTTGCTAATGTATAAAAAATGTCAATTAATAAATAATTTTCTTTGAAAAAAAACACTGTTGAACTTAGTGCGTTTGATTTTTTTGCTCTTTATGCTACAAGAAAACTTCTCTTCTTATTAATTTTAATTATTTGTGGAGGCTGCTTTAATGAGCAGTGTTTGAGGTCCGGTAACGCTTGATGGATGGATTAGTAGCCATCATGGCAACCCGTAAGACTAATGTTAAACATTAATAATTTTATGTCAGTCAAAAAGTGTACAGGTATTATCAAATTGAAATTTGTTTGTTTAGTAACATCAAAAATATTTGTCGAAATGCCCCTGGTAAGTTTGGATTCAATATGTTCAGCCGTTATTGAGTTAATTGATTACATAGTTTGCATAAGGTCCGATCTCAAAGAGCTTCGCTCAATTAGGTACCTATATGAAAAGTTCCCTTTAGAAAGCAATTACGACCTTAAAGGGCAATTTATGAAATAATGGAGTTTTGCGCAAGGTCTCTCATCATGACGAACATTTTAAGTATATGGTTTATGGGGGTGTGACTTTTGGTTTTCTCAAAAGTTCATGGGTACTTTTGGCTTTATATGCAGGGTTAGTAAAAAGTCTGGAGACCCCCTGTTAATTTTTTAACGGTCCATACTAGAAAAACCAAACTCGGCACATCTTTATGGCATGTTATGAAGTACTTTTTGGCCATAACCGCTACTTGATGTGATCCCCAAAATGGGGGATTTTAGGGGAAACTCAAAATTTTCAAATAGTAATCCCCATCAAGTGACCCCTCATTTTGAAGGTCACGATAAAATAAAACTAGCAACGCAAACTAGAGGTCTATATCTCATTCCAGTAAAAATTGCAGCTGATTGAAATCTTTAGATATCAGAATTAACTTGCAATTTTATATTCAATATTCTGTCATATTTTACTGTGTGATTATAGAGACCTCTAGTTTGCGTTGTTAGTTTTCTTTTAACAAGACCTTCAAAATGAGGGGTCACGCAATGGGGCTTAACTTTTAAACTTTTTGAGTTTTCCCCAAAATCCCCCATTTTGGGTTTGGGAACCAAGTAGCAATTAGGCTCAAAAAGTACTTCATAACATTCCATAAAGGTGTGTAGAGTGTAGTTTTCTTTCCTAGTGTGAGCCGTTACAAAATTTGCAGGGAGTCTCCCCAGACTTGGTAAGCTGTAAGTTAAATAACTTCTGAGAATTTCAATTGACTGCCATTTTTTACTGGATTGAGATAGAGACCTCCAGTTTGCGTTGTTGATTTTCTTTTACCAGGACCTTAAAAATGAGGGGTCACTCAATGGGTCTTACTATTCGAAAATTTTGAGTTTCCCTCAAAATCCCCCATTTTGGGGATGTACACCAAGTGGCGGTTATGCCCAAAAAGTACTTCATAACATGCCATAAAGATGTACCGAGTTTAGTTTTTCTAGTATGGACCGTTAAAAATTAACAGGGGGTCTCCAGAATTTTTACTAACCCTGTATAGATACTGTAATATGTGTGTCCGTTAGCACGATAACTCGAGCAAAAATGATCCGAGCAAATTTGGTATAAACGTGTAAACCTACATTTATTCGAACGAGTTCGCGAATCAGCATGATCGGAATATAGAAACAGGGGTTTATGGGGGGGGGGGGTTTATGGGGTAAAATTTTGTTTACCATTTTTGAACAAAAAAACATAAAAGTAAGCAATAATTTCTTTCCAAATAATTTTTAGAGCTTGAAAACAAATAATTTAGTATATTGATGTATTATAATAAGCCTCATAACTCATAACTCATTTTTTGAACCAAAATAACTAATAGAAAATTTGCATTGGTCATGTCAATTAATAGCTTAGAACTAAAATAAAATAAACAATAAACAATGGTGATTCAATAAAACTATACCAATTATACTTCTTAAAAAAGCTAACTAACTAAACCCATCAGCGACACAATCTCGAACACTGTAACCCTTGGCTAAGAGAATTTTTTTTATTTGCTTTTTAAAGCTATTCAAGTCCGACTCCAGCTGAAGGGAGGAAGGGATAGGAGATTAAAAAGTTTAATGCCATTGTAATGAAAGTGTATTGTAAATTAAAAATTCTTATGTTATTCTTATGGAAAATAAGTAAATGGTTGTAGTTTGCTTAATTATGAACATATTTTGATGAAATTTGGAAAATGTATTTATTTTATACTTAACTATTAACATTTTACAAAAACACTTTTTACCCTCCCTGTTGCAGCAAACCTAAATACTCGTTTAACTAATGCTATTTAAATAGGGAATAAATGTGACATTTTTAAGGAGACATTTTAGTGTAAATCCAATCAGACAAATGGATAAATTCGCTTAGTCTGCGTTTATGTACAGTACTAGGAGCGGGAGCGGGCGATAGCGGTCACGCTCCCGCTGTAAAAATTCTGCCAAATTGTGCAAGCGATAGCGGTAGCGGTCGGTCAACGGCGAACCGGAGCCTTTAGTAGTTTGCAGGTTTGCTGCGGCGGGGGTATTTGTGGTTAATGTTAGCTTTATTACATTTAGAACATTAGTAAAAAGGAGTGATTGCTTATGTAGTAACTTGTGACATAGCATTAGCCTTCAGTTGAAATGGTACAAATTGTTTTTTGTACTAAGAAATTGTATATTTCATCACTCAGTGGCTCTTTTTGACCGTGAGGTAAACTATATTTTTTGTCGTATTGCGTAATTAATTAACGAACTAAGCTAGAAACGAAATAATTTGTATGTAAAGATAACATCTCAAAACGACTCCCAGCTGGTTTTCAATTCTGCTAATGCAAATAAGCAATTGTTATAAGTAGGCCTATAGGCTATGCAGCGGCTAATTGTAAGTGTGCTATAAGCGGCTGCAAATAAAGTAAGTGATTCAGTCATTTCGTATGTTACGATTGTGTTACAAATACATTAATACCATAGATAAAACCTTTGACTATTAGCTTTGACTATTCAATTGTCAATGCTATTAGTCAATTATAAAACATACTTCACCATCGATATGGCGAGCGATCAACAACAATAGTCCTTACCTAATAAATCAATCGATAAATAATTTCGATCGATACGATTGCTACAATAGAAATTTACAACTGTTTATAACTGCTGATTTTTAGTCTCTATGGACTAAAATGGTTTTTTACTCCCTAGAGTAAAATGGCTACTTTATATCCCCAACGCATGCATTAAAAACGGCGGTTTTTTTCTGCAGTATGACAAAAATTTTGTTTTTAATCGCTTAAGTGATGAGGTATTCGAGTAACATTTTTTATAGGAAAATACACATGGTAACTTAGTGGTGCCGTAAATAGCATGTTGAATTTGCCATAATTAGCCTAATAGCAAAATAAGCTTTTTTATTACATGAGAAATTCGGAAAAAGAAATAAAACAATCTTATTGTAAATAAAATTAGCACAGTTGCAAGTATAAAACATAATGTATGTATCCGAACAAAAAACATAAAATTAATCTAAACATATTACAAGAAATTGTTTTATGAAAAGTCATCACGACATACTTTCTAGTACAGTTCAGTATTCAATGAATCACAATAATCGCTCAAATTTGCAAATTATTTTTGATGATTCACGATTGACCTGATCACATTTGACGTACGATAGTCTACACACGACACGTCATTGGTTGAGCAAACGCAGGCAGACCAAAGATCTCTTTGTTATAATGACTCATAACGGTTGTAAGTAAATCAGCTGTTTAGTGTTTAGCGTTGGACGTGTTGTGTTTCCACGCTTCGCCGCTCGCGATCCCAAGCGCTGGTGTACGAGAGGGGGTGAATAACATCATACAGTGTTCCGGACGATGCCGTCTGTCATTTTATTTCTCTCTCAGTTCGATTCGATTCACCCATTCGATCTAGTCTGCGTCTCAGTACGGGGTAGTTGCTACTCGACTGTCTATTATTACATGGTAGTCAAGCTTGCATTGTTGTGTTAGTGTTGTGTGGTCATTGTCTCAAAATCAAATTATTGAAAGTTGAGTTGAGACTGAACTTCGGTTGAGATAGGCGTAAATTTCAGTGTCAGATAAACGAATAGAAAGGGTTGAGGTTAGGTTAGTCAGTGTTGTGATTGTGTTTCTTCTATTGATCATCGTCAATCGTCATGCATAAAATCATGCAATGGGTAAGTGTATTCAATTTGATTTTTTAAATATTTTTTTTTATTTAATTGATAGGTTTTTATTATTACTTTATTATGTTAATTTAATGACAATCTCATTGCAGCTTTGTGACTGCAGTAAATATTTTTCTTGATTTATGGAAACTTATAAAATATTAATACATTTTTTGTTTGTTTGACGTTCAATATCACGCAATCTGGTCGGATTGGTCCAGCGAACACAGAATTATTTGTCTGAAATTCGGTATGGTGAAAGCTCACATTCCCGATTGACATATAGACGCATTCTTATCTTAAAAATCTTTTCGGGCTCTGCCCCAGTGGCTCTGTAGTTCCCCATGTTAATCTTATGAGTAATATTTAAAAGGAATAAAATCATTTTGTCAGCTGTTCCAATCCAACTACACGAGTTGGTTCTACGATATTAGGATATTAGATTCTTTTTGTGTATGATATTAGATAGCATTAAAAAGTTAAAAGGTTTACCAACAGGGTGGTGCACTATTAATATTTTTTGCATTTATGACAACAGCTTATTTGAACCAACTAGGTAGCAATAAAAAGCTGTCATATACGATGAGAACTTTACTTTTTTCTATTGTTTAGGTGCAGTGGTTGAACATTATGGCTACCGGTATGGTAGATGTGCTATACTATAGCATGCCGTAAATTAAAAGGACCAAATTTTATCTAACTGTGTCCTCCCCATTGCAAGCGAAAAGTCTGAGTATAACACTACTGCAATAAGCATATGCCAACCCCGTACGAAGGACGGGTTCTCTGCTAGTAGGCCTACTGTAATAAATACAAGCATGAACAATGTAAATTATTAAAAAAAATTATTACAAATATAATAAGTACAAAGGAGAAATATATAACATACCGCATAAGAGATTTTTAACAGTTGAATGAATTAATAAAATCAAGTAGTGTAGTAGGCCCTACTCAGGTTGAAAATTCAACTTTTTACTTAAAACTTTCGCGAGCGAAGCCACGACGAGTTTGATAGTTTGCATACATTTGGGAAGTATTGAGGGCTGTAGGGTACTGTTTTGTTGCTAAAAGGACATAAGACATAAGATCAATTTATTTCCTTTAGAACTTTAATTAGCAAAGTCATTGGAAAACGTCTATACGATACTCAGTTTTAATAAAAATAGTTTCAGTCGTTTTTGGTAAAAATCCGATGTTCCGCTATTTTGTGCAATTTTATTGGAAAATCACAGTTAAAATTACAAATTTGAAAAGATTAAAAAACACATTATGGAGTATATAGTATCCACATATTAATTAAAACTAGTGTACATGTTGCTCGAATTCGAGCAATTGCAAAGTATTACAGGAGTTATTTCAAAACGAATAACAATCATATTTACAATGAATTTAAAAGAGTCAACTCAAAGATTACCGCGGTGTGTAACTCAGACTATGTTTATCTTCGTTATTGATAAACCTAAAGCATTCCGGCCGGTTTTCGTCTCCTTCCCAAAATGCCTCGCTGTACAGGCAACACAGAATTGAGAACGAAAAGTTGTTTTGGGGTAGTGTTAGGGCGCATTATTAACCTAATAGTTGAGCCTATTACGTGTCACTGTTTTGTAGCTGCGGTCGTTATCACGATTACGCCTCCTGTACATGTTTCGTTGTAGTAGCGTCGGAGGCATTTAAAAGAAAAAAAAAACAACAAATAAACAAATTATAGCTACACAAAACAACGATAAATTCACAAAGTTAAGTTACCATCATTACACGATCTGTCATAGCGACACAAAACAGCGATAAATACACTAATTTAAGATACAACCATACTAACACGATCCGTCTTGGGGGTTATGTTTACACAAACTCAAATAGTAAATAAATGTACTCAATGCGTTTCATTGAATTGAAAAATAAATAACAGCAATTAAATTGGCTGCACTTTACTTTAGGTCCTACACTCATTCGAATGAAAATATCGATTATTCGATTGTTTCATAATTAAACCACACCTAAGCACAGTAAGGTTAACCTAACCTAACTAACCAAACGATATATCGAATGATACAATCGATTAATTGATATATTGATCGATATTTTCATACGAATGAGTGTAGGACCTAAAGTAAAGTGCAGCCATTAAATTATACAGCTGATCAAAATGTAAACAATTATGTTCTTCATAAGGATAACATAGGAACTTTCAAAGCCACTGGGGCAGAGCCCAAGGGACTTTAAAAAAATGTAAGGCCAGTTTGCAAATCTACGCGACACGACCTTTCCAATGAGACGTCAATGGATAAAATCGGTTAAGAAATGGAGGAGGAGTTCAACCGACAAAGTTTCATGTAGCGTATTAATTATATAGATTTGGATTAAAAATATGGGTACAGTCTCCATAAGATACTATTTTTACCTAGGGGGAGATCAAACTGTGGAATGTAATATCATAGGTGAACTAATATAATATTATATCATTATGATATATTAATATACTATTATGTTAGTTCACCCATAGTAATATGTTGTCAATTAATGTACGTGAACGGACTTGGATTTGCAATAATTGAATTAAAATCTATGGTTGAAAATTAAACAGTAGTATTGTTTAGCAAGAAATAATACACACAGTTAATTATATTTTTATATCAGACAAGCATTTGATACAATGTTAATAGTCAAGTGTTTTTCACCAAACACTTAACTTAACGCTGCTTACTAATTTTCTCAGATCATGACAATGCCGTTATGATGTCGTCATGGTTACCGCGAAATGCCTACTTGACATCGTCACTGTCCGGGGAGTCTGAAGCCCTGCATCCTACACCCATGCGGTGACTGTGTCGCTTATTTTAAAGTTTAGTAAACGCAAGCTAAAACAGAGGAATAGTTTAGTTTCGGAGTTTCTGCAGTTTTGAGACTCAGTCAATACAAATTTATGAGTTAAAGTTGAAAAGAATGTTTTGTTTCAAGTTGTGCTGTGCAAATTACGGTAGCGAAAAAATCCTGGAAAGAAAATTAGTAACTACTAAAATTTGTATTTTTACTATTATTTTTTATATATTATTTTTTTAGCTGGTAAAATGACGTCTTTTAATGTAAATTAAGATTGTAAAAGGCTATGAAACTGAAGTATTGGCGATTGGACATATCCTTTGCATATTATGAGCACCGACAATTTCTCTGTGTTTTAAGATCGCCTTTCAAAGAATTGAGTTAACTGTATCATTCTTAAGGTAAAATTGTTTTAACCATCGAACAAACAGTTCTATGTAGCATTGGTTTGCCTTGACACACGCCCCCAATTTCATCATCGAGTACATTGACTGTAAATAAATGACGCATTGCAATTTTGTTCCAAATTCCATAAATCAGCGTACGTTGTTGAATGTTGAATCACTAAACGATTTATAGCAACGTCCATGTTTACCCAAATACGCGATGGGCATTGGTCGCCGATGTCGTCAGCTGTTCCTGCTGACAATGTGTGACGTCACACTCAGCTGGTCTAAGCATGTTGCAACCAGAAATGCACTTGCACCATGCACCGACCCAGTTGCAACGGCAAGGTTAACCGGGCAATTCCACTTTATGTTGCCGGGGTTACGGTGCTCGGTGCTGTCAAGGCTTCATGTGTACACAAAGGCTTGCCTACTCGAGCATGGCAGTTAACCTAGTTGTGGGGTAAGGTTTTATGGTTTGTGGAAAATGATCTAGGGGTGTAACTGAAATAAATTGCTAGACAAATTGTTTTTCGATCCATTGTGATCGGGTTGTTCTGAAAAGGATAGTAGGGAGTATGTATGTACTTAAAATAAAATATGTTACTGGAAAGTCAGGCTGCTTTGTAATTTAGACGATTTATTTACTAATATGTAGGCTAGCCATATGTTTCGTAAAAACGCTGCCTTTTCTGTCTCGTACTCACTGTGTCAGATTTGACTATTAGTCAATGGTATCAGTGAAGAAATACAGTAGACTCTTTCTTATCCGGACACCATTTAACCGATCGTCGGTTTACCCAGACTAAATTCGGCAAAATGGCATCTACTAAACCAGACAATTTTTATCGGGGTAGGATGAAAGTGGGCGGCACTGAAACTGTTCTCGGTGAAAGATTTGAGGCCGGCGAATTTTGTTCACATAGGCTATGTAAAACAACGTACTCCCAGATTTAAGTAAAATTTGGGCTAGTTTTTCGAGTAATTCCCATGGTGTGTCCTATTTTGTCAAGTTTTAGGGGACGACGGTTTAACCGAAACCCTTATCCGGACTGGCCTCAGCCCCTAGGAGTCCGGATAAGATGGAGTCTACTGTAGTACGTTTTGGTTGGTTAATGAAATACGCTAACAATTATCTGCGATATAACACGTAAATTTTGTTATAATAAATCATTGTTCCGACTTAAGATAATTCACAAAATGTTCAACAAAATTAACTGAAGGTCATGCAATGTATTTGTCAACTTAAGAAAACGTTTCACGTAGGCCATATCCGTATCCGGGCCTGTTCAGGTACGTGAGACTGTGAGTCATGTTTGCGCAAAGAATAAAATCGTGAATATCTGCCTCAATATCGTGAATTTATTAAGACGAATTAAAGTCAAGCTTAAAACATCGGTAATTTAAGAACAGTATGAACAAGTAGACTTCTCATTGCATTGTCAATTTTGAAGTTGGTTTTTCGGTTCTAGTTCGTACGTCAACACGGATCGCTAGCGTAGAGGAAATTTTGATTCTATTATTTTAGAGTTATTTTCTTGATTTGTGCTTTACTGTTTGGTTATACAACTAGAGGACGAGTTTTTGTTTATAATTAGATCGTTTTATTTGGTTAAACGAGGTTTTGAATGACTGACATATGAAGAAACGAATTGTAAACAAAATACGACCTCTGCAGTGCGACGTACAGAACTAACAATAACATTATTGGCTTCAGCTGTTCCATTGTGATAAATAATCTTTGGGGTGATCACGTCTTTTTGTCAAGGTTGACTTCTTATCGGAGTTTGCAATAGCGTGTTATTATGGGTCGTAAGGGTATGGAATCCACTAACTATTTATCCACTGAGTATTTGAAAATTCCACTTGTTATCAACCTTCTTCTTATTGAGGTTCCGCTATAGTCCTGAGTACGTAGTTAAACAATTGGCCTTTTAATAAATTGTCCTGGATAAAGTAACTGAATCAGCCAGTGACAAAGCTATGATGTCATTGATTCAATACACTAATTCGTCGCTTATTTTCGCCTTCAAATTCACACTCTATTGTGCTCGCATCTTACAAATTTTATCATCACATTGTATCCATTGTTTCTTTCAAACTCTAACGTATCTACTACCTCTGTGTTCCAGACGGCGCGGATGCTGGACTGGGGACCTGGGACAGACTCTGACAGTTCCTGTGGGGCGGAGACCCTGGAGTCTGCCCTGAGAGGACTACGGGAGTGTACTCTGGACCCCCGGGAACTTCCCAGACCCCACAGGCTGCACGACCATCCAGGTAATGACTTTATAAAAGTTGTAAAAATGTGTTTTTATCTTATTATTGCCTTTGGTTATGGATGTAACCAGACGCCCCACCCCCATGTATTCAAGTTTAAATTGATAGCAATGCATTTGAAAAATTACTGCAAAAACTGTTATAAAATAAAAAAATAGTTTTGTAAAAACACTTAATGGCGGCTTAGGCTGCGGCCACACGGGCGTTTTTTCACGCAAGAACGCAGCGTGAAAAAACGCGAGAAATATGAGCAGCATTAAATGTAATGAGGTATGCCACACGCAGTGTGTTTTCCCGCAGTAGTGGGCGCCCATTTGTTTCAATGCTACTCTAATTTTTCGCGTGTTTTCACGCTGCGTTTGTGCGTGAAAAAAACGCCCGTGTGGCCGCAGCCTTAGAATATTTACGTAGGCTAGCCCTAATATTTGACTTTGTCTGTCGTCCAGGATTGATAAATAAAAAGGTCGGTAGAGTTTGGGGACGCCCTGTATATTAAGAAAGAGCCACAACAGAATTGACGGGGACGTAGGCTAGAATTTATCAATGAATAATGCATAAGAACAGCAACAGCCTGCATTCAAATACTGCATCAACATTTATTTATTTCCAACAAACAGCAAACTCCATTTTCATCAAGTACAAAGGAATACACGCTATTTTGTAAGAGAACAATATCATAGTGCATTCTTAACCTACTTAGCAATTAAAAAACCCTACAAGAAATACAAATATACCTTGGTGATTCCGTGATACTCATTTTAAGCGGTACCGACATGAGAGAAATATAGCACTACTACTTTGTAATAAAAATATACTTTATAACCCCGTTTATAAGTCTGGGCTTTATCTACAGTATAAGATTTATTTTGCTTCAACATTCCACATTCCATTACTGTAATACAACCCTAATCCCTTTCGTTTGCAAAATTATTACACTGAATATATTGTACTAGCTTGCAAAGTACAGCATAATAAACTTATCAAATGTATGACAACTGTTTCATGGAGTAAAGATGCGGGTTTGACCGATTACGTTTGTCTGCAGGTTAAACCAATCCAATAACCCTAGAATCCTATCCTATAGTCTAAAAGTGCGTGTACGGACAAACTTTTCGTCCAAGGATTGTTTATGTGTGGCATTTGGCCACGAGAAATCGATTGGTGTTGACCACAAGGCTGGGAAAAATTCAGTTTCCGTCATACAGCCCTTGAAAGTGCCCGTGTTATCGACAATACCTTGTTGTAGCTGCGGTTAATAAAACAGCTGATGCAGGTACAGTATATTTTATTGCAATCTATAAATTTATAAAGGTGTTAAAATGTTAAATTAAAATGTTTCCTTTCTATCATTAAAAAAATCTTCATACTGCAGCAAAAACAGCCGTTTTTAATGCATGCGTTGCGGGTCTACAGCTAGGCGAATTAAACATTACATTATTACTCTCTAGGGAGTAAAAATCATTATAGTCTCTATGGAGTAAATTTCGATTTTGGCAATCGTATCAATCGAAATTATTTATCGATTGATTTGTTAGGTAAGGCCTATTGTTATCGATTGCTCGACATGGTATGGTATAATCATAGATAAAACATAGGTTAGTCTATGGTATGGTTAGTCTATGGTATAATGTACTCTAACTCAATCGTTATAGACGAAAAATGATTGTACCACTTACTAAACAGCTGCTTATTTGCATTAGCAGAATTGAAAACAAACTGGAAGTCGTTTTGAGAGGTTATCTTTTAACTTTCTTTTACATAAAACTTATTTTAGTTTTCTAGCTTTGTTTGTTAATTAATGATCAATAGGACGAAAAATATAGTTCACCACACGGGCAAAAACAGACACTTTAGGCCCCAGTGATGAAATATACTATTTCACATTGATTACCGTACATAATAAATATTTATTAGCTAAATAACTTATCTAATAAATTTGATGTTAAATCAAATCTGAGCAAAGCTCTGCTCCTGGTACAGTACTGTAAAAATGTAGGCTCGCGTTAAAAATTGTACTATAAATAACAGATAGATTGTCATCAAGCAGCTGCTAGCAAGTGTGCCAGATTTAGGCCTATGCACGCTATTTTTTAAAGAAATGTAACCACGCTTAACTTAACATTTGTTTGGATGCTATTATATTGTTCCTGACCATTGATTTATTTCAAGGTTCTCTAACTATTGTTTATACACAAATAATATTCGCCAAATTACAGTCAACGATGTAAATAACTACAGTTATATATAAAACAATAACTGAGTTGTTTATATCGTTGATTACAGTTGATAAGCTAAACTACATACTTAATTGAGAAGCTTAACTTCAGCAATTATAATTAGACTGAGGCGGCGTACTTTGTCAATTTCATTGGGTCGAGTTGTCAAGCTATGAACGCATGTGTAACTACTACCCTATATAACTTCATAGTTACCTCTTTGTTCTTAAAAGCTTGCGATTATTGTTACTGTAGAAGTATCCTTTACTGACTTCTCGGTAAATTTTTGATGTCCAAAACCTATTATCGATCGTTAAAATCAATTTAGAAAGTTAGTTGGTTATTTCAAGTTTTGGTTATAAGATCGAATAGATGTTGCTTTTACTTGTTGATTTCGATGTTTTGCCAACTTTTTCATCGGTGAATATAGGGTATTGTTATTTTACCGTATACGTGTAAACCACTTACACACCAAAAGAGAGTTTTAGTTATGAGTTCAGGCCATAGTTAAGCTTAAAACCGGACAAACCATCTGGCGCTCTTTTTACTTCCAGTCCTCCTCGGAGATAAAAAACTAATCTATTTTAGGACTTACGGCTTTAACCCCATACTGCGAGTGGTGTATGTTGACGAATTTCAGACTCTCATATCTCAGAGTAAATAAAATATATCTTATTCTGTCTAATAAATAATTGTCTTATTACTAATAAATTCCCTGTTACACTTAACCATCATCAGTGCAACAATGCATATCAGCTGATTGATAATGAAGTAAAGGATTCAGTGATACCAATTTATGAGCTTATGTTATCCTAAATAGCGTCTCTTGGTACTTGTAATTTGGGTTGCGTTTTTAAACAAACACCCTGTATTTGGCCTTAGTTTGGATAGTAAAATGCAAAAATTGATAAACACAGCCAAGCGTCACCGGAAATTTTCGTCATATTTCATGAAAATTGTTCTAGACCCATATAAGGATGATAACTTATTATGGAATTTGTTTCTCCATGGGCATATACGGTAGGTATTAACAGTTAATTTTATCTAGGATATCCATTTTAGCACCGGTTAAAACAGGACAATATTTCAAATTCTAGCATATCACCAATAATATTTCAAATATACAGTAAATTTCCGACATAAATTTGAAAAGCCCCGATCCTAAATTGAACAGACTTGTTTGAAGTTTTTGAAAGACAGATGATGTCTGTTAGTTCTGAAGTTTAGACCATTAGTACAATGAGCGTCATTTAGACCAGTAGATCAGATAGCGGTCTAGGGACAGTGATATATATATAACTATGACAACCGAGTGCGATCTTTCTGTCGATGGAATTCCTTTCAGTTTTGACAACTAGACTGGCTTAGGCCTACATCTAAGCTGATTTCAGTAGAATGCTTTTCAAGTCTGTAGTTTAAGAAAGTAAGACAGTTCTACTGTTATACTAAAATGAGAGGTTGAGTATTATTGTATAGCTACCATGTCTTAAATTTGAGGTACTGCTTATGTAATAATTAGGAAACATATATTGTTAGTGTACTTTGCTAGTGTATAAGGGTGCCCTGTAAATAAGTGGAAAAAATTAGAAATTGATTTAATGAGTCGAAATAAAACGAAAACCAAGAATAACGTTCTTTAAACGTCTCGTTAATGTGGTATCCGTAATCTTGTTTCTCGCTAAAGAGGCGTTTTTAAAGGAATGTTATTCTTGATTTTCATTGTATTTTAACCCATTAAACCTATTCCTGGATTTTTGGTACTTATTTACGGGACACCCTGGCTGTATATTAAATACACCACTGCGAAGTAGACATTTTATCCCACTCATCAAGATTTTACATTAACCATAACTGGCTTGAATTTGGCAAGTATACCTTTTATCCCACTGTTTTACAACAATCATGTAGGTGTAGTTCATTTTGGTGACGTTTAGCGACCACTGTCGACTAATTGTCTTTGATTTTATTGTAGAGATGTTACTGTTACACGACGGCACGACACGTGCTCTACTGTTTATTGTAATACTTATACTAAAGGACAAGCTATAGTTTTGTTTAGGGAAAATAGTAAACAACAAAATACCATCTACTATCTACTAAAACCCGAACTGAACTTAACATTACAATTGTCTTAAACCAGCATCTATGATAAATCTATAGAAGGTTTAATCTGTGGGTTTTCGTCGCGTGTCACAAGTAGGCCTAATCTAGTACATTGCGGCTTATTTGTTACAACAGAGTATTTTATCTTTCTTTGTGTAGAGTTTATTGGCCGAACTGCGCCTGGATGTGTAAACTATTTCATCAGCACGTGTCGGCGCCGCTGCGCAGCGCTGCGAGTGCGTGTGAATCAAACAGCTGATACAACAATGCTAGGCTATACAGAATATGTCTTTGTTTACAGTTGCTAAATCGTTGATTACTAAACGATATCACTTAATAAAAAAAAGATTTATGATGTGTTGTCTGGCATTATTTTGTGAACAATGTACATTATTTGCATTTAGTCGGTTTTTAGCAACTAAAACCCTTTACGTTGTAAGGCTGGTTATTTCTACATGTATATTTTTAAAACCTACTAAATATCAACGATATATTGTCATTAATACACTTTCAATATTATTCTCATTGAATAATAAAAACAGTTACAGCTATTGCTTAAATGCGGGTAATTTTCCGTATACGTAGTCAGGGAAGCGAGCTGGTCGAGTTGTAGAGAACGGGAATACAGTCCCAAAGTCGCGGGCTCAAATCTTGCCAGTTACCAATGGATTTTATCTAATT